CTTTCCTAACAGCTATAGGAATATCAAGGTCTGATGGTTCTTGAATAGGAGAAGCAATAGGAACCGAAGATGAGTTAGGATTAAAATTACCTATGATATCTGGAAGTCCAGTTCCCGGAGATTGAGATTGATCAATTCCAAGAGGAATAGGCTGAATTTGACTCTTTTGATGAAGTATTCTCCGAGTATAAACCAGAGGCTCAGTATTGGGAACTTTTGTGCCCGGTTGTAGTGATTCTTTCCCTGTTTCAGATACAATAATGTTTGGCAATATATGACTAGAATTCTCTTCATTGTTTTCATTGGTTTTATCACATTGTTCTTGACTTTGAATTTCGAGAATAACAGTAGGATGAGGTGAAGGAGTCAAAATCACATTTGGTAAAGGAGTAGGAGATAAATCCCGAAAAATTTCTTTCATCACCTCATTCTCCCCCTGAAGAGAATTTTTGGGAAAGTATGATTTATTTTCAAAGAAAGAGACATCCATACTTACATAAAATTTTCTTGTTTGGGGATTATAACACTTATATCCCTTTTGATTAGAAATATACCCTATGAAAACACATTTTTCAGCTCAAGGATCAAGTTTGGACTGAGTATTATTAGGTATATGAACAAAAGCTATGCAGCCAAAAACCTTTAGAGGTAAATCGGAGTATATCCTTGATAATGGAAAAGTTCTTTTGAAACATTCTAATGGCGTGCTATATTTTAAAACACGTGAAGACATTCTATTAATCAAATACGATACTATTAAAACAGCTTCCCCCCAAAGATAGTTTGGAACATTTATTGAAAACATTATAGCACGAGCCACTTCAAGTAAATGTTTATTTTTTCTTTCAGCAATTCCATTTGTTGAAGGGTATCCACACACGTAGACCGATGATGAATACCCTTTTCTTTCAAAAAACTCCCCAAAATTTCATTAAAATACTCGGTTCCATTATCGGTGTGAAAAATGCTAATTTTTGCTTGAAACTGAGTTTCAACCATTGTATAAAAATCTTTAAAAATTTTTCCAGCCTCAAACTTTTCATTTATCAAATAAACCCAATATAAACCGGTATGATCATCTATAAAAGTAACAAACCATTTTTTCCTAGAGATATTCGTGACTCTTGAAGGTCCTCAAACATCACTATGTATTAAATAAAATGGTTTTGAAGAAGTATAAGGTTTTGGCAAATATGTAGTACGATGACTCTTAGATAAGCAACAACTTTCATAATAGAACGATGAACAATCCAAACCTTTAAATAAAGTAGGAAACAAATGTTTAAGATATGAAAAGCTAGGATGTCCTAGTCTTAAATGCCAAAACATTATTTGTTCATAAACAGAGTTAGAACTAACACTACTAAGGCTCTGAGCCTTTTTATTACTGGAGAAGTCCCCATCAAAGTAGTAAAGTCCATCTATTATCTTAGCACTGCCAATCTTCTTCCCCGAGCTCCAGTCCTGAAATTCACAGTAAGAATTACAGAAAATTAAACGACAATTAGATTCTTTGGTTAGTTTACTCACAGACAAAAGGTTATAGGCTAGTTTAGGGACATGGAGAACATTTTTAAGATTTATATTCTCGGATAATTTTATCAAACCTTTTCCTGCAATAGGTGATAAACTACCATCTACAATTCTAATTTTTTCAAGACCTAAACATGGTGAGTAAGTGCTAAAAAGATTGGAAAGGCTGGTCATATGATCAGAAGCTCCAGAATCGATGATCCATGGAGTATAATTTAAACAACAAGAAAGGGCATTAAGTGCACTACCTGTTTGTGCAAGAGAAACATTAGGAATACCAGATGAGGAATTAAATTTCAGCAACTTTAGAAGGTGATCCATCTGCTCCTTGCTTAAGGGACTTGTCTCAGCTTCATTGGCAGTAGGAACCGCACGCCTATTTCTGTCACTAGACTTGCTACTCTTCCAATTCGCTGGTTTTCAGTGGATTTTCCAGCAGTTCTCTCGAGTATGGCGTGGTTTGTTGCAGAAGTCGCACCAAACCAGTGGCTTTTCTTCAGGTTTTCGTTGAAAATTAACTGCTTTATTAGCAGCAGTCTCGACAACAATAAGGGCAGAACTTTCAACAGGTCCATTGGTAATCTTCTTCCCCAACATTACATATCTGCGGCTCTCTTCTCTTCGAACCTCAGCAAACACTTCACCAATCGGAGGAAGTGGAGTCCTGCCAATGATTCGTCCTCGTACTTCATCAAATTCCACGTTGAGCCCAACAAGAAATTTGTAAATACGATGAGCCTCTACGGTCCGTTTGTAGTGATTGGCATCTTCAGTGGATTTCCATTCATAATCATTGAATAAATCCATGTCCTGCCAAATGCGCTTTAATGAATTGAAATACTTGGTGATCGAGTCTTCTCTCTGCCAAATCGCACCAAGTTTTAGAGTCAATTCGTAGATCTGAGACTGATTTCCCAAATCAGAGTACACATGATTCACGTTGTCGCAGAGCTCCTTAGCCGTGGAGTAGCACATATAGTTGGAGCTAATATCCTCGTCCATGGAGTTCACAAGCCAAGTCATCACCATTGAATTTTCTGCATCCCAGGTCACGTACGTTGGGTCCTCCAATGCTGGTGCCTTCTTGTCTTCCGTCAGGTACCCGATCTTTCCCCGCCCTCTGATGTACATCCGAACGGACTGGGACCACCGTAAATAATTGTCACCATTAAGGCGAATATTGGTGATCTGAGCTAAGTGAGAATTGGTACTGGGGGCTTGGGTTGTCGGATTTGTTGACTGGGTTGTGATAGGCAAGGATGACATGGAGGAACCGTTAAACATGGCTGATTAGTGAAGAAATTGTACAGAAAAGAAAATTAGGGTTTTTTTTTTCCTTAGGGTGGCTCTGATACCATATAAACTATAAAGGAAAGAAAAATAGAAAAACATTTTTCTCTGTATTAGCACACAATTCACGAGTTTACACAGGTTCTCTTTATAGAAGAGAATACATGTACATACCTAGCTGGCCTATTTAATAATTTCCTATTTTACAGCATTTGACTAATATTCTATTTACAGAAAATATTCTCCAAATATTATATTTACAGCTAATAATATTTGGTAGTATTACTACCAAATCTTTCCTTTTCAACATTAATTGCATTGCATAGGATCAAATCATTTCTCAAGCAAGAAATGAATTCTTTCTCTGAGGGATGGGTGGAAGCAATTTAGCCGCTAGGTAGCTTGAAATCGCCTCCATGATGCACAAAAATACTTACATATATAAGTTATATAACTCTAAATATTGATTAAAAAAAAAAAAAATTTGAAACAGCTTTGTTTGTGCGGAGAAACTGAAAGAATGAAAAAAAAAAAGAAAACTACGAATCTTATAGTTTATTTCATATTGGGATTTCCAGAGAAGAATAAATATAATGACCAAAAGTAAAATGATAAGAATTCTTGTTTCTTACTGTATTGTGGTGGCAATGGCGGAGGTGGGTTGTGGCAGCGATGGTGAGATAGAGGATATTGAGAGGTTAGAGAGAGAAAAAAAAAAAAAAAAAAAAAAAAAAAACTGTTGACAAAGAGGGTAACTGTTTAAGGGGTATTTTTGTCCAAACACATAACCCTTTAAACAGACAGTAGTTAAAATACCCTCCTCATGATAGTTAGGGAGGTTTTTTGCTAAAACAATTCATAAGAGGGGTTTTTTTGCTAACAAATCAACGTCGAGGGGGGTTTCTTACAATTCGCCCTAAAGAGAATGAGAATAAAGTCCTTAAATTCATTAATGCACAATTCATTAATCATCTTCCTTTTATACTTTTTATTATTATTATTTTTTTGGGATTTAGACAAGAGAGATAATTTATTTAATAAATATAGTTTTTGGGTGTTTTTTTTTTTTTTTTTTTTTTTTTTCATGTCAAAAGAGATAATTTTTTAAATGGTTACTTTTTATTTTTTTATCCGGCCAAAAAAGGCAATTTTTTTAACATAAAAAAAATTATGTTTTTTTGGTCCCTTAAAAAATAATTATTCAAATTTTATTTTATTTTTGTGTTGCTAAAAGATACTTAAAATATTAAAAATTAGAGATAAAGAGAGAAAATATGAAAGGGTAGTTGTGTCATTTAAAAAATAATAATTATTTACTTGTAAAGATAAGGTTAGAATGATCATTTCATTTAAGATTATAGTGAAAATATTGAAATATGTAGTGCAAGCTTCCCTAGATTTATGAATGAAATTAATGGACCAAACATTTTCAACTGACAATACCAAAAATCAAATACGACTATGACTCTTGTTAACCTTATATAGGGTGACTTGAATTATATGGCTTGTGCACGCCACCTCACTACTCATTCACATTGGGTTAAATATTGTCTCTACTTATGATTTTTTTCAAAACAACTGTTAGAGCTAGAAGATGTTTACACATATACTAATATAAGAGTCAATAACTACCAATAGGCATGTGGCCTAGCGGTACAAGACTCCTATATTTCAAAAAGAGGTTAGGGGTTTGAACCTTTCGTTCTTTAGAAATTTTCACCATAATCTCGGCTACATTTTTTCCATCAAAAGATTTACCTTTCCCCTTACTGATCGAAATGGACATAGCAACAAACACTAGTTTGAATATTTGAGAACTTAATTAGATGCCTTATTATTAATTACAAACAATTTTTTTTCCTAAATTATTAATTACAAACATTATTAGCTACCAAACCCCTTAAATCTAATATAGATTGAGAGAGTTATATGCTTAATTACAATAATGGTGATGATGATAGCTCGACTCCGCATTATGATGATTAATTACCAAACTTTTAAATAGTCAAATCGAATTAAGAGAGTACAATAAATGTACATATACTAATAAGAGCTCAACTTGCATACTTGATTCATCAATGTCATGGCATTAAAATTTATGAAAATTTTGTCTTCAACATGTCATTTGCCAACAAAGACCTAATATATATTCCACGACCATGCAGTGGCTAATCATAACAAAGTCAAAATCCCCTAAAAATGTAACCTACCAAAAAAATCTATGCTACCTCACGCGGTCAAGATTTCACCTTTCATTAACTTTATAAATTTAAGATATGGCTTATTTAAATTTGTACCACAAAATTATTCAGGTCAAAAAGATTTTTTATTTTATTTTTTCTTATCTGGGTAAGGTTTTAATTCAGTTCTCAAGGTATCTTCATCTAGTTTTGTTCAATTAAATAAATTTTTTTTTTTTTTTGGGGGGTTCAAGAATGAAGTTTAAAATAGAGAAGCATTGATCAAAAGTTCAAACACACACAATCAATAACTCTTTATTTTGGATCAAAATGCATGGACAGCACTAGCTATTTGGTCTTTCAATCTGTTACTTTCGCTTCAGACAGACGAAAATGACAAACTCTTGGCGGTATTTCATGTCAAAGACAAAGTAATTCTCTTCCATTTTCTTGGTATAGCGTTCAAACAACCCCTCAACAATCTCAGTGCCAAAGTGTTCCGAAATGAGTCCCTCTATGACAACTCTAAGATGCGTCGACAACATTTGACAGTCGGGCATTTCTGGATTCTTGTAGGGAACAAAATTTTCCATTCTTTCAATGCTGAATTCTGCATTTGTCTCTATCACTTCTTTCAACTCCTTTGGTGATGTAAGGTATATGGGAACGTTGAAGGACTCCACTTTTTCCTCACTGATCATTCCCTGCAATAAAACAGAAATTAATCATCATACTATATGTTAATTAGGGTAATAAATTTTACATATAATAGTAATGAGATCAATTATTCTATGGTTTCACAGTGCCTGTCCTTTTAAAAGATCATTTTACAAATTTAATCATAGATTATAAATTTATAAGACATTTCTTTTAACGTCTAATATACAATTGATTACAGAATATATATGATTTTAAATTAGAGCACAAAACTAGTTTATAAATGCTGCAATGTACACATATTAATTTGAATAAAAATTGGTTGATTCAGAGCATGTTAGGCTATTGATCAATGTCTCCATTAATGTATTTTTAGAAAATAGAGCAGGACGAACGTCATATTTGACATCAGCTAAATCAAAATTTTGGAACTCAATAAAAAATCAAAGGTCAAACCAAGGTATATATGTACTCATTCAATAGGATCCACACCCTTGTTTTGTTTTGTCATGTGGTGATGGACTTTCATATGCTAGGGTTGAGCTAGCCATATCATGATGAATGCTACAGTCACCCACAAATATATATATATATAGATATATATATATATAAAGGCACCATGAAGAGACTAAGATTCATACCTAAAGGCTTATATTATCTTCATGTGTTGAATTGATTTTTTTTTTTTCATCAAATATATAGCAGAACATTAATTTGCCATTCTTTAAACCTTACCAACTCAGCCATCTCCACGAGGCAAGATGCAAGCAGGCCGAATTGCATACTGGAGCAAGTCTGAGAAGCAAGGAATCCGTCCTCACAACCGCCTACGAAAAATAGAATGACCCCCCCACTCACAATCTCTAATGCTCTAGCACTTAAGAAGGTCTTCATGTCATTTTTGAACTGAGCTGAATATGCCTCGAGTACTTTCTCATTGCCGGTGTAGTGAACTTTCTTTCCACTCCATGCAAGAGAGTTTCTGTCCAGCACTTCTTCTGGAATCTTAGAAAGCCAGTGCAGTGAATTGGAGGAGTGTGCAATGTGGAGTGTGGCCTTGGGAAATACGCGTCCATGGAAAGAACCAGGCACTCCAGCTGCAAAGTATTCTCGCGAGGGAGGGAGGGACATGAACAGTGTGTTGAAATCGTTGCTGGTGAGATCATTGAAGAACACATGGAATTCTAGGGTTTTAGAATTTTGTTGGGTGGATTTGTGTTTGAGCTCTATAGCTTCTATGATGTTTTGCACTGAAATGAATGTGTTAGGTCCTGTGGAACAGCCAAAATCAGCTATACGAATAAGGTTGGGACAATCAAGAAGAGGGTTTCCAATGTCAAACTTCTCTGCTATGGCTTTAGTGATCATACCCTTTGCACCATCCACCACTTCTTTCTGCCAAAGAGAAAGGGTTTAATCTCATCATCATCACCCAAGTACATCAAAATAACTCCCAAGTTCTAATAAATAAATAAAATAAAAAAATAAAAAAACAAGAAGGGCTAGCAGAGTGCCTCTAAGCCTTACCTCCTTAGCCGTTTCCTATTTCAAGTCCATGGCTTCCAGATCATATTAGAGCAACCTTATCGTTACGCCAAAAGAGTATAATTTATTTTAGCTAATGAATACCTAATATGTAGTAACAAAGAACAAACCTGATAGCAGGAATTCTGAGCATAGCTGTTGGGGCCATTTCCACCATTCACGGGATATGATTCAGCCATGTTCTTGGTCTGCACATCAGCCATCTCTGTCTCTCTTTGTGACTGTGAGTGCTTGCAGTGTGTGTGTGTGTGGACTCTCGGTGCAGGCACTGTGTCCTTTATAGGCAGCAAGTCTTGGTACGAGGTGATATATAGACTCTAGGGTTATGGTGGCTAGTAAGTGTAGGCAGTGCATGGACTACTCATGCAATTATCAAATGAAGCCAATCTGTCTCCTTTCTTCCAACCAGTAATAACACAACAATCGAGGCTCAAGCCTTGAGTATTTTTCTTTCTTCACCTAATCTTTCTAAAATAAAATTGTGCAACACCTTTAAAGTGGAAGGCACTGTAATTAATTAATCAATACATGGCAGAACTGTGGTCCTTAAGAGTGGAGTTACTTTTTTGAGTAATTCAATGACCTAATTTGATTTTAGCATCTTAGTAGAATTGTGGTCCTCAAGTGTGGAGTCACTTTTTGCTTAGAACCATGTAATTAGAATCTTGGAAGTGGAATTGGATGCTAAAGATTGTGGTCCTTGAGTGTTAATTTGTAGATGCTAAATGCAGTTCTCCACTTACTGTCAATGGCACTTACAAACTATACTATTGTACAGCATTATATGTAGAATATGATATTCTGGTGCAGGTTTAACTAAAGTTTTTTTTTTTTTTTTGGACCAGATTTCTAATGCCCTAGAGGCCTACTCTGCTTTCTACACTTTTGTGATGTTATTATAATCATAGCCAATTGTCCCTTCCTCTGAGAAATATATGTTACACATGGTTGATCCTCTTTTTTTATGCTATATGATTGTGTGACCAAATTCTAGGGGAAAAGATTTTAACTAAAAACAACACTTCCCCCATCCTCACCCACCAGAAGGAAAAGGGTTGGGTGGTGGGTGGAGGTGGGGTAAAGAACTCAGTCAACTCCCTGTTTGGTTCCCCTGAAAGAAAGAGAGAAAATGCTCACAGATGCTTAAATCTATAGGCCATTTAGACATCCGAAAGAAGCCTTTTTTTTTTTTTTTTTTCGAAGTGTGCTTTTAACAGCAACATGATACAGAATGGAACAACTTCATTACCATAGGATCTTAATGCCTTATTATTTGGTTTGAATGTTAAATGAGTACAATATTGCCCATATTGCCTAGTTTTACTTGAATGAACTCTAATTAATTAATTCTCTGTAGCATCTGGAATAATTGTGAAACTCTAATTTGAGCAATAATTTCAGTATGTTTGTAATGAATCAATCCTATAGGATGGATCAATATACAGAATAGAACAACTTTACTAACAAACCAGTTGAAATATTTTACCAGGAGAATTGTGATGCCCATATATTACAGGTTATTGAAGGACAACAATTTTATTATGCATTTGAAGGATAACAAGTAAATTTAGGAAAATTGTTGATTCTAAAACAAGAGATCATAAAATCAAAACGCTTTGCGCTGGAGAAGAACAAATAGTTCCACGATTTTCTTGTAGCTGGACGAATAAAGGGAGTACGACTCTGAGACCTTGTTCGCGAACCTGTCGAAGAGCTCGTCAATGATCTCACTTCCAAAGTGCTCCTTGATTATCCCTTCCCACGCAGCTCTCATGTGAAGCACAAACATGTTGACATCAGGAGCTGTGTTATTCGTTGCAGGGGCGCGTATTAATGGTTCCATTTTCACAATTCTGAAACTCCCATTTCCCTCTATCAGCTTCTCCAATTTATCTTCACTTACCAATCCCTTGAATTAGGATAAGCAGCTTCAGGTCAAGTCACAAATACAGCAATAACTTGTGTGTGTTACCAGGTGATTATTAATCAGTTTCAACATAGAAGGGATATTACTAGGGTTGCAAATGAAGAGAGCCAAGCCGAGCTAGAGTGTGTTGGAGCTAGGCTCGTTTGTTTGTGGACTCAGGTCAAGCTCAGATAGGGATTATTTTTAAAATCTCGGGCTCAGCTCATTTAAATAACAAAAGTTGTCCGGGCTCAATTTGAGCTCTTGTTCAATATCGTTTTGATTTGTTCATAAACTTACACGTCTATGTTCATAAACATGTTCATGAGCTTACGTTCATGAACCTATACAAGACTATGTTTATGAATGTGTTCATGAGTCTATACGAGCTCATGTTCACGAGCTTAAACAAGCTAAGCTCAGAAATTGAGCTTGAGCTGGGCAATAAAAGAACCACCCCTAAACGAGACGAGCTCAAGCTGTTCATGTGTCAACTCGTTAACTCGGCTCATTAGCAGCACTAGATATTATTGATTGGAAGGGAAAAAAATTGAACAACTGGAAGAAGCCTTACCATCTGGACCATGTCAAGGACAGTGGCTCCTAAAAGATCGATGACTGCGGTGAGAGGGCTTTGGGAAGGAAGGATCCCAACTGGGATACATGGGATGAGAACTGCCATGAGACCTCCATGGACAAGCTCGTGTCCTGGCATTTAAAAAGGACTCGACGTCCTTAGCAAATTGAGCTGAGTAAGCCTCAACAACTTCATCAGGAGCATTTGTATAATGGATCCTCCCCTTATTCCATGCAGGCGACTTTTCGTCAACCACCTCCATTGGAATCCTTGAGAGCCATTGAACTGCATAAGAGGCGTTGACGAAATAAAGAGACGCCTTGGGGAATAAGCGGCCGTGAAAAGAACCTGGTACACCGGCTGCAAAGTATTGCCCATCATGAGACTGCAGAGAGTTGAAAAGCATGTTGAAATCATTGGAAGCAAGGTCATTGAAGAAGACTTGAAATTCCACAGCTTCTGAAGTAAGACCATGAGACTGGCACTGGAGTTTTATGGATTCTACAATGTTTTCACCGCGATGAATGTGTTGGGTCCAACAGAACATCCCAAGTCTGCAATATAGAACGAGTTTGAAGAACTAATGAACTGGTTTACATCAAATATTTCAGCAATGGCCTCACTGATCAAGTCCTTGGCACTGTCCATTACCTGTAGCTGCAAAATGAAATTTTAGTTGTAAGTTTTGGTTTCCGTTTAAGTAAATGATGGCAATTATGATAATATAATGATAAAGATGCTTACATTGCATGATATGAATCACTGATCAAATAAATAATGAACTTGTGAGTGAACGATAGGTATAGTATCCATTAAAAAATAAAATAAAACAAACAAACAAACTTATATGGTATGACCATATTGAACGTACATCCTGTTAAAAGATGAAGAGTTAGATTGTTTAGAAGCTAAGCGACAAAAGAGGCCGACCAAACCTAAAAACTTAAATTTAAGAGAAGATGTTAACAAAAATCACGATAAAAAAGTAAACAAGTCGCACATAAAGAACTATGGTTCATAGTCGCGGTGTAAGGGATTCGGGCGAATATCGGTGTAAACTAGTCAAATCGGTGAAAATTTAGGTCGTTTTTAAGTCTAAACTTACGTTCACGGTAAAAATCTAACGAAAGATTTCACTACATGAAAAATAACGTTATCTCTTGCAATTTTCAGTTGTAACGACACGGAAAGATACCAAAATAATAATAATAAAATATATAAAATTTCGGCATGACTCCGCAGAAAAAATCCCTCTACAACCTGTTGAAATACCAAAAAAAAAAATACAATAGCCTCACTGGGTTTTAAAAATAACCCGTCCTGTCCCAACACACAATACAAGTATTACATCACATTTCCAATATAATTACATACATATCAAAAATCCCCTTTCACCATTTCATCTAAACAGAAACACATCTTAGTTACATCAAGTTACAGTTCATAAAATGTAGCTAGAATTTAAAAATCCATAACTTACAACATTGTACCCATTAAACTAGAATTTCACAAAATAGTTAAGAGTACATTACAAAATATTAAGGTTCTAATACAAAGATAACAAAAATAAAATGGTTCTTCAAGCTCGTCTAAACCTGTGGTGGATCGTCGTCCACCACCTCTTTTCCATGTCCTAAAAAATGTTAAAAAATAATGGGATAAGTATAAGCTTAGTAGGAAGTGTCTAAGACACACTTCTTATATCCTCGTGAATCCCACACAAAGAATAGATAAAAAGGGACGGGGTCATACCATGAGAAAAACATAATCTCAATCACAATAACAAGCATGGTATAAATAACATCCAACCACAAATTTCCCACATGTACCATGAAGTGCAAATGAAGTGCAATGTCATGCTTATGCCACTCCCCGTTTCCGAAACAATTCTATTTCAACAACTAAACCGTTACTGTAATTCGACCCAAGGCACCTCCAAGGTATCACGAAAGGAAAGTTGGTTAACTATCTATCCACGACCATAAGGCACCTCTAAGGCGTCGCATCCGGCCTAGTTAACTCAACTACATTCCCTTCTAAACTACACCAACATCACGGACCACTAGGCGCCTCCTAGGCGTCCGGTTTTCGCAACACTTTTAGAAAATATTTTTCCCAAAATAATTTCGTTTGTTCTAAAAATATTTTTCCCCCTTTCTCTTTCCCAATGAATGCATGAATGCGTGTGTTTCAATTTATCAATTTAACTATAAGCTTTCACAAATTCCATTTACATCATCATCACAATTTAATAGGAATTTCTAAACATTCATTTTTTTTTTTTTTGTCCATAACCATAGCATCAATTCTTCAAAGTAATAAAAAAAATGAATCATAGAACATACAACATATCAACACTAAGTATGCTCGTTTACCGTAATAAAAATAGTCATGTATATGAACTCAAATAACACATGGAACAAAATTATCATTTTAATTACACATAACTACAACAACAACAAGCTAGGTAATCAAAATTTAGCATGCTTAGGATCAAATTTAAGGGGAAAAATTCACAAAAATCCAAGAAGTTGTAGATTAGAACACCCCTACTTCAAATTTGATGAAAATACCCAATTTGAGCCCAAGAATCCTAGAATTTCGAACTTCCTAGAGTGTACCAAAACTTGAAATTGCTTACACCCACTTAAAGATCTTGCCGTGCTCTCCGCTTTGCTACAAACGGCTCCCAAAAACTCTAAAAAATGAGGAAGTAATTAAAGATAGAAGATGAAAAAGAAAAAAAGGAAATTTTTTTTTTGTTCGAGAGAGAGAGAGAGATTTGGTCTCTGCAGAAAGGTAATGTCATTACCTTTGATATAATAAGAGGTGGGTCCCACAGGTATATAAATATTTATTTAACTTTAACATTTATTTATATATACATATATATAAACATTACATCAATGTTCTCATAATATTTCATTCCAAACCCTAAGCGCCCTGCTAGACTATATGAGAATTTATATAAGGTTCAAGATTAGTAAGTGAAAAAACCAGGTCAAAAAAAAACTCCTCGGGGTACTATCCCTAAACGTGTGACTTTAGTAGGCTTAGGCCTATACAAAGCCAATCTTTGGTCGAAATCGGGTCGCATTCGAGACCATAAAATTCAATTCACTACATCAAAGAACACATGGTATAATAAGATTAAAAAAAGAATGCGAAAAAGAATTCATGTAGTCACCTATTCATATAGGATAAAAGACAAAAATCAGAACATTGAATCATGATAATACAATGCATGTCTGCCCTAAAGAATAAAAGAGTGGACATGATTAAATCAGTCCTACAAACATTGCATCTGTGTAGACGTCTACCTGATAAGTGGAATTCTTGTTGTTACTATAAAGGCCATCTCCACCATTCATAGGAGACATTTCAGATGATGTATAAGCCATATCTATATCTATATATCTATGCAACTCAGTGAAATGACAGTGACTATTTATACTAGTTTACCCACAGTCATGCTTGCTTATGGTTATCAGTCAAGCCATGAATTCTTTAGCAATTATTTTCAAATCGACATCAAACCTCAATGTTGTCAATGAGCGGAAATTACCAAGAGAATCATAACAACTACTTACAAATTATCTAAGGGGTGTCAAATCTTAAAATTGTCTGAAGAGCAAAGTCCAACAGAAGAGACAAAATGCATTGGCAAAAAATTAAACTGAAACAACTATTTTTCTGATTCCAAGCCGCCTGTGATTTTTTTAGTGTATCGTATCTTTTGATATAAACCATGCCACTTTTATTTTTTCATTTAATGGTAATAAAATGAAATATTAATCCCAAGGATTGGCTCGAGTGGAAAGTTTACTTGGAGTTGTTATTTCATAAAGCAACAAGTTTAAAGTTAGACTCAAACAGTTTCTTGGGAAGGCACTCGTAGGTGAAAGACCTAGTTTTACTCGACCCGCGCAGAGGAAGCAATTTGTTCAGTGCTTCAGTTCCGGTTCCAAAAATTTGGAACCTATAAGAAGAGGAACCGTACTAATAATTATATAGAGCCTATATTTACCGAAAATACATATATATGCCTACATTTATCGAAAATATATGTACATGTCTATTAGATGTTTGTTTGGCAATACATGTAGCCCGAGTTAATTGCCTTTAGTCAAGGAATTGCTAAAAAAAAATGAGGGGGGACCGTAACCGGTTCGGTTCGGTTAAGTTCCGGTTCCATGTCCCAACGGTTCTAGTTCCAGTTCTAGTTTTTATGAACGATTTCAATTAGGTTCTGTCAATAACATAACTGTTTCGGTTCTGATTCCGTCAAAAACCGTACTAAATCAGACTTTGTGTACCCTTACAAAGCTTCATATACCCAATTACCTAAAAAAAAAATTAAAAGAAAAATATAAAATCCAAGGCAAATGATCGAGGGAGCATATACCGTTTCACTCAATAAAAGATTTTTTGTAATATTAATGATTATATATCATCACAAGCCTGAAGCCTCTCAAGTCGCAACAAATGATTGAATGGTGTCAACATATATGTTTCTAGCTTGCCTACGTTTCAAGTCGCAACAAATGATTGAATGGTGTCAACATATGTGTCAAAAGCATATGCCAATAGAGAAGTCTTGGATCTAAAATCATAGACATTCACAAGCACCCTGTCTGCAGTATATACCAGTAATGACTTGAAAAAATAGCATATAAATTACCCAATCTTGCCTGGTGTGTGCGCTATCAAATGGGGTACCTTAGAGGCTGTTTTCTAATATTGTACCAAGTGACTTAGATTTTGACATCACTTTTTTATGCATGATCGTTGCAACATTAAAATATATATATTTAAAAAAAAAAAAAAAAAAAAAAAAAAAAAAAAAAAAGAATAAATGAAAATTAGTCCAACTATTATGCCATGTCCTATTAGGCATTTGCAAGAACTACTAAGGACTAATTTGGTATGAAGGAATAAAATAAGATACCAATGGAATGAACCAGATAATGGAATGGGAATGGAATGACTATTTCTATTCTCTCCATGCATGGCTTAAAAAGAAAAACTAATTTATATATATATATATGCGCAAATATATACTTTCGATGTATATTTGGAAATTGAGAAGACCATTCCTATTCTCTCAATGCATGGCCTAAAAAGGAAAACTAATCTATATGCAAACCAAATATATATATATATATATATATATATATATATATATATGCCTAATATATATATTGGAAATTGAGGAAGAAATATCAAGAAAAAGTCGACTTTTATTGAATCTCGTTATTTGAAAAAAGTGTGTTAGCAATTACATCGTTCAAGTAAAGCGATTTTTAATATTATTTTTACTCTGTATTTTTTTAAATGGGGAATCGTTCAAGCAAAGTGATTTTTAATATTATTTTTACTCTGTATTTTTTTAAATGGGGAATGGAATGCCCATTTCTTTTGTTGGAAAGTGAAATGATTTTGATGGAATAACAATTCTCCGAAAAATGTGGAGAATAGGCATTCCATCTTTAAAATTACTTTCCAAATAAAAGAATGGAATTAAAAGCATTTCATTCCACTTTATTTCATTCCATTCCCAATTACCAAACTAGCCCTAAAATTGATTGATTTAAAAAACATCACATAATATGAATTAATCATAGATTCAATTTTCCATGCAACAGGAGGTCTTCACCTTTTAAAGATGAAGATAGTGAGCTGGTTTACATTTTATTTTTTTATTTTTTCTCACCGAAACAGTGAGCTGGTTTACATTTTATTTTTTTTATTTTTTCTCACCGAAACACACCTCCATACCCACAGCATGTCCTTTAAGAAACTCGAATTCTCAACATGTCTTTTGGATTGGAGAGTTATACCATTCCGGCAAAGGGCCTAGCGGTTTGTGTTGGTTTACATTAACTGCCTATACATCATGTTTTTGTAAACCGGATGAGTTTTTATTAGAGATGGCAACAAGACAGGTTTGGGACTTAGGGTTGGAGGAACCCAACCCGAATCCCATCCTTACCCCCATTTGCAATAGCTTCCCATCCTTACCCAAAACTATTTATTAATTTGGTCGCGACGGGGAACGTTTAGGAAAGTACTTTGGCAAGTTGTATCTCGAGTCTAACAAAGATAAAATAGCGGCGAAATAATTTTTCAACCATGGTAATAAGACAAAAGATTTAAATTCTCAATTGGAACTTGAGATTTAATATATATTATTATTATACCAATATCACAAGAATACATAGATTTCTCAAAAATATATATATATATATATACAAAAAGATATCTAATGATTGAGATAGGATTTTGCTTAATATATACGTAATATTTTTTAATATAAAATATAATTAATAAGAGCAAAATTGTAATTTATCAACATAAATGTAAAGGTGACCTTTTTCGTCCCATCTTCCCTTTGCAACTGCGTGAACTTTCAATTTTAATCCTCCATTTCTATTCCAAAACCATTTAACCACTCCGGGTGTTTTGCAATCCCTAGTTCTGATTTTTGAACCTCCACTAGCAGCTAGACAAATATAAGCTTAGAAGCCCTAGACAAAAAGGGCATAAATGAACAGTATTTGGGTTGCGAAAAACGACCAAAAAAAAAAAAATTTCAAAAATCAAAAAGTGGTCGTTAAACACTAACCTCTGTCTTCGACTTAACCGCCCATTTTCACACCCACAAAAAGGGTCTCTCACAGCATATATATCTATGTGAATATATATATAAATACGCATATCCATCTGAAATGTCATTCTTTTAACCATCCTCCACAAGAAGCCCAAGAAATCCAAAATTGGGTAATCAAACTTAGGGTTTCTTCTAACTTTTAAGGTCTCAATCACTCACTCTTTTGATCTTTGAATCAAGATGTTCAGTGGAATATATCGTGACCATCCTTGGGATGATTTCGACATGCAATTGATCGGAAACTTTCTGAGTTTCGCTTCGAGAGGGGACAGGGTTGGACTGAATCAAATGTTGAGGAAAGGTATATCTCCCAACGTGCAGGACTATGACAAGCGAACAGCTCTGCATCTTGCGGCCAGTGAGGGTCATGCCTCAATTGTCGAGCTACTTTTGCATTACAAGGCCGAGGTTAACCTCGAAGATCGGTGGCAAAGAACCGTAAGTATCTATACAACATTGAATTTCATTAGTATATTAGCCTATTTTCGGTTTGATGAAATTTGTGCTTCGAAATTAGAATTGAAAAAAAAAAAAAAACAGTTCAAGGTTATAGTGCATGTTTGCTCCTTCAAATTTCAAATTTCAAATTTAATTGATTATTTGGTTCAGTAGATTTTAGGGTTAGATCAAGGAAGAAGATGAAGGGGAAGGGAGGAAAAGAAAATGAGAGAACAGCGCGGGAGAATAAAACTGATATCTCCTCAGCCTAATATCTCTCACACACATATACAAATAGATTAGAGAATAAAATACCTCTTTGGGTAATCTAACTACATGTATGCCCCCAATATGACTATTCTAACACTCTCCAAGCTAGAGAATATCTATAATTCAGGCCCACTTGGTGAACATATCAGCCAAAAAAATTTAGGCTCAATATTGTATTGAATAATGTGAGAGTCAACCTCAATATGTTTAGCCGTCTCACGAAAACACTGAATTAAAGGCAACATGAGTAGGTGCTCGATTATCACAAAATAACAGAGAAGGAATTTGAATTGCCTTATTAACTCACTAGATGTGTAAGCTATCTTCCTCTGTTCTCAGCTTTAGCACCAAACCTTGATTACCACTATTTGCTTTTTACTCTTCCACTTAAACGAAGATCTAAATAACTAAAGAGTTTCTATCACTATTTGCCTTTTACTCTTCCACATAAATGAAGATATAAAGAGCTTTGGGGGTGTGATGCTCAAAATCCAAGTAATACAAACCACCTACTTTTATCTCCCTTGTCTCACGTACCAATCTTCTTCTTCATCTTGAGATCCTAAAAAATACAAAATGAGATAAAAATGTTACCGAGCACTGGAGAGTTTTAGTAATGTTACTAATATACATCAACCTAAAAAACAAAATTGAGGAACATATAAAAGTAGAAAAACTAAAATGAGTTCTTAGATGATGAACCATTAGCAAAAGGAGGAACTATAAGTCATGTGGTAGACTATATAAGTGGAAGAAAATAAATATGCAGACATAACCACCTGATTGGGCGAAGAAAACCATGGAAGACGAGGAGAGTGGCTGTTGCTGAGACATAAGTTGATCATACTCATCGCGCGTGATAGTGATCATATCAGACTCAGCAGCCTGGGGAGAACAAGTGAGCGGAGCAGGTGAACTAGTAGCATCCTCATTATTGGACACCTGATTTGCATAGCCAGATAATTTTGGTCTACCATGAAGATCCCAACAATAATTCACAGTGTGATTAGGGCGACCGCAGTGAGTACATCTTAGGGGTTCTCTCCCTCTGCCTCTTCGAAAACTATTGGGTCCACCCTGAGAGACCGTTAATGTTGAACTGTCACCACCATTATCATTATGGACACCGGAGGCACCATTAGATTGAGTAGCTCGCTGGAGTCGACGAAATACATCAGTAAGAGATGGAAGGCTAGGACCATCCAAAATTTGTGCACGAATAGGCTCATATTCCGGTGACAAACCAGTTAGAAACCGAATAACATTGAAATCCTCGCGTTGCTGTTGCATTCGCTGAACATCACAAGTGAGGGGTTGATACATGTTCAATTCATCACAAATTCTCTTTACTTTTGAAAAATATTCTTCTAAACTCTGATTACCTTGGTCGAGGCTGAAAAACTGCTTGCCCACCTCGTAGATGCGACTGACATCGCCCGTCCTAGAATACAATTGCTTTAGGCGGTTCCAGATGTCCTTGGCATAATTGAGATGAATTAAGTTGGCGCCGATGTGAGGTTCAATACTGCTTAACATATAATAAATTGTCTGAGCATCATGTTGCTCCCATGTACCTAAATTTGGATCACTTGAATTTGGTTTGTCCTCGATCAAATGGCTGCCAAGGCCTTTAGCTTTGAGGAAAATCTCAAATGATTTGGCCCACAGGTTGTAGTTTTTGCCATTAAACTTGAAGGTCATGGGAAGGTCAAACGAGGTTGTGGATGAAAATGGGTCACAATTGAATGACATGATAGAGAAAAAAAAAACAATTTAAAATTGGGGACAAAGACTGAAATGGTAGGAAAAGAACCTGAACTGGGTTGGGCAAAACAAGGTGATGAGATGGATCAGAATCGGTTCGAATAAAACCCAGATGTTTGCTGGTACAAACAACCGGGCGGGTTAACCCGCTTTCTTCTTCCTCAAATCGTACGGCAACCACTCTGAACACCAACGATCAACCAATGATCAAACAACAACCGCCGGGCATGAAATCCACCATGGCGACGAACGAAGACTACCACAATACAAAACTCATCGTGCGATTACACAAACATGGAGGAACGAACGAACGATGATGACGGAACCAACCATCGACGACGACGACGTGAATGATGCACTCAACAATGAGACCTACCCAGGTTTGTGCTTTGATAACATTTACATTTTGTAGATTTTAGGGTTAGATAAAGCAAGAAGAAGAAGATGAGAGAACGGTGAAAGCAAAAAACCCTTCCACCCTCACTCCTACTTTTTAATAGGGGAGCAAAGATATAATGAAAAGACTAGAATACCCCTTTAGGGTAATCTATTTACATATGTGCCCTCAATATTGCTTAAAATGTGTGATGCGTTTTTGAATCATTCAGGGTATTTTGCTAAATAATATGTTTCTTGTATAATTGGTTCATCTGATGTGAATCAAGTGATACACTTTTGACATCTCTACTGGATTAACTCCATCGGCATTGACAACTATTGATACTGTCTTTTGATTGTTTAAATCAAGCCTTTGACAGATGCTAGGCTCTATGGACACCGAGATATATGCAGGATCCTGGAAGTCAATGGAGGCAGGGATTCTGTTGATGACCAGACAATGGTAATTGAATTGATACTTAAGAAGGGACTGTTATTGTTTATCATATGAATTCAAGCAATTAGATTGAGCAAAATGTTGTGTTGGAACTTAGAAGTACTTGATCTTATGTCTGCCACCCATTTGCAAGTCTTATATAATAAATTATTCTGCTGTGTAACTTTAATATATCAATTGTTCAAGGAAACCTCACATGTGGCCTTCATTTGGTCCAACACGTGTTTTTCAAATTTTAAGTAAGGTGACGGTGAGGTTTGAACTTGAGACCTTTGGCTCTGATACTATGTTAAAAATCATCTACTCCAAAGCTTAAGCTATTAGAGTGGTATAACTTTAATATATAAATGCTTCAACAATCTGCTAGCTTATGTTTATTGTGAGGAAGGAACGAAGTAAGCTTGGAAGATTGCTCTAAAGATATGGAGGCATTTATTTACTTCTGAACAGGATATTGAAGGGGGCCGTCCAAAATCTTTGTCTTTTGGTGACAGCTTCTCCAGATAAGAGGATGATTTAGGAAAGGAAATCAGTTTTGTATCTTAAATTTGAGCTCAATACTTATATTAAGATGTAGGGGAGAAAATGTGTACAACACAAGCAGATGTAGTCCTTGGATGGGGTGGAACTCTAGTTTGGACGGTGCAGCATGCCTTCTTGGTTGCATTCAAAGCATTTTCGCTTGGATGATCTTATTAAATTGCCTCTATTTGAATCACTCTGTTAGTAGGCAGATTACGTGGGTTATGTCCAGTTGCATAACTGGCCTTTTTTGACCTGACCATTGTAAATCAAAATGCTTTGAAAATTTTAACAGGACTATATGCTTGTTTATGTGTGGTTGCTTGATGTCTTAAGAAACTGAAAATCCCTGGGAGTTACTCACAAATTAAGGTATGAAGTTTTCTACAAATACCTGGGTGTGCCAGCAATACTATCAGAAAACATGACAGGAGATTTGTAATGATACCTTTTTTATTAATATAGGGCATATTTTCTGCTAACTGAATTTTTATTTGGGAATGATGTTATGTAGAAAAGATTCCAATGTTAAAAAAATTATTTCATTTCTTCATGCAGACAGTTTGTCGTGAACAAGATTCAAATGAAGTGAATATTGATATGTCTGAATTGAATTTACAGCAGTCCTCAATAATTGAACAGGTATGCAAATTAAAGAGGATTTTGTTGGTCCTTTTACCCGATGTTGTGTTTAATAATTTTTCATAGTCATTCAATTTTGTTAAAGAAAGCTAGTTCTCTCTTAGTTGAAGTAGTTGTAAATCAGAATTTGTGGACTATGTGTATAATAATACTCTGTGTATATTGACCAACGGACCAGTGGCCTAGCGGTATCAGCCTCTTACTTCCCAAAGGGAGGTCAGGACTTCAACTCTCGGAAGAGACAAGTGTGTGTGAGTACCAACTAGGAAAAAAAAAATTATTGTGTGTATATTGTATAATAGTATCTTCATGTGGCAGAATGAAAAGGATATACTTGAGATGCAACGCCAATTCAGGCATCATATGGGTAAAAGTGGAACCAGACTCTTTCTTACTGAGAAATAGCTTTAGAGCTTAAGTAGGTTTACCATGTTGTACCATATGGCAAAACCAATTGTATTTCACTCTTATCCCAAAATATTCCTTCGATTTCTTAATATATTCCAAGTATGAATGAATTTAAGCTTTTTAGCAACTGTAAATGACATTAGTGTTGCTGGAATACATAAGGAATCAGATTGGTCCACTTTATTTACACAGATTTGATGGCACAAACTCACCTTTTAGACAAGGCCACTAAAATTGCCGCCTGTATCGAAACTTGGTTCTTCCCTGATTTAATGGTTTGCCAACAAAGAATAAGAATTATTTTCAATATTATTCCTGACAAGTTATGACCAATCATTTTCTTCGTATGAAGTTAAATCTGATGCAGGTCGTCTGTTTGTGTTACTTGTCAGGGTGTATTTGGTGAATCTGAGAAGGTCAAGTGGCGTGGAACGTGGGTTGTTAAAACAGTAATCAAGAGGCTCATATATTATCCAGTAGAAATGTATGATTATGCTTTTCCTTGCTATCTCAGCATAATGAATTAGTGACCTAGTTGGTCAATTCAAGATACTGATAATTTGAAAAAACAATTCAGGGTTTTGTCTGCCAAGGATAATACTCTTTTAAGGGAACTTCGGCATCCCAATATTTTGCAGTTTCTTGGTTCAATTGTTCATGGTGAAGAGATGATCCTGATTACAGAATATTTGTCAAAAGTAAGCACAATCAGACAATTTTGTAATTCAATGTCAATCGGTCTCTCCATAATTTTGTTCCTTTTTATGCATGTGTCCAAATTTAGCTTTGTATTTCAAAATCAGTAGCCAATTTTGCTGATTCTTTCGCAACTAAGGTTTCTTTCTTTCTGGTTGATTCTGCTGCGTTAGGGAAACTTAAATGAGATTCTGGATAAAAAAGTTCGCCTTGACATACCAACTGCTGTGAGATATGCACTTGACATTGCTAGGTACTATGCTTTTGCTTCTTTCCACTCATTTCAAGAAACAACAATGGTGACCAGATAGAAATATTCATTGCTCCCATGTTTAAAGTTACCATTATTTCTTTATCTTATGGTATATATCTGCATATCATGCTTCTTTCTGATTCAACATTAATCTTAGTATAACCGTTTCCTTGTTCTCTCTCTGATATTGTAAGATGTATTTCCCTGTTTATTAATTTTTGATATCTTGTCCACTTCCATTAAAAGTAAAAATGAGTTAAATTTTTTTATGTCAAAACAGTATATTTTCCATTTAGTACCCATATAGTACCATCTTATCTGGAAACAATATGTTTCTCATACTTGGCTACCTAGCACAAAACATGTTCATGTTTGAGAGAAGCCACTTTTTTGCATAATTATGTCAGAGGGAAGGTTTTGTTTTAGTTAAATCATACACTACCATTCCCATTTTGCTTTTTTCCCAATTTCGAGAGCCTCATCCTGTTGTAAATCTTGTCATTTCATTTCTGTTTTAGTTGTAATTTCTCTTTAATTCTCTAGTTTGTAAATGAGGTTTCTAAGTAAATTAATCAGCTAAATGCATGTGAAAAAATAATTTGAGATTCAACCTTGTATCGAAAATTCGAAATGACCATTTTTTGAAATTTTAATCATATATGAATACAAATGTGAACCCATTTGTTTGACCGCACGACATGTTTCTAGATAATATGTAATATGTTTGTCACAAACAATTTTTATTTTTTATATACAAATTAAAATTCAATAATTGATATTTAATATCTAAATCAATTGATCTCTTGTCCCACCTTTTGAAGAACTTGTTTTAATATTGTCATTTCATTTCTGTTTTAGTTGTAATTTCTCTTTAATTCTCTAGTTTGCAAATAAGATTTCTAAGTACATTAATCAGCGAAATGCATGTGAAAACAAATAATCTGAGATTCAACCTTGTATCGAAATGACGTTTTTTGAAATCTTAATGATATATGATTACAAAAGTGAACCCGTCTGTTTGACCGCACGACATGTTGATATCTCACTTTCTAGATCATGTGTATTATGTTTGTCACAAACTATTTTCATTTGTTATATACAAATTAAAATTCGATCATTAATATTTAATATGTAAATCAATTGACAGGGGAATGAATTACCTTCATCAGCACAAGCCCTTACCCATAGTACACAATCATTTGCATCTCAGGTAAGCTAATTACACTAGAGTCGTGAATTATATTATCTTCACCAATTTGGTATTCTTTATTGAAAATTATTTCACGAAAATCTTACCCAATTTAAACAGTTCTACTAAAATTAAATGGTTTTCTTTTTTTTCTGTTACTAGGATCCCTAACTTGCTAAGCATCCATGTTGTATTTGGATTTACAGAATTCAAAATTGGAATACATATGGTGGAATAGTCCAAGTTGAAAAAATCTTGATTGTCAATCTAAATATTCTGAATATATATATATATATATATATCCAAGATCTGAAAGGCTTATATTTTGAAATGAAACGTCTTCAGGTCTTACACAACCAATACCATCAAATGCATAAAGTTAAGATTAAATGAATAAGAGGGAAAAGGATGCTACACTCACAATGCTACAAATAATAGCAAAATTCTACATTTTTGGGATCTAGCACATCTTTACCCTCTTTTTCTTCTTTCAATAAATTTCCTTAATATAATGTTCAATAATTTATTTTGAATTCAAGAGGTAAAATATTAAGTACGTACATAGTTAAGGATTAGAGAAGCTACTTTATATTTGAAGCCCACTGACTACATCTCTGAATACTTTTAGACATTATCAAAGAGAGGCTGAATCTGCACCTAGTTCTCTTTCACCGTTCCACGTGTTGGTCTTTTGATGCCTTGTAATTAGTCCTCACTTTATGGACGGACAAGTTTGAGAAAAAAAAGGGACCTGAAATATATAACGTGAAAAATTGTTTTTGGCTCTTTTTTCTATGCCTCCATGTAGCTTCAAACAGAACTTCAGTCAATATAGAGACAATTTATGCTTGAATAAACTTTTTGATTTGAAATGTAGACAAGTAGTTGCACATATCTCTAAATGGTAATATGCATTCAGAAATATTCAAACTGCATTTACTATCAAAAATGAAAATTAATGATGTTTTCACAAATCATTTCATTTGTTTTCTCCAAGAAACTTGCTGCAAGATGAAGGTGGCCACTTGAAGATTGGTGAATATTGGGTTCAAATGTTGTATGAGCGGATACACCCCAATCAAGACAATTGTATGTTTATGTCTCTGTTGTGAAGTTGTGTTTTAACATTTTTATCACCTATAGTAATATCTTTTGCTTTACAGGTCAAGTAAATGACAATACTAGGATCATTAGATCTTCATCAAATGACACCAACAAAGATATTCATTCATTTGGATTCATATTTTATCAGGTACTTAATCGTTGTGTGTGTGTCCTGGCAAAAGTCTAACATATCTACTTTGTCCCTATGGGACTTGAACTTGCAAACTCTTACTTCAAAAGGTAGAGGAGATACCACTGGGTCCCTTGGTGAACAATTGCCTCATTAGACTGGATCTAAATGGCATCTTAGCAACTCTCGACTCTGTAGGCATTAGTATGGAATTTCATGATGTGTGGATCTGATATTAGCAATTATCTGTGTGTTATTATTTGCATTGCATTTTCGTAAGTCTCTATTTTCACTCATCTAGTTGAAGTTTTTCTATTAGACTTAGCAACAATAAGGTTAAAGAAGAGAGCAAGCAACACTAACATTAGAGAAGATAGTAGAATACCCTTCTCACTTGTCCTTGCTGGTATGGAAATAGTAACACTTATACCTGATATTGTATTATACTCATGATTATAGTTGTCTACACAATGATAGTAATTTTCATAATATATTTTACATAAGCCTCCATTTAGATTAACTTCATGGGAGATATCCATTATAATGTACAATGAATAACTACACAGACAAGTTAATTAGTAACCATTCAGACAAGATGTCAACAAATTTATAAACTAATAATCTAAGAACTTTTCTTTGAAGCCTTCTAGAATGCTCTTTGAAATGTTGGGTACTGTGCAGTCAACCTGGGTGCAAGCATGCTCCTAAGCCACTGCTACGCGCAACACCTTACAATTTCCTACCAAAAAGGAAACATAAAATATAAAGTTCACTTGAAATGGTCTCATTCTTGCTAGTATATATGCTGGTGGGGGACTATTTTGAATCACTGTTCTTATTTCATTTTAAATGAGTATAATATTATTTGTTAGTGCTTTTACTGAACACTACATATTTGGTTAAGCTGGATAAACAAGCTTTCACAATGATCCATCAAGCTTGGTCTGCATTAGCTACGTTGATCATGAAGGACAGAAGAATGGAATCCATTAGCAATTCTGTGTTAGGATTTGCGTTGTATGGTTATAAGCGTCTCTTTTCACCCATCTAGTTGCAAGCTTCCTATTAGATTTAGCAACAATAAGGTTAGAGAAGAGAGTGGAAGACCTCCTCTTGTGCCCTTGTAGGTTGGTGGAAGATCATGTGGGCGTGAAGATAGGAACACTTTCTTTATCTATTTTTCCTTCTCTTTTAAAGTGGCATGGAGATAGAAACACTTATATCATTTTGTATTCATAATTGCAGTTGTATACACAATTTTTATGATTTGCAAAATATCAAACCGTAAGAATTTTACACAAGCCTTCATTTATATCAACTTCATGGGAGATATCCAATAGAACCTTGTTGTGGAAAATCACATATACAAGTTACGAGTAGCATGCCACTTGGACAAGACATGTCAAAAAATTTATAAACCAGCTAATTTAAGAAATTCTCTTTGAAGCCTTCTAGAATGCTAGTTCCCTTTAGAAAATGCCCCTAGGCTACTAAAGGTTTTTGGATACTTTACAGCCAACCAGGGTTCACTTATCCTCTTAAGCCACTACTACAAGCAATACCTAGCATTTTTTCATCAGAAAGTAACAGAAATATATAACTTGAAATAATATCATTCTTGCCACTATTTATGTTGGTGGGGGATATTTTGAAAGGTTATTCTTACTTCTTACTGATAAATGTGTCTTTAGTGTTTGTTTGTGCTACTAACCACTGCATATATGTTTATCTCTTCTGAACTGCAATTTATATTTGTAACGCAAATGTATAACAGATGCTAGAAGGAAAGCACCTTACTGACTTTATACATCTCAAATCCTTCGATTTTGAGCCAAAGTTTCATGTAAGCAGATGTCCTGGAAGAATTCAACAGTAAGTGAATCTTGTAGTCCATTCCAAATTTTTCCGGCATCTTTTTGATGAAATGTTTATTGAAAGAAATGAATATACTTAGATTGCATGCTATGGATACCACACAATTGCTATTAATAAAAACACGAAAGAGCAGTTATTTGCACTCAACCCTGTAATATTTTGTATGTAAAAGATCGTAATCCGTCTTATTAATTATACTTCTTTTTCTTTTCCTTTTTCCTTTTTGAATTCTGTTTTGTCAAAAAGAACTTGGTTCTGAAGTTTTTGCATGTAATGAATGTGCTTAAAGATAATTTATATAATATCTTAGGAAGCATCAATGGCACGAGGAGGCTTCAAAAAGCATTATCATTTTTACATGTTCAGATGTCCTTGTTCTATGTGAATTAGTATGCATGCATAAATATTGTGGGTCAAGAAATTGTTACAACAATATTACATGAAATACGAAAGGGAATCCTATGTGAGTGTGTTACATGAAAAAATGTTTGACAGATCAGTGCTCAATATAAATTGATGGCTTCTCTCACTCCCCTTCCCCGCTCTCACACCGCTCTTGTGTGTGTGTGATGTGCATATTTTCTTTTGAAGTATCCCACTCAAAATTCTGATAAAGAAAGCCTTTCATTGCTTGATTCTGACCTCCAAACTGAACATCAAATTGAAATTTTTGGTACATATCTTAGCCTGGTAATACTAGAACCAAAATGTTCAGGAAAAAAATAATAATAATCTTGTAAATGTATGAAGAATCTAAATTTCATGAAGAAATGGGGAAGTTCCTAATGGGATGGAAAAAACTAGCTGTACGAACTTATCCTATAGTTTACATTAGAATTGTGGCTTAATTACAATCAAAATATTAAGGAATAGAGATGAAATTGAGTTTCACAATTTATTAGTAGTTTTTTTAATAAGTGCAAATGTATTTGTTGGAGAATAATTATAAGAATCAGGAGGAAAATCTTCAATAGTATTAGAAAGCGTTCAAAAGGGGAGCGCATCCCGGAAATTGAGTTTCACGATCTTAACAGCCAAAGTTGAATATTTCTCAGTCGTGTTCTCTTTTTTATGTTGATATTCGTAATTGTAATGTGATGAAAAAATGGGTTTAGGATTCCATGCATCAACCATGGATGTCGATGGTTTATACAATGAGGGCATTATACATGTCCTCAAGCTAAAATAAGGCACTTTCAAACATTATAGAAATAATGTTGTTTTAATGTCGTACAGGCATGCATCCAAAGAGATGAAGGTTGAAATTGCTCTATTTTTACCATCAACCATGAATATATATATATGTATATATATATATATATATAGTTTAAAGAAGCTAAACATTTGAAGTAGGGGGGAAAAAAAAAAAAAAGCTAAACATTATATGAGGTTTTTTATCCATTGATTGCTATCAAATCATGCTTGTTGGGTACTCGGTGCTTGTAGAATATTAAACTTTTTCCACTTAAAAGCAAAATTTACAACTATTATGTCACATTTTTTGCTTCGTATCTACAAATATATATTTAGCTGTTCATCATGGAATATATATGGTTACCATTTGCAGGATGATAAAGCATTGCACTAGCAAGGACCCGTCTGAGAGGCCTACATTCGAAGCTGTCATACAAATCCTAGAAGAAGTTTCGTCTTGGCTGCGAAAAGCTGGTTGCCCTGTTTGTTGATCAAGTTGTAGAATATAGATAAATTCAAGCGACGGCATAAGTGAAACTCGCTTGGAGCAAGATGAAAAAAAGACTTGCATTGATGCAATTGACATGCTCTGATCAAATGGTAGCTGTTTCAGAGACCTCTTGTATTGATGTTAATAAAGCTGTTGTTTTTTAATATTATCTTCCCAACCTTATTTGAAGATTCTCACAAGATCTCACACCTATTCTCGCTATTGATTTAGTTTTCTTTCTTTCTGGGAAAGGATTACTAGATAAACCTGCGTAAATGATCAAAATGACAATATGATATCTCCTAAGCTTAAAGATTAAATTCTATGCATCATTGCTCCTTTTCTTTCCATGCCCCGATTTTGAAAATATATATATATATATATATATATATCAGTTTATATTTTTATTTAGGCGGGAAAAAAATATGAGAAAATCGAATTCCTTTTTCTTTTCCTTCTGCTCTGCAAAGGTTGCAAACCGGACAGTACAAAGCAGCCAAAAAGGAATCTGCTTGCATACAAATAAAGCACCCCGATGAACAGAGTTCTAATATAAGCGGTTTGAGCGTTTGATTCTCTTTTGCTGATGAGTGCACACAGGTAAGAATGTGGTGTACCATTGTACTTCAAAAAGAAAGGTGACACTGACATGATCACTCATTAACCAAACAATATTGTGTCATTCTAAGGGCATCAGGTATATACGAGTGAGAATCGTATTATTTATCCAAAATGGCTACGATTGCCACTCACCACACTTTCTTACGGGGTGTTAACTTGGCTATCTACTCTTTTTACCATACCAATTATGTTTTATGGTATGCAATTTCTCATTATTTACTCCACTATTTTTTTTAATTAGAATGATAGATGAGGGTGAGAGAGAAAAAAGTGGAACCACAAAAATAATCAAAAAGTATATTGTATATTCCAAAAACTGACACAAGATATAGATGTAAAATGTATATTCTGAACAATAGTGTCATATACACCGTTTAGGGAGCTTCCTGAAAAAACATTGTGACGTTTACGCACATGTAAAGAACTTTTTCGAAAAGCCAATAATCAAAAAGCCTATTTTAGAGAAGTAAGAAAATGTTGCTTTTAAAACTGTTTTCTAAAATAAATTTGTTATTTTACTCATTTGTCCATACATTTTTCACAGAGTGACAAGATTGTCCTTATATTCTTTATTGGTAGTCCGTTCCACCACCACCACCGCCATCGTGACCTTCACTCACCACCATCATTGCCTCCGCCACCACCATCACCCTTCATTACCACTGCCGCCACCATCACTCTTCATTACCACCGTGACCTTCCACGACCGCTACCTTCCACAACCGCCACCATCACCTTTCACTACCATTACTGCCACGATCACACTTCGCTACCACCACCACCTTTCACCACTGCCACTATCACCCTTCGCTGCCACCACTGTCACAATCACACTTTATTACCACCGCCGCTATGACCTTCCACCACCATCACCATTGCCATTGCCACCTTCCACCACCACCACCATCACCCATCATTATCGCCACCACTATAACCTTCCACCATCACCCTTCACAATCACTGCCACTATCACCTTTCACCACCATTGCCACCAACTGCCACCACCACCACCATAACCTTCCACCATCACCATTGCCACTATCACCTTCCACCATCATCACCATCACCAACCATCACCACCGCCACCACCACCACCTTCCACCACTGTGACCTACCACCACCGCCGCCGCCACTTCCAAGCTTCCACCATTACTACCACCGCTGTCTCCACCCTTAACCACAACCTTCCACCACTGCTAGCACCATCAACATTGTCACATTCCATTACCACCACACTCAACCACCACTTTCTACCACCACAACTATCAACATTGTCATTGCCTTTCATCATTGCCCACTTCACACTTTTTGATTGAAGGGTTGCAATAATTGTTAAGGATAAAGGATGTTATTGTCAAGATAAAAATAATCTAAAAGTTAAAAGTGAATTTAAGAAATGTGCTCGCCTAACATCTTTTTCTTATAATTTTTTTCCAACAAAATCCCTTTCACGAAGGCTTTTATCAATGAAGGACTTATAATGTGAGAAAGCTCTCCCAAACGGGAATCTATTTGACTCTCTGAATGTGAATAATGGTAACGAATAGATAATCAGGGGTGGGCCTAATTGCATGACACTCTACTCCCACCCACACCAGTCCCTCATTTTATATTTTAACATCATATTATCTACTTATGATTGCACCCTTATGTTCTAACATCATAGTGCCCGGTTGGGGAGCTTCTCGAGGCCTTTAAAAGCACTTCCAAGCTTCAAAAGTCCTTTTTTAAAAATATTACTGCGTATGACATTGATTGTAAAGCCTTTTTTAAAAAACCATGGTCATGAAGTCCATTTCAAATAAGGGATAAAATGTTGCTTATAAAAGTTTCTTTTTAGGAAGCCATTTTTTATTTATTTTTTTTTTTTTTGTAGTTTTATAGATCGATTTTATCTTATATTTCCTCTTCGGTTGCGCGCTAAAGTGGTTTACCAAGTGTTTTTTTTATATAACATCTCCAAACCAGACTCTTTTGTTTTTTTCAACAAACCACAAACTTACAAGTACAAAGTTATGCATTTGACATATTAGGTGACAAATCATATGCGTGTAAATCACAAGCTTTCTGAATCATAATCCAGGAACAAATAACAACTTATATGAACAATTATTCATTTATTCTTAAATTGAAGCACCATAGAATAGAAGAGAAAAAATACTAGCATTAATTAGATTTTGAGCAATTGAAATATCAATCTCTTTGCTTTTTCTGTGCTACTATTAGTTGGTTATGGGATGATAAAAACAATTATACATTTTCACTTTATTCATATATATAATTAAAAGTGCACCTTTTAATTGAAAGCCTTATATAAATAATTTTGCACTTCACGAAAAGATGTAAAAAACGAGGGCTTGTTACATAACTCAAAAAAAATAATATATATGTGCTAGTCTCATTAAATTTGACAAATAAATAAGAAAAGAGCGTGACAAAGTCATTCAATTCCTTTTTAGTTTCAATTTAGGCAATTCTCTCTCATAAATGCCTCCTCTCTCTTCTTCTTTTACTTATCTTTTTCTTTTTCTTCTTCTTCTTTTTTTCTGTTTTTTTTTTTTTTTTTGTCAAATTCAGCAACTCAGTCACACAAATCCTTACCCAAAAAGATATAAATAAATAAATAAATAATTACATATGGATAAAATTAGGAGACTAAAATAACAAAGTGGTTTATTTTAAAAGTTTAATTTTTAATTTAATTAAATTAAGCAAAATAACTACAAATGAATAAAAATTTAATGTTTCCTTTATTTTTTTTTATTTAAACAAAGTTCTTCTAAGTTGTTATGTACTAACTCACATAAAGCGGGAGCGGGAACGGGAGCGAAAACAAATTCGAGAGCAGGAACGTGAGAGCGATAGACTTAAGCCCTCAAAGCGTGAGAGTGGGAGCACGCTCGGAATATGAGAGCGACACCCGTTGAGAAAGATTGTGTAACTTAAGTTATGTATATATTAATACTAATTTCAACTAGTTCTACTGAGTTGGTAAGCCTTAACCATTGCAAATCTCCTTCCTACCATCAGCACGCCATGGGTATGAAATTGGTGCCAAATTTGAGTCCAAACTCTAGTGGATTTCATCACGACTTACAAGGCTCAGATAGTCCTTTACTTTGGAGGTAGAAGAAGATCGAATGAAAAATGGTCGTATCTTCAAGAAAGGAAGCAACAAGTGTCAACAGTTTACTTATTTTTTCCTCATGTATGCCAGAGTCTAAAATCATGATGAATCTTTTATCTTCCTTACACGGAAATATATATATATATATATATATATATATATATATATATATATATATCAACTATCTAAATTATGTTTGGTTGTTCAAACTCGTTTTTAATTTGTTAGACTTAATTTAGGAAAAATAATAATAATAATAAATCAGAGAGTGTGGAGATCAGCATCCAACATCTGTAATTCCATAGTGCTCTTTCGATTTGTAGCTCAATATTTTGGAATATGGTATTATGATATGATAAGAGACTCTTATTTATCATGCATTTTAAAATAAAGACTTGAATGTTTGTGTGAAGATTTATTTCAATATTTTAGATGTAATAAACTTTTCGGGGGAAAAAAAATGTAGATATAATAGGTCCAGCACCCAATTGGAACAAAAGAAGAACAATGCATAGTAAGAGTAGTGATTTAATTACTACTTTTCTTGATTTTCTTTTATTGCACAACTTATTTAATGTTTTATACCACGAGAAAGAAGTTATTCAAAAACTAAGAACAGACACTAGTCAAATTTTTATTTTGTCATTATGGAGTATCTAATTCATATTTGCTAGTTCAAACAGATTCTTAACTATATATCTATTTTGGTATTATAAAATTATATGTTTTTAAGAATGATATTTTTGTACTTTGAAATAAGAGTTTGGAGGGTATTTTGTTATTTAGAACTCTTAATTCTATCATTTAAAATAAATAAATAAATAACACTCTGACAAACATTTCTACTTGAATTTATTTTTTTAAGTCATGTAAATCCGTTTAAATACACATTATAAATCCGTTTAAATACACATTACTCATCTTATCCTATTGGTTAAAAAAAAAAATCTTATCCTATTATGTAACAAATATATCCTATGTTAAAACAAACTTTCCATAAATATTATCAGTAATAATATACTCCGTATTTTTTCCCAAGTAGTTATGATATATTTATAATCAAATAATATTAAAAAATGTTAAATGTATATAAATTTTACATCCATTTCTATAATAATATATATATATATATACTACTAGTAGTATAATTTTTTTTCACATAAAATACAGAGAGAGAGTGTGGTGGTAGTAGGCTTGTACCTCCTTGGGTGTAGAGAGAGACACAGTGGGGAGAAATGGACAATAACTAAAAGGCCCACCAAAGCATGGAGTGAGTCCTACAAGGTCACAATTCTCATTTCCCCTTCTTCCATCTTTGTCAAAACCTCACTGCCTCAGTATCATCGCTCTCTTCACCCTCCCTGCAAAATCTTTTATTTATTTGGTTTATTTATTATTATTTTTTTTAATTAGGGTTTCAGTCTTTCTCTATTTAAGATCGCATTCCCTCTTTCTCTCTCAATCTTTTCTGAGAAATGGCCGGAATTCGATTGCCGCCGGAGGAGTCCGACCTCTCACAGGCCAGAGCGCCAACCACAACCGATCTGATCTCAGACGATGACCGCTCTGTGGCGGCGGACTCGTGGTCCATAAAGAGCGACTACGGAAGCACTCTCGACGACGATCAACGACACGCCGATGCCACCGAAGCTCTCTCTGCCGCTACCTTTCGCACTGCCTCTGATTACAAGTTATTGATTTTTAAATGATACACGGAATTCATTTCTTTCGCCCTGTTTGGTTCATGAGAAAACATTGTTTACAAAAAAAAACACTTTGAAATTTCGAATCTTGAGCATGCAATGAAACTGATTTCAAGTTAATCTACTTGAGATTTGTTTCCTTTTTTTCTTCTGTTTTTTCTGGAACAACATAATGTACGGGTTTGAATACTAATTTCAAAATTTTATTGGTTGTGTATAAGCAGTTCTGACAAGGAGGAGCCAGATGCCGAAGCAGTTTCATCAATGCTGGGTTTCCAGAGTTATTGGGATGCCGCATACGCAGATGAATTGGCGAATTTTCGTGAACATGGCCATTCTGGTGAAGTTTGGTGAGTGTTATTTTGACTATGCAACTTCTCTTGTATGTTTGTCCTTTCTATTTTATGGGTTTCAAGTGTAACTTCACCTTCGAAGTTAGCCTAACAGGAAAAGTTGTCTCTGAATTTGTGGTTGAATATATGAAAGGGATGTTCCGACACGGTGGGTTACAACAACTCATGCTTGTTTGTATTTGTACATATGCTTTTCATGAATGGGAAAGATTATATAATTCTACATTAAATCTAAACTGCAATAGTGACAATTGCATAACTTGAAAGATGGAGCTCAACAGCCATTGGACTTTGATTTACAGCTATATCTGTTTCCCGTATTAAAGTGTGCACGGTTGAACTTTTTATTCATCGAACAAGCAAAATTTATGACATATCAGGTTTAGGTGTACATTATATAGATACTTTTAGATTAATCCATGATAAGAACCATGAATTTGATAAACTTTCAAGCACTCTGTTACATGTTTGTGTTAGTGATCAAAACAAAAATTTATGCATCCTTGATATTGCATAATTTCACCAAAACCTTATATTAATACCATAATAGTTCATAAGTGATTATCCATTATGAATCCAGGTAATATTGTGAAGTTTCTGGCAAAGTCATAGCCTCTTATTATCTATTTAAAAAAGAAAAATTAGAGACCCTGTCAAGTGCCTCTTGATTTTCTTTGACTGCTCTTTTGCATATTCAAGTGTTGATCTCGCCTTTTGAACTGTCTAGATGCAGTGATCCATAATATATATTCTATCTTTAAAGATTAGAATTTTTGGATTTGGGGTTTGAAAACAAGTTTTGCAGTTGAAAGAATTTGGGTTAGGATTGTGCACTTCCTCATTTTATATGCATTTCACATGTTGGGCCTGCTATGCCAATGTGAGAAATCCCAAACTAAAAATTGTGCATTTAGTTCTCTATGGTTTTCAATAAATTGTGACTTCTAAGATGTCTCATTCCATCACATAAAAATGTTAAATATTGCAGAGCAGTACAAATGCAGACCAGCTCAACACAACTCAAGGTCTAAGACAAATATTTTTGGATTTCAACTAAATTTCTAGCGAGATTTTGAAGTTCCAATTAAATTTTTAACCAAACAACCCTCAAACCTGAAAGGTAAAACAAAGGATGTTCAGTTTCTTACCAATTTAAACTATTTATCGAAATTGTTGATTAAAAAAATGATACTGTTGCAAAGGTTGAAGTCAATCCATTGTTGTTGTTGTTTTTTTTTTTTTTTTCTGGTTTGCCCGTCATATTTTTTAGGTTTTTATATGCAAAAATTTCACATATCGTTTTAATTGAGGAATGAGAGATTAGGAATTTAACAATCACTCCAAGTAGTAAGTTAGAGGAAGTTTAGAAGAAGAAGAAGAAATGGCAATAACAAGTTAGAAAATTCTAGAATGACAAGGAAAGATATGAGGAAAGAGATTTAACTGAAGCAGTTCAATTAAAAATTAAGAATTGGAAAGAAATTATTTTTCAAATTCAAAATTTTTATGGGTTCACATGAATGAATTGGAGTATTTAATTATAAAGAAAACCTACGATAAGAGCAGATTGAAAACTGTCAGGCCATTTTCAAGTGGGGCCCCAGGGAACTGCCTAAATTGCCTAGCGGTTGAGCACACACGGACATGCCGGAATGCAAAAATAGTTGCATAGGCATGCAAAGTGCAAACAATCTGGAGGCACTCCAACTTTAATCAAATTTCAAAAGTTTCAGCTTGTAATTTCACTCTTCTTCGTTTTTTTTTGTTTAAATAACTTAGGTTTGAATCTTAAGATTCATCTATCTCCAAAATCCTTGTCCTAGATATTATCATTATACGGGCATCTTATTCTTTAGTCCCAACAGTTCCACTAACTTTTTGTTAACTATAAACAATTTCATAATGTTCCATTTAACTTGGTTTGGATGGCTTGTTCATACAATGCTCAGAAGCTTCTTCTTTTTTTTTTCTTTACTTTGTTAAAGTTTTCAAATTCCATGGACAGTGTTCTCTGTGACCTCCTCTTCTTGACTGTTAATATTCATTGTTCCTTATTGTTGTCAGTACATGACACCAAGGTGATACCACATGGTACTCGGAGTATTGAAGGTTTAATATATATATACATATATATTATATTGAAGTTTTAGGGGTCTTAGGAATCAAATTTAAGGCTTCGTTTATAATCATATTTGGTTGGATTGTTCTTATTAATTTTCATTTGTTTGAGTTTTTCTAAAGCCTACAAATCAGCGTTTCAGTTTTAAAAGGCGGCAACCCCTTTGAGATGAATGAAGTTTATATCAAATTGAAGATTCCCCCCCCCCCCCCCCCCCCCCCCTCCCGCGCGCTCCTGGCTGACCTTTATCTCATTTGCTTCTTATTTTCTCTTAATCATTTATTTATTTTCTTTCATCTTTCCCTTAACCCATCTATTTATCTCCCTCTTATGTCTTGAATACTCTCTCGTATGACTTAACTGTTATTTCATTTTTTTTTTCTTTCATCTCCTAAAAAGGAAATAGACTTCCTTGTTTTCAAGAACCCTTGCACAAGTTACATCAACACTCTTATGTACTTATTAAAAACATTCTTCCGGCTTTCTTGTCCCAAAATATTTCGATCCTACCGCATTCTGATCGTTTTACAGGGAGTAAGTTATCTTATTTTAGTTTGCAAACTAAGAATGTTCTTTTCTGATAACTAAGATTTTACTAGAAGTGCCAAAGTGAGGACATAACTTGATTTATACAATCAGAAGTCACTTGCAAATCTTCCAAAAAATTCAATAAAAGAATATGTGGACATACTAATTGCCTCATTATGCACTAAAAAAAATGGTATGTGAGAACAAAAAATTGGATTTAGGAGGGGTGATTTCCCTCTAAAGGATTTATTAGTTCTGTACCTCCGGATGCTCTATATCAGGCACAATGGAGCCAGATCCCACATCTTCCTAACTCTATTAACAGGCTCCTTATCCATCAAGGTGTCAGTGAGGACAACTTGAACAAGGAAAATAAGCGACAAAGTGCATCCTAGCAAAGGGACAATGAAAAATAAGATGATTAATATTCACAAGGTGCGGGCCTGATTGAACTAAGGTGCACAATGTTAAATATATATAGAGAAAAAAAATTAAATATACAATGTAAACTAGTCAAGATCAAAGAATAGGAATTTCAATTGATCAAATATAGTAATCTGCATATATTCTTAAATAATGTCCATATAAACTCGATTAAATCAATGTACATTTGGAATATTTCAAAATATGCAATATAACTAATGAAAAGTATTTTAAAATGGAATTTTGATACATAAATTGGGTAGATCAAGTAAATCAATGCTTGTAAATCTTAAGCCTAAATTTGTTTTTGCTTTAATAACCCTCTGGAGCTCCAATAACAAAACCTTGGGGACCAACTTATAAACACTTACCTAGCAGGTAGGCCAGAAAACCCTCATATCAACATTTAACAGTAGAATTTCCATCTTTGGCAACCAGACTATAGACACTTCCTACCTAGTGATCTAAAATTATGTTGTCGATTGGAAAACTCTACACACCGATAAGTTGATAACTTTAGGGATATTTTTTAGACATGTTTTCTGGACCGATATGATGCTTTGACAGTAAAAATAAATTATGAAATACGTAAAGAAGCAACTTGAGATGTCAACAAAAGATGATGTTTTCTGATATTACCGCACTAGGTTCCTTGTAATATTGTCTCAATTAAGCTAAAAGGTTGACTACACTGTATAGTTTTCGAATTAGAAGGCGAATTGTGGTAGACCTGATGTCTTTCGGTGAAGTAAAATTTTCACTGCCTTCTTATAGCTTGAGCTGTATCTCATACACACCCAAAGCAGGGGACACAGGGTTCGAGTTCCACTTGGAGATATATGTGTTTTTATTTATTATAAAAACAACAAAAAACTACCAAAAAAAAAAAAAAAAAAATTCTTTCTTCTTTGAATCAGCAATTTATTTTTCTGATGCACCCGTGCGCAAACTCTTGTGCTTGGACACCCTGAGGCTTAAGTTAGTGTTGTGTAAATAAAACTGAGGTCCATCATTATATGTTCACACTTTGGAATGCTAATGGCACATTACTTGAGACATTTTGTCCTTAGACCATGCTGCATGTTAAAGGTGGTAGTGACTGCCAAACAATATCAACGCAGTCTCGTTAATATAAGATAAGAGATATATTCTTGGGTTTACATTTTCTCTTATTTAGTGCATTTTCAGCTCGCTAGAGGCGTTTCTCAAATGTAATGACAAAAACTATGAGACTTCCATCTATTTTCACATTAGAGAAATGCTCATATTGTTATAGGCTTGTACCTAATTGATGAGATAGGGCTCTCATTTAATACTTTTATTATGTCATTGTATTTTCTGCTGCCTCTGTTTGATCATGATTAAGCTTGTTGTGCTGAAGGTTAACAATTTGTTGTAACGAGGGGATTTGAAATAGTAAGGAAATAATATCTTGTTATCTTTACCTGAGTGTATTTTTCCTTAATACTGCTTCCAGGGAATGGAGCTATATGATTTTTCTTCTTTCCCTCTGTTTCTTTAGGTTTGGGGCTGATGTTATGGAAACTGTAGCTTCTTGGACCAAAAGCTTGTGCACTGACGTTGCTCAAGGTCACTTGCTAAATCATGTTGATGAAAACAAATCAGAGCCTGTTGAACAGAGTGATAAAGATTTGTCCAGTTGGAGTGTACTTGACATCGGAACTGGCAACGGTCTGCTTCTTCAAGAACTTGCTAAGCAGGGGTAATTTCTGAAATTCTGCCTACATTATGTGTATTTCGTACATTTTTTAGCTAAAAACAATTAGGATTATATTAATTGAACTTGTTAAATGAAGTAAACTGATGCTTATCAGAAATAAATTAGAAAGGAAAATTTGGCTGGTGTTACATCTCTCTCTCTCTCTCTCTCTGCATTTTATGTGTTCATAAAAAAAAATTGCTCTTTTGCATGTAAGATTTATGTCTATTTGATTACGGGCTGATGTGTGACCATCATGAGAAACAATATCAAAGGATCTTAGCAGCCTTTGGTCCTTGTTTTATGGTTGTAAAGCACATAACATGGACTGGAGATTCAAGTTTGCCAACATCTCAGAAAATCTAACCCACCATATTTGTCTAATATCAGTGCAATTGCTGTGTACATGGACGCGTCATATTTTTCACATAAAATTACTAGCTATTGTACTTTTTTTTTTTATAAACTTCTAACGTAGAAATATATTAAGTTGAAGAAAGTATTTATTTCAATACATGAAATTTAATTCTTTACCTATATTGGTCTTCAAAGGTGGTAAATGATTAGTTTAACAATTGTAGACGACCTTTACGTGAAATTTAATTCTTTATCCATAGCTCGGGGATATGGGTATTATTACCCATTCTTTTTGTTAGGCATATGAGTTGTGTTGGCAAGTTCCCACTCAAAACTTGTCTTGGAATGTGTCAAAGTGTCTCAAGTAGTTCGAATGCAATCATTGACACAACAGACACAGAATTGCGAAGGACATTGCGATAAATTGACATCCTCTATCACATATCTAGGGCACTGGCGAATTGAGTTAGAAAATTGACCTTAGAAAGACCAATTATGACCTAAGTTAGATCTGCAGAAGGCTCAAAATACTCCTTTAATCTTGTTTATCGAAATTGAGATTTCTGATTAAATGATTTTCAAAATAGGAATTTTTACAAAACAGTATACCTCGACCAAATGGTTGATTGATCAAGATTTTTTCCTGAATCGACCATTGAGATACAAAGAGCATCAAGCAAATGGTTGATTTTATTGAAGCATATCCAGTGAGTGTAGATCGAAGGTTCAATTGATCAAACCCTGCAGACACACTATACTTTATTTACTGTTTTACTTATTCATATGATTATAATTGAGACACCTAACCAACGAATTAACGAAATTTCAAATAAGGATGAATACTAATTTGAAAAATTAGTCAACTGCAAAATAACATTCATAAGACCGATTCACCCCGTTCTTGGTCTAAGTAACCGCTCACACTCTGACGTATCAGAGCCTTGGGTAACGATCTAGTGCATCCATCGCCTTTAAAAAAGATGAACATCAATTTTATGTGTAGAGCATGTATCTCATATACTACATGTGTTCTGTCATAGTAGAGCCGCAATATTTTTGTGATGAAGTATCTTGGTATTATAAATTGTATACAACGTTTTGATTGAAAAGTATAAAGTAATGCTCTAAAGGGTTAAACACCGTTTTGGTTGAAAAGAATAAAATGCTCTAAAGGGTTAAATATGGAAGCACCAAGTAAGAATAATGTATATTAATGTGTGATGAATTCGTTCATAATATATGGCAACTAGTCCTCCATATGCATTCAATTGCGATAAAACTAATTCAAAAAAAAGGAAAGAAAATTCAAATCAATGAAAGAAATCCAAATTCTGTTAGAATTCTGATGGCTCTTCTAACTTTGATCATAAAATAAATTGTAGGGGCACCAAATTAGCAATACAACCAACAGAAAACATTCTCCTGTGTCTTTGGTCCTTCTAAGGTCATCCTATTTCTTTCTTTCTGGAGGCTACTATGGAAAAGGATCCTTTTTCACATATTTATTGCTTGCAGAATCCTAGGCGGTATAGGCAAAGGACACAATTTCTGGAATTGGTTCATCCCCTCACATTTTGTTAATTACTTAACAGTGAAAATCATACAGAATGAGCTACTCTGCAGAGAGACATCAGAGGAGCTTTGCAGAAGCATTGCCAGTAACTTCCATAAATTTAAGTGAATGATTTGATTAAGTGAGTCTAAAGTGTGTAGGGTCCAATGCCTTCTATATTTACCTCAATGTCCATTTAATACGTTGTGCAGACATCCCCTCATGTTTTTTAATAATCTACTTCTAGTTGTTGAAGACTATGTTTATGGGAAACAAAAAAGCTCTTATCTTCGTCTAGGATACATTGTGAGACATAAAATTTCCTTGTATAATTCGGTTTTTTATAGATTAGGTAAGCTAAGAGGGGGAGGTGCATTTGCGCCCCATACTCCTATTTTTGCTCTGCCATCAGTTGCCAACTCAATTTTGAGCATCCATAAACCCCATACTCCAAGTGACATTTGAATGTTTTGAAGGTGGTTTGAGAAGTTTGATTTAGGAGCGTTGGGAAAATGTTGGTGTGATTATGGGATGTATATTAATCTAGATCTGTGTAAATAACAATGGGTTGGAAGTAATCAGAATGCCTTTGCTCATTGACGTGGTTCATGGAAAGGGATTTCTGAAATGGGGCTTCCTAAATATATGCATGCTTCTGATGTTCTACAGGAGCTTAATTTGATGCTCTTGTATACTTTGTGTGTACACAGTTTCTGTTCCCCTGGGTTTTCATGTTCTATCACTTGCCAAACAAAGTTAGTCATTGAGAATGAGTCTAACGTACAGTTTAGGAAGACATACGGTGTGATAACCTTTCTCTGAATATCTGTTTTAGTATATCACTTGCATGGCAACAAGGGATTAATATTTGAGGGTTAGCTAGTATGGGTTGGAATTAGAGTTGGGTTCGTTTGGAGTCTTGTTCATAGAAATTTGCAAGATTAGGAGTAACAGAACTTACTGTGTTGGCTTCACATTTTAGACTGGGCAACAAAGTTGAGGTCAGGAGGGGAATGGTTTTTGATGATTCGGGCTCATGATCAGTTAAGTCACATTTCATTCTTTAATTGAGATGGGTGATGAGTAATTCCCTGGGGATAATATGATGATCACTGGTTCTTTGGGGTAAGGTATCCTTTTAAAGTTCAACACATAATTAGACATGTAGAAATTGGGCCTTTCCTAATTGACGTGTCATCTCGAACTAGTCAATCCTTGCTCATTCGTTGCTCTTTCTCTATCCTTGGTTGAGTAAGTATGGGCAGTGCATTGTGCTTCTAAAGATATAAGATATGGTTGAAGGAATTTTGTAACTTGAAAAGAGCAGCATAACAAAAATAAAAAAATAAATTTTTTTCCACACTCACTCTTTTTGGTTTATCTGGAAAATATGGATATAGGAAATGTGGAAGGGAAAGACAGTAAAAGGCAGAGGAGACGGAAGGCTCACGGTTTGGCTTTTTCCTAATGTTTTGTGATCTCAAGGGTCTCGGTCTTGTATTTGACGTGTTCTCTGCTTTCTATATTTTACTTTTCATCTAGTGTAGTTCTTGTTAACTCTATTTAGCTCATTATAATATAATAATTTTAAAAAAATAATAATAAAAAAACTCAGTGATTACAAGATGATGTTTGATACCTTATTTTACTTTTTATGTTAACACTTAGATGAGTTCATTAATAAGTATATTTGATACTACTGAAAACATAGTAAACCAAGTTACGATTTTTCTGATGCAGGTTCTCTGATCTTACTGGAACTGATTATAGTGAAGGAGCAGTTGACCTTGCCCGAAGCATTGCTGATCGTGATGGATTCACCAACATAAAATTTTTGGTATGACACGGATTTGAAATTATTTGGAATGATGACCACATTTCTGTACTTCCATTTTTTTAATTAAAAAATTATATTTATTGGTTGTGACACAAAACGATTGCCAGTTTTTGCTTTGTGATTGTACCTCTGTGTTGATTTTCATGTTTTATGCCAGTTCTTCTTTGACCAGACTCAGTAGATGAACTTTTAAATAGATCCTGGACAAGTGGGAACTAAGGCGGGGAGCTTACTAATTTGACATGGAGAGAAATTATGTGTGACAAAATGTTAGTTTTTAGATCCAACATCATTACATCTTTTTTTAATTCACCAAATCTACAAAATATAGACACGAGAGTGTTAATACACCAAATCTACAAAATATAGGCATGAGAGTGGCTGATACACCCATGTTTATAGGGCAAATTGCATTAAAAAAACCGCTCCAGTTTCAAGTTCTGGCATAATACCCCCCTCCAAAAAAAAAAAAAAGACCTAAAACCCCCTTGGACTATCCAATTGTTGCAACAGCCCCCTCACCCACAACCCCAGATGATTTTCATTTTAAATTTTCTTTTTCTTTTTTATTTTTTTAAAATATAAATTTTAAGAAAATTAACCATTAAAGCAATTTTATAATGACAAAAATGCCCCTCAATATAAATTTAAGAAAATTTAGGTTTTCTTTAAAAATGATCTTTATTTTAGGTTTTATTTTCCTTTTTAAATTTTAAAAACAAAAATTTAGGAAAATTTTGAAAATTATGCACCATTGAGAAACAAATAAATTATGATTGTGGGAAACAAATAAAATATTATTAATTATCTCTGTTTTACATATTCCCTTCAAAATAATTTTTTTTTTTTACAAAAATAGAGAAGTGAATCCCATAAACTGTTATTTTGTTTTGCATCAGAGCAATTTTACCAATCAACCATAAAATCTCATGAAGAATGATCAGGTTATGGTTAGGCCAGGCTCATCAGATTTGCCACTCCATGGAAAGGCCTAACACTGTCTTGTTAACTAGTAATAGCAAAATTCATTGTCCCTGCATAAGCATAACTGATGATCATATTTCTGTGCAGATTATGACTTCTACAAGTATGTTCTAAGTTGTAACTTGCACAGATAAGAGTGTCTGGATTCTTTTTTTAGTTCCTTTATCACATTAATTTTCTTAATCATTCCTTTTCAATAAAGACATGCATCATTCAATTTCCTCAATAATAGTTGATTCTTGTTACATCCAATTTGGTTTGCAGGTTGACGATGTTCTTGAGACAAAGCTAGAAAAAAAGTTTCAGATTCTTATGGATAAGGGAACTCTAGATGCCATTGGACTGCATCCTGATGGCCCTATCAAAAGGTTAACTGGAATACTGACTTGTGTTTTTACATATTTAGTCATATATATGATCAGGAATCCCTCGCCCTTATATTTCTTGTTTACTGGATCACAGAAATATTTTGCAAGACCAAGTAGTTTATCTATCTATATAGATTTGGATATATTAGTTGTTTTCATTAAGGTGTACTGAACTTTTCAACCTATCATGGTGTTTCTTGGTATATGGATGATGTCATTCATTTTTCTTTCAATGACCCATGCACATAAAGTTTTTTTTTTCTTCATAATTTGTGGACGTATAGTTGGAATGAACGTTTTTATTCTTTCATTTCAGGATCATGTATTGGGATTCAGTCTCAAGGTTGGTGGCTCCTGGTGGAATATTGGTAAGCATATGTACTGCTTCAAATATCTTACATTGGCAATGAGTCCTTTTTACTTTTATTATATTTTTAGGTATGAACATTGATTCTACATATGAAGGTACGTGCCCTTCTACACATAATTTATTATTATCCTTCATGAAAATGATACTTATTCTAATACAATGATGTCTCTCTTGAGTTCTGATTAGCTTATTTATGAGGTCTTCCTCCTTTCTGAAACGGGTTTAGAATTGACATTCCATCCTATGTTACTCGTGAAAAAATGACTTCTTCTCAAATTTGTTTATTCCGCCTGATATCCATGCTTATTGGTCATTGTTATAGGTGATTACGTCATGTAATAGTACAAAAGATGAATTGGTGCAAGAAGTAAACAATTTCAATCAAAGAAGGGTCCCTGCCTCCCAGGAACCTGAGACCCTTGGAGACCAAGAAGCAAGCAGAGATCCCCCTCCATTACGCTATCTCGATCATGTTCGCTCATATCCAACATTCATGTTTGGAGGATCGTTAGGATCACGTGTGACCACAGTAGCATTTCTACGGAACTGATATCATTAGATTTCTTTCCACCTTGGGCTGGTCATTTCTGTCAACTGGCTTTGTCGTGTATCATGTGTGTGTATGTGTGGGGAGGAAGTGGAGTTCGACATCTAATGGAAAGTTACTGATAAATGTGGAAACATTCGAGTTGCTGTGGAAGATGAAGCTTTTTTGGACTAAAATTTGTTGAAAACTGACTTGACTGTGAAGAATAGATAAGTAGACTGCCAAGCGGCTAATTCTGTTTGTGTACATCTAACCTTTGTTTCCATTTTGAAGTGTTGGTTTGGAAATTTTTTTTTTTTTTTTTTTTTTCTGGTAAAATGGTTTGGAATCTTTTACAGAACCATGATTGATTGTTCCTTGTGTAATAATTGGGCTTTTTATGGTAAAGCAATCAGGTTTTACAATCACCAGTATGCGAAGATCATCTCTAGTCGAATCCGGTTTCAGTTCTTTGCACGATCATTTGGGGAGATGCTTTGCTGGTACGAGGTTAGCCGGCTTTTTGTTGGGTAATAAGGTAGCCCTGTTTTATTAACCTCAGATTCGTTTAATCGACTATTATGCATGAATTTTAATGATAAAAATAGATTGGTTTTGGTATCCTGGAGTTGAATAAGTGGGTAATACTAGTGTCTTTTTGATACAGAACCAAGGTTCCGGAATTTAAAATGGTCGATTATTAAGCGTGAATTTTAGCGATGCAAAGATATTAAAAGTATGTAGGAGTTAAAAGGTATTTATAGATATGTCATTGTAGTTTATTGGTGTACGCATATGGGTGATCAAACCTGAACTGGACTTGAGCAAAAAAATTTCTACAACTGGGGGGGTTCATTTGCCCAAAAAATTTTGAGTTGTGTTTAGATTGAGAGACCCAGATGTTCGTCCGACACAAAAGTGAATGAACACTACTTTCCATTGAAATGCTAAATATCCAACCACATTCCATCGAAGATCTTATCATGTGAAGAATTAATTTGTTTATAATTTTGTATATTTTCCTATTTTATATTCAGTTTTGGAATCTTTCATGTAGAAGTGACAGAGGTTAATCAGATTTTCACATAGATTTTTTCGAACCTAAGCTCAACTGAGTTCAAATTTTGAATTTTGAAGGTGGATTGGGCTTGACATAGAAAATTGGGTTGAGTTGTACACAGGGTTTTACCTTGAATTGGGCCCTAAACTCACCCGAGTTGTACTACTATGTACACATAACTACAGTTCTATGTGGATTAAGAAATGTAATATTCAGGTTCGGTTGTTTAACGGTTATAATTTAATTTAGATTCGATAAAATTAGATTTAATCTTTCAAATGAAACCTCAATTCCCTTTCTTTAGAAATATTGCACACAACTTTTCCAGATGCTGCTTGTTTGGATCTTCATGAGACGTTTTTAAGACAAAACATGACTAGTGTTGTAAGTATTGATTATACATGACCCAATACACAATGCAGATCGATTAATTAGAGCTAGACCTATTTGTTAAAGTGAAACAATCAAGAGTATGATGGCCTAAGTGGATCCTATTTTAGACCTTACTTTAGGATATCAACGTGCGTTGATTGTGTCACTTTGACAATAAGTAGGGCGGAGTGAGCCCATCAAGATCTCTGGGTATGATGGGTGCGGTGAGGATGGAGGCAACTGGTCATTCTACTGTTGCGGTTAGCATGAATGTCATTGCTTTAGTCACTGCATACTTCATTGTACGCTTGGGAAAGATAAGAGAGCAAAAGCTTCCATTAAAATCAAAGCATTTTCAATCTATCAATGATTTCAATTAACTCTAAACTTAATCTCCAAGAGGAAATGAAAGAAGAGGTATTGTCATTTATTTCCAAAAATATTAACTTAACGAAAAACAATGATGAACAAATGGCCAAATTTTAAGGCCCTATAAGAGCAACAAACCTTTTTTTTCCAAAAACCATATGTAAAACATAAATATTCATTTCAATTTAACCACGTGCTTAATTCATCTTTGCACACAAAAGATCAAAATAGAAGGTTTTAAATTTCAGATGTAAGTTCTTTTCATGGTCCAGCAAGAACACGTTCCTGTGTCAGAATATTAATTAAATCTGGAGATTATAGTAGCATAAATCTCAAATACAGACTGTAGGTGTTTTTCTTTTCCCTTCTGCAAATATTGTAGCATCTTCACCGATTTTATTGAAACAACAGAAATTTACTCTTCGCCTATTTAGATATTAGAATAACAATCGTCCTCACAAGATCAGAGGACCAATGGCTGCCCCTCATTCATTTGCAGTTTCCTCTGAAGGAGCATTTCCTCCCTCTGCATACAGAGAATAAATCGTAAGGATATTTTCCCAAGAGAAAAACAATTCAAGAGGAAAGCGGGTTCAACATTCACATTAACTGTGGCAAGTTAGGAACAAATTCAAGTCAGCCAGGCTCATCAATATGTCATTGTGCATACCTTCACCATCTGATGGAGCATAAGGAGATTTCCTGTATCGTGTTTGCTGTTGTGTTGGCTAGTTGAAAGAAAGCACCAAAAACAAAGAAAAGGAAATGTCAATGGCAAGACATATAATGAACGTGCAAATTTATAGAGCAAAGGCTTCCAATTTATTTATTTATTCACAAGAAAATACTACCATTTTTTTTAAAATGCAAAAGGTTAAAGACATATACTCACTTCTTGGAAAGAAAATAATGTGTGATGATATTTTCAAATGGATTACATTACCATACACTAAATTTTACGATATGATTATGATAAAATTAGTTAACAATAATCTCAGGAAATATTTTGAGTGATGCTTCTGTATCTTATGAAATTGTCAGGCTGGAACAGAAACAATCATGTTCTTTGGGGAGGACATGAACTAGGTAATCTTGTAAGAGAGATTTGACTTTATCCACAGGAAACAAGGTTTAGGTGAGACTTTCGACCATTTCACATATTTTCAGCACAAACTTAAAGGCAACTAGGCGAGGTTTTAACAGGTATGAGATCATCTGACTTAATTTCTGTATTTCTGAAACAGTAACAACAGTTCCCTGGGCAAATACTCAGCCTGCATTGTAGATTAATTCTTGTGCCTGATATCTATAGTACTCTAATCCAGTGGAAAGCATTATAGACCACCCTTGTAAATTCCATAAAATCCACCACTGTTAACTAAATCATATAAATTCCGAAACATTGAACACCAGATGATGGGAGGATTTAAAGTCATTAAGAAAGTCTTTTAACAGTCTCTAAGGCCAGATGATGGGAGGATATAAAGTCATTGAGAAAATCTTCCATATTCAGTTAAGATGCCTACCACCAACAATCATACTGCAGTCTTTGGGTATACAGAGTAAGAGGCACGGTGCACAAAACCAAAGCTCGCCATCTATTGAGTATATAACTAATCAGCATTGTAAACAACAACCCATATAAAATTCAAGCACCAGGAAAGACTGTAACCCATGTACACCGGCATGTCTTAAAAATACCATACAAATTCCTACTTGCTTGGTCACTCAAAACATTTAGTTTCTTTAATCCCTCGACTCCACAACATACTAGCAGCATAATAGGGATTCAGTACATATAGAGGATGTTGCTAGCTTGGCAGGATGACATCACGCCAGAATCTTTCCAAAATTAATCTGACATTATCATATGCAGAACCACAAATTGCATTACTATGATGTATTCATTTTAAGGATTCATGATACCTTCCATAAACTTAAAAGTTACACCACAATATATCATATGAGGTGTGATTTTTCCTTCATCTGCCATCGTCTATTTTCAGAGGAAGAAGGTCATGAAGATTATGTATCAAGAAGGCATGGAATTGAATAAACTATGTTATCAGCCTTTGGAAGTAATCCAAACCACAAATTGTTTTCTAAAGAAACTTCAGAAAATCAGGGTTCAACATCCTCTTTTATCCACCAGACCACTGCTTCACCGCCTTTTACAACTTGGTCAAGCACCGCCATCAGCCTTTTAGCTTAACATCCAGCAAGAGGCCACTGGATGACATACTTTACAGATATTCTAGGCAAATAAAGGCCATAACTCAATGCTGATCTCACCTATGAGAGGTGCTATGAGGGAGACTGGAAAAAAGACCTAGCATTTGGCATTTGGCGTTTCAGCACAAAGTGGATAAACTTAAGACTTGAAAACACGTCCTTACACTTGTCTGTTCAAACTTTTAACACTTGTCTGTTCAAACTTTTAACATTGTACCAAACAGTGCCGCTTAACAATCTAGGCAAATCCTAGACAAATTGAGTATAGTTAAACTAGTTTACCTGGGATCATATTCAGATTCAGTTCCAGTATTAGTGAGCTAGTTCAAATTAAATTAGTTAATTTTTCAATGCCCCGCCAAATATGATTGAAGGTCAGGCCCCCTTGAGAATCCAACCAATCCTATATTAATTCTCTTTAGCATAATTAAAGTTTTATCTTGCAACATTCAGACTCAATTAAATGCTCGATTATCTAGAGAAAATATCAACTAACAAGCATTTCAGAACTTGCGCTAAGACGAAAAATTCTGATCTGATAGTGTTAACTTTTCGATGAGACTCATTAAGAAAATATCAAATCCATTATAAAAACCAGCAAACTAATAAAAATACATACATGGTAGTAATGCATAAGTGGAGCGGGTCTAACAAATATTAATTAGCATAGCAAATATATAAAAGTGACGAGGAAAAAAAAAAAGTATATTAGTACCTGCAATTTAGGCCGAAGTGCCTCAAGTGGTCCTTTGGGCTTCTCTACACCTTGCTGTTATCATCCAAAAGCATTTAAGGACATTAGGTTATTAACATGATGCAGCTACTCAACTATTGCAAGCTTCAAGCCCAAAGAAGATGGTGGAGCAATAAATAAAGCAATACCTTCCCCAAAGCCCAATCAGCAGAATCAAAGTAAGCACGTTCATGGTCCTGACATGAAAAATAGAGCCTTGAGTCAGGACAAGCACAAACTAGCTTCTTTTTAGAAAATTTTAGTGACAAACATCATCAAAAAAATCAATATATATACATATATATACACACACCTTAGAAATGAGTGGTGGCTTCTTTGGCATAATCCCTCCATACTTTTTTTTAACAGCTTCCTCCTGCAAAAATTAAAATTAGAATTATGACAAATCCTGAGAAATCTGCTACAACATCAAGAAGTCGAGGGAAAATAAGGTTCTCCATCATGAAATAAGCCAGAATGTGAACCCAACCTCTTGTTGGGATGATGGCTGGGCACTTCCCTCTACATGGTGCTCTTTAACATCCTCCGTGCCTGACATATTGTCCTTGTTCTAACCTAGCATACGACAGCTGCAATAGCACAATACCACAATCTGCATAAACATACATTAAATGCTTCCTATAATACCAATTAGCTTGATGAGCTATATTTAGGAAGAAAGGAAACATTAGTTAACATACAAAGGCATTCTACTGTATGCTTACTAGTCTTTTAATTCTTGGTGAACAATTTGAATCTTTATTGTTAGGAAAAAATAGGACCTTCATTGCATTTGACATCAAAATATGTAAGGGTTCACAAATCTACCGAATAGATACACTAAACCACTCTCTAGTGCAATCAAACATACGACAGAATATATGGATAGCAGGATATTTGCTAGAACAGTTCGCTTAGGGTAAGATATAAATGGAAGACCAATAAAATAAGCACTTCAATGCTCAATAAATAATACATGTTTAAGTGTTTAACCCTCTAAAACATTATCTATATTTCCATATGAATTAAAGGTGAGCATTCTTTCCATTAGCAGCCCTTTATGGGCTCTTTTTCTTCCCTTACCTCTTAATTTTTCATTAACTTTTTGAACCAAGATTCATATTTCACTTAATCCCCTAGCATTAAGGACTCGCAACTAGAATTTCAGAATATTCAATTTTGGATCATAGAGACATGGAAAAAGAAAACATCCACAACTAAGCCTAATTCAACCATTTGGCAAAACCAAGGTGACCCTCCCATCAACATGAATAAACAAAGCATTCAGCAGATTTTTATATTTATGCTATCAGACTTATCAAAATTATATATATTTGTGCGATCAGAGAACATGTCCCAAAGTTCCAAACGGATAGTGAACTCAAAATTTCGAAAATTAATTATAAACTTTTAAACCTTCTATACGATTCCAACGAGCAAATTGAGAAGAAAATTACACTGCATAAAGAAAAGTAGAGAAAACACAGATACACAAAAAGATCTGACAAAAACAGCCACGAAAAATCATCAACGAAGTAATTCAGAATCAACTGAAGATCTGAATCACCAATTCATGTATCACTTTGTAAGTTTCAAATTTCATAAATCAAATAATGGAGCTGAGATTGCAAGAGTTTTTAGATACCAAAATACATGTGCATATGTAAATGTATACATATACATGTATACACACACATATAGAGAGAGAAATTTATTGATAACAGACACGATTCGAAGATCCAAACAGATCATATAGACTGAATCACTTAAAATGTAGAGAGAGAAATAAGATAAGAACGAGATTGATGGGTTTACCAACAAGACAAACCCGCGAGGTCACGATTGCTTCAACCTTCGCTCGAAATAATCACAGATGAGAGAGACAGAAACTGTGGGTGTGGCCGAAGACGAGAGATTGAAACGATAAAGCTATAATCTTCTGCAACGTGATTCTCATGCAATCGATCAGCTTTTGGTTTTTAACGCTGGTACATTTGCAATAGACAATTTGGGGTGGTGACGTGGCAATATCTGGTTGATTGGTGGATGGAATATGGTGAAATAGGAGTCCGACCAATATCATTTAAGTCAATGATAATCTAATGGAAAATACGAATCCTAAGGACGTGTTTGTTTTATTTTTCTTATAAACCGTTCAAATAACATATATATATATATATATATATATATACTTTTTAAAATAATAATTCTCTAAAAATAGAATTTTTTTTTATTTTTGGTAAATAATTTTTTTTTAAACAATTCTTATAAAACGAATAACCAAACCTTTTTTTTTTTTTTTTTTTTTTGATAAAATTATCTGATTTTCCTTATATGAGACATAAAATTGTTATTAGAGAATTAAACCAAACAGATATTTAAATGACCCATAAAATATTTTTCATATGAAATTATTTATAAAAAATATTTTTTATGTTTTTATTTGATGAAAATTTGAAAATAAAATGTAAATAATTAGAGAATGCAATACTTTAATGTGTATTTAATAGGTATCCAGGAAAAAAGATATATAGACATTTATTTATTTACTTATTTTTTATTTTTTATTTTTTTGTCAACATTGTAGCATTACATGGGTATGTGTACAAGTGTGAAACAACTGTATATTTATATTTGGGTATCTCACGCCCGATTTTGGGGACATGATTAAATAAAATTAAAAAATATAATATAATATAAAATAAAAATCTTATCATAATACTTTATTGAAGTCAAAATAACACCCACCAAAATTAAAAAATGTAATTTATGATTACTAAAAATTTTCTTTGTGAGGAAAAAATAAATAAATAAATAAATAAAAACTATGTTTTCACACTAGAACAAGAACGTGGACTCCATTTATTTATTTATAATATTGACAATAATTATATATTTTGAACTTTAATATTTCAAAATGATCGATTCTCGTATTAATATATATATATATATATATATATATATATATATATATTCTTATAACACTTACAAAAGGAACAAAATTTTCAATTTTGGCACTCATTTTTTAGTTCAACAATGAGAATATCCCACACACGTAAACGGCCAAAAATATTTTTATTAATTGGCTATGTATAAAATCAATGTATGAGTATTTTTATCCTTCCCAATTCTCAATAAACCATCTGATCTAAAAAATAAAGATAAACATTGGCGGTTAATTAATGAAATATCACAAAATTACATAAAGACTCTTACATTTAACTATAATTAATTACTGTAGTAAATAAATTTTTGACTTTTTGTAAGAAAGGACAACCTAATAGTTTCATGATGACAAGAAGTTAGCTTTTACTTTAATCATTTGCCGCAACAAATCTCACCAACGAGAAGAATTATACCATGTCAAAGTTAGTAAATATTGACACAGATACTAAACGGAACAACACTCGGACGTAATGATGCAATAACTTACAAGTCGTAACCGTGTCGGTGGAGAGTACGTAAATAAAAATAAATTTTAATTATTTTGATTACTTTCTTAATATTTTCGGACATTTTGTTCATATTTTTTGAACATTTAGATTCGGCTTTCAAATACTTCTAACACAATTTTACAGATAATTTTAAAAATAATATGAACATATTCTAAAATGTTTAACTCCAAATTTTTTCTTGAAGAAAAATTAACATTATACACGTGCGATCACAAGCGAAACATTAATGATATTTATTAATTTAAAATAAAACACTATTATAACAGGAATAATTGATATAAAAGCCATTACAATTCTTAATATAAAAATTAGAAATTAATTAAATTTTATGATACTATTACTCAATATATGTATAAATAAAAATTCATATTTATATATAGTCGTATCCAAATTATTCTCATTTTACTTTTTAAAAATTTAACGTGACGTGTCGAATGGGTGTTCCGTGTCCTTGCCCATACTACATAGCTCACAAAATATTATGGGTTAGATACAAAAGGAACACAACAACAAATAATAATATCACAATAGTGACATATCTATAAAATTATACAATAATATATAGCGGAGTGTTATAAAAAATTAAGTATGAAATTTTTTAAGATTTTAACAAAATTATAAGAAATTTTGTAAATAATTTTTTTTTTTTTTTTTTTTTTTTTTTTTTTTCAGTGGGGGCGACTATTCCCACCTAGCCCTTAGTAAATCAGTCCATCACCGTAATCACATAATGAAATCACTAATTAGATCTAAATAATAATTATTCAATGCAATCTAAGTTAAATTTTTGTTATTTTTGGTTTCTAAAAATTTATACTATTTTTAATTATCCATAATATATTTCAAATTGTATTAAATTCCATTATTTTAAGAAAAATACTTGGTCAATTTCCGAACGTGTCTAACCAAAAAATAAAAATAATAATTAAAAAAAATCAAATTTCATAACACTTGTAGTTGACACGTCCGATGCATGTTAAATAATGCTACAACCCTAGGAGGAGCGGAGTGTACTTTCTAGATGTCTAGCAATGACTAAATATGAATACAACGAGTTCTAGTCAATTTTGTTAAGTGAAAATTAATAGTCAAAGTAAAAGTAAAAGGAGAGGGAAGTGAAAAAAATAAAAAACCAACTTTCTAGTGTGATCGGTAATCATGAATTTTTTTTTATAAAAAAGTATCATTTCATGATTTGGATAATGGATAGTATGAGAAAGTTAAATAAAAATATAATATTTTTCTTAAATTGTCTTTATTTTTTATTAAATAAGGTACCGACAAATATTTTGTCTCTTTTTAAAAAAATAAAAGCAATATATGAATTTAAATAAATAATGCTTTATATAAGGATCTAATTAATATAAGAATGAGTCAAATGACTATTACACTATTCTTATACAAATAATTATTTTCCCCATACCTGGGTTCTTTGGGAGAAAAAATTATTGGAAAATAACATTTAAAAAAAAAAGAAAAAAAGAAAAATTAGGTGGTCATTGAAAGTTTGTTTCTCCCATATATTTTTAATGCTATGCAAACTCTTATGCTTTTTTTTTTTGGGGTAGGGAGAGAGAAAATGGATAGGAGGGAAAAAATAAAAGATGAATGAGAGATTCTTAAAAAAAAAAAGGGGTAAAGTACATTCACACCCCCCTAAGGTTTGGCAAAAAGACACTCAGAGAAAACTTACCTATATTTTAGACAAAGACACCCCTTGAAGTTTCAAAAATGGACAGAGATACCCCTTTATATGAAAAATTAACCAAATTATCCTTCGACCGTTTAAGAGATTTTTTTTACTTTACAATTTAATAAATTGGACCAATCTACCTGTGATACCCCCTAATTTCGGATCACGGGTTGATCAAATTCGCGCACAAAATTAAGGGATATCAAAACAATTAAAGTATTTAAACAAACACAGAGTACAATAAGAAATAAAAATAATAAATAATTCGCTGAAAAAAAATCTATTAAATAAAAATTCCATTTATAATTCTCCAAAATTTACAACTCGGAAATCCTGTAACTCAATGACTTCTTAACCAAAATCTATTATCCAGAAGTTCATTAGTAAATACTAATATCAAATGAAAAACTAATAATATCCTGCTTTTAAATAACCCGAAAGAATGAATAAGTCCTCCAGCTGCGGATCCTCAACTTTAGGACTTGAACTTCTAGTAACCTGAAAAAAATAAATCGCGGGTTAAACCCTACGAGCAAGTTCTCTCTACCAAACCTCTGAAAACCAATAAACAAATCATCTATACCAAAACCAACCCTAATAAAGTTTTAACTTTAATGTACGACGATACACATATGTATAAGTACTTATATATATACAATACTCTTATCCATTAATAGTTTCCTTAAATTGTAAAACCATTAATCAATGATTAATAAATAATCATATCTAAACAATCAACCAATATATATTTCTTTTAAAAAGAAATTCCTCCAATCTTAACTCCACCCCAGACAATAACTTATTTAAACAATAAATTTTAAAACAACAGAAACCACATTTAATCCAAAACAAATAACAATTTCAATTATCTTTATCACATAGCTAATGTCTATACTTTGACAATTTCTCTCCCATTATTATTTTACTAATATAATAAAATAATAACTAACATTTATGTACTAGACTATTCTAATTTCAGAATATATAATCCTAATCCAACTTATACATACAGTATTCATAGATGAATTATAAATCATCTAACACATGGCAATTTAGTTATGCCTTGGCAATTCAACCATGCCATTATAAATATACTTATTTATTAATTAGCAATTCAACCATGCCTCCTTAAGTATATTTACTTACACCATTAATTAGCAATTCAACTATGCTTCCCACATATGAAATTTATTCATAACTAATAAGGCAACGTATTAAAACCTTTGACAATTCATCCATGCCTACAATTCAACCATGTACTAACTTTAAACTTAACTATAAACTTAATCATACATAAACTTCACATGCATATTATACGCATGTCCTTACATTCACATTTTTAAATCAACCATACCATCTACACAACAAGATACACCAAATAGGATTTATAATACTTAACAATTATAAAGTCTATACATATACACATATATATTATAAAATATATGTGTATAACACATTTCCTAATAATCGTTGATTATTTCTATCACATATATACATATATATTAATAAATACATATATACAACTTTCCATACTTACCATAAATTTATTAAACCATACACCTATATGTATATATATAAACAACTGTATTATATATATACGTATACCTCCTTCCATAATAAATTTATTATTTAATTGTTTTATGTAAATAAATGCTATTAAATAAATTAATAACAATTAACGGCTCTCCAATCCAAAAACATCTCCTCTAGTGACTGATTTCAACCCCAAACAGAGTTAAAGACAATTCTGGCACATCACCGGACCCCGCTGGAACTTTTCGGGACATCACACGCTTCCCCACGCGCCGTCACACTGTCCTACACGTACTGCATGCGCTTCCACGCGCTTAAGGTCACTGGCAGGCGCGTATACGTGCCGTCACGTGCCTGTCACACTCTCGGTGCGTGTGTGGCTGCTTCTGATTGGCTGCCTTCCACGTTCTGGTGCACTCGCCCACACCGCATGAATTCTCCGTTGACCAGACCTTGTCTACGGTCTAGATGAATGCGCACATCCGATTTCTGTGTGCCTCGATGCACTGAATCAATCCATTTAATGTTGAAAAAATCTAAGGGCCTAGATCTGCCCACTTACCAACTCCCTATGCACCCAACCACATGGGATCATTAGTTAACCATCAGAACCATCCTATGGTCCTGATATGAAGCACACTGAATTTCTTTGCACCACAACACACGGAATCATAACCCTTTGTGCTACGCCGATATGTAACAGTGCACGTAATTGATTTAAATTAATCAAATTTAATTCTAAATAAATTCCAGAATATTTCTAAAAATACAAAATAAACTCTAAAAATATTCTAAAAATTTCAGAAAAAAATCCCCAAAGACTAATTTATTATTTTTGGGCATAAATGAACATATAGAACAATATTAAGAACTATTTAATTTAATTAATCATGCTATACAAGGTTAAAGCAAATTATAAAAATTTCAAAGACAAAATTTAATTAACCTAACCTCACATACAGGTTTTAAATTATCAGAATGATACATACAAAGATCTAATTCTATAATCTTGTAAAGAATAATCATGTTCATATAATCCCATTAATAAATTAATTTAATAAAAATAAAAGTGAAATAAAACTATAATTTCGATAATAAGGTGATAGGCTTATGAGTCCTAAGAGGAGAATTAGAAAAGAACTTGCCTTCTAATCAAAATCCGGCATCCTCCTTGTCTGATCCGGCCTCCTCTTCGTTAGCCCCTTTTCTTCACTCTCTGACTCTCTCTTATTTTTCTAACGTGAAACTCTTCACAATAAAACCCTATGTGTATATTTACACACATAACCCTAATCCTATTACTAGTATGACTTATTAAATAAATAATACTCATCCTTTAATAAAATAATATAAATATATATACACATATATAATGTTATATATATATATATAAATCCACATATATAATATATATGTATACACATATATCCATAAATATATATAATATTTATGTATATATCCTTCCATAATAATTATTAATTAATTATATTATTTAATTACTTTTATATAATTAATTAATTAACCTCAAATAAGAATACTTATTATTTTTAAGCTCAACAAAATCCTTTAAGTAACCTCCTAACCATGGGCCTTTAATTAATTTCTTAACAAGGTTTCATCCAAGCCCAAGATCACATCCTTTGGTCCAACTTCCTTTAAGTCCATTCCAATTAATTTAAATAAATAAAATAATTAATCAAACACTTAAAATTAAAATAACTAATTACATAAAACACATAAACAAACAAGAATTTACAACTAAGTCATACCATCCCAATAAAATCAATACATCAATCACACACACAACAATCATTATATCAATCACGAAATATAATTTTATTTAAACAAAATAATTAATCTAAGCACTCAATTTAAATAAAATAAATCATTTAAAAATAAAATAAAAATAATTAATCCCAATTAAATCAAACAATTCATTTCAAAATAAAATAAAATTAATTAATCCTAATTAATAAATCATTTAAAATATCGGGGTATTACACTACCCTCATGAATAATTTATGCATAAAAAAAATAAATAAATAAATAAAAAACAATTCATTGTTCACTTTTTTTTTTTTTTTTTTTTTTTTTTTTTGTTATTTACTTTATAAATGTCCCAACTTCTTAAAATTGTAGACATCTAAAATGATTTTTTGTTTCAATACATATATTTCAAATAAATTATATTTTGTTATTACTTATTTTCTTTTTCTTTTTTATTTTTAAATTAAGATGCTTAATTATTTCATCTAAAAAAATTAAATCAATCTCTTTTCCTTAAAAATAAAAAAATATGGTACCAGTAAAATTTTATGCATCTTAAATTATATATCAAATTTTATGCATTTCCCAACATAAAAGAAAATAGGTACCAATATAATTTTATGCATACCTTTGTTTTTTTTTTTATTTTTATTTTTTTCCCTTTGTTTTTATATTATTTTTTTTCCCTTTTATGTTGGGAAATGCACAATATTTGATATATAATTTAAGATGCATAAAGTTATACTAGTATCATATTTTTTATTTTTAAGGAAAAGAGATTGGTTTAATTTTTTTAGATGAAATAATTAAGCATCTTAATTTAAAAATAAAAAAGAAAAAGAAAAAAAGTAATTACAAAATATAATTTGTTTGAAATATATTGGATAAAAAAATCATTTTAGACGTCTACATTTTTAAAAAGTTGGGACATTTATAAAGTAAATAACCAAAAAAAAAAAAGTGAACAATATAAAGTTTTTTTTTTTTTTTTTTTTTTTTGGTTATTTACTTTATAAATGTCCCAACTTTTTAAAAATGTAGACGTCTAAAATGATTTATTTATCTAATATATTTCAAACAAATTATATTTTGTAATTACTTTTTTTCTTTTTCTTTTTTATTTTTAAATTAAGATGCTTAATTATTGCATCTAAAAAAATTAAACCAATCTCTTTTCCTTAAAAATAAAAAATATGATACTAATATAAAGTTTTTTTTTTTTTTTTTTTTTTACTTTTTCTTTTTATGCATAAATTGTTCATGAGGGTAGATTGGTCCAATTTATTAAATTGTAAAGTTAAAAAAGTTTCTTAAACTGTTAAAGGGTAATTTGGTCAATTTTTCATGTAAAGGGGTGTCTCTATCCATTTTTGAAAGTTCAGGGGTGTCTTTGTTCAAAAAGCATATAAGTTTTTTCTGAGTGTCATTTTGCCAAATCTCAAGGGTTGTGAATGTACTTTACCCTAAAAAAAAAATTATGTCATTTATTCTTTTTGTTTGGTTGAACAAAAGAGAACGTGATAATACATTATTTTGTTTTTTTATAAAGGGAGAGAAAAGAGAGAGGTTAATTGTAAGAAAAATTTTGTGCTTTAAATTCTTTATTTTTTTTAATTGTCTTCGTCAACTTTTTATGCTCTGTTTGATATGAAGGAAAAAAGTTTAATGAAAAGGAGAGAAGAAAGGATGACTGAGATATCCACGGTGAAGAGATTAAGCATTTTCCTCTTTTTATTCAATTGAATGGAAGAGAATGAAAAATCTGACAATTTAATTTGATCGACGGAATAAAATGAAATATAAATTTTTAAATTATTTTTACCATTAAAAACATTCCTTACTTTATTTATAAGATTTATTAAATATTTATAAAGAGTGATGTATTAATTTAAAACTTTTATAATAGACTAACTTATCTTTACTCCTATCTTCTGTCTATATTTAAATATTATTCTTTATTTTTTTATATCATTTCTACCGAAGAAAATATATTCCTTTCTTCCACCCCCTTAGTAATGACTTACTTATTTTTATTTATTTATTTATTTATTTGAAATTCACTCCTTACCCCCTCTCTAGAAAACAAAATAAAAACCATTTACTTCTTCCTATCTTCTTTCCCCCCTGTATCTCTCTTCTATTCTCTTACCAAACGGACCAATAATGTTGCTAACTGTAACGGTAACACTTTAATTCTATCATGTTGAAAAAGTTTTATTGTAATTTTTTTTTTTTTTCGGGAGTTTTATTGTAAATGCTACTACATGTAATTCTGGTATCGAAAGTATGTGGGCATTTTTCTCCATTCCGATTCCAATCCTATATAAGAAATCGCTTTGGCCGCCTCTCATCACTCATTTCCTGCACCAGCTAAACCCTAATCTCTTTCTCTCTCTACTTTTCTCTCTCTAGAATTTCATGTTGCTCCATCCAAGGTAGACGAAGGCTCGGGCTTATTCGATCGGTGAAATTTATCTGTACCATTCGATTGCTCTCGTGTTCTTTCTTTTCGATTACATATATATACACAACATCTCTATGAATCTGCTTTGATATTATAAAATCGCGTGTATAAATGACAGATCTCAGCTATGCTATTTGAGATTTTTGATGTTATCATAATAAAAGTGATGGATAGTTTTGTAAGCTAATAATATGTTTTTGTTTAGGGTTTTTTTTGTAGTTCGTGCTATGTGTGTAGTGTTTGTTGAGATTCAGTGTATGGAAAGCTCGAATATGGGGTTGAATGTGATTATTTGATTGAATGGATAAGCCATTGGAATCAGGCCTTGATGGTTTTGATTCTTAATATTTGTTTATTTATTTATTTTATCATAAATCTATTTTTGTTCGAGTCCGTACATGCTTCACGTTTCTTATATTTGATTATTTATGAATGTTGCGAACTAGTTATCTTTTTTAGTAACTAAAAGAGATTTCTTGAAATCCACTTCATTTCTTTGTATTTTTTATTGTCAAACCATGGATTTCCTAGTTGTCTATTTGGTTGCAGAGAAAATGGATGAATTTTTTTTTTATATAAATATATTGATATTTTTGTTTTTCAGCTGTGAAAAAACCCTATTAAGGCAAATGGTAGTATTGAGGCTTGGTTGTTTTGAATTTATTGGCTTGTTGAATCTGAAAAAGGCTGTGATCTAAAATATGAAGTGTCACTTACATCCCTAAATTATAGATGAATTCTGAAAGAGAAGAGAGAAAAATAATAGATATGAAATTGTGCAGTTTCTATTCCGCCTGCATTTTATGCCATAATAAAGTGTCTTTAGGGATTTAGTCACTTTGAAAGTTTGAATGCACATTTGGATTGTTCTCCTATATTAATTAAGTGTCTTAAGGCTTAGATGATACAGGCATGGTTGCTTAAAATTCATATCCTCTTCATTGTTGTTGTTATGGTTAGTTTTAAGGTCATGTGGTTCAAAAATTAATTTTGAGGATCAAGAAAGCTAATTCTACATAATTTCATCTTCTATTATTTCATTCACTTGTAGGTTATGCTGGTGTGGTTTTGGGCTTCACATTTCTGCCTGTAATTAGCACCCTCAGTGATTTAGTTGAAGAAAATCATGTATTTGGAAACACCGATTTGCTTATTTTTGTGTGGCATAACAATATATTGAATCTGATACATGAGCCAATTTTGAATGGATAATCATCAATTATATGACAATGCTATTTCCTTTGACTTTTCGCTTATATTCTCTTAGTTAGTTAGGTATTGAAACCAAAGTAATTTGAGTTATTTATGTGACCATCGTACTGTTGGCAAAAATTATTTATGTGACCATTGTCTAACTTCCTTGTTGAGAAACATCTCTTGTTAGATTAGTGGTCATCTTTGTTGTCTCGTTTATTTAACCTACTTCTGTGTCTTACGTAGCTCATGATTTGTGGAAAGTCTTCCATTTTTCTCTGTTTTCAAGCCTCTCTCATGTATAAGAGGATATTTCTCTTTTAATCTTTCACCATGTGGGTTATACATATAAAAATGGTGTGGATTAGTTTGAGAATATTTCAGCCTTACTACTTCACAAGTGGTAAATTTTGTAACTTTTTTTTGTTCATCTTTATTCTTGACAAATTATTTCTTCTCCTTACGCATGAAATTAAAAGTGGTGCTTGGATGGTTCATATTGTTGATTTTAGAATTACTGGATTTCACATGTCTGTCATATTCTGAAAAAAGAATTGACTCTTATTAATTGAACATGCTGATGTTGGGAACTTAGTGTGGTGTGGCATTCATTTCACATGAAAAGGAGATAGAGGAAAAAGTTGTGTTGTGTAGCTAAGTGTTGGGAACCCTTTCTGAAATAATACCTTGTATAGGTTGGGGATGGTCCCATTGTTTGCAGTAGCTATCCGATTATAATCATTATATTTTTTCAATGCTTGCATTTTTAAAAATGTTTTCAAGTTCATAATCTTACCTTGTTGATTCAGGGAGCTTGTTGGTTCATCTGCGGACTGCTAATATTTGAGTTGAAGTGTGCCAACATTGAAGTTTCTTTTATGTCCAAACAAGCCATTCTTTATTTGGGATCAATTGGGTTGCTTGGAGAGTACTGTCCGACGTCAAGGAAAAAGAACTCACTGTTTTCAGATAGAATAGACTGCATGAATATCGGGTCATTTCGGGAACACCCGGGGTCTTTTTATTGTTGCAGCTGGGTGCAACCTTCCCTTAGTACACAGGATCAATCTATTTGTGCCCAAGAACTCTTGGAAAACACCTACATATTGAAATCCAGCATTTCCTTCTTGTGATAGCAATTTTGTCTTGGATCTTTCTGTACTGAAGCAAAAATGGCTTTACAGAACATAGGTGCCAGCAATAGTGATGATGCCTTCTACAGGTACAAGATGCCTAAGATGATTACCAAGATAGAGGGCCGAGGAAATGGCATCAAGACAAATGTTGTCAATATGGTTGATATTGCAAAGGCATTGGCGAGGCCAGCTTCTTACACAACAAAGTATTTTGGTTGTGAGCTTGGAGCCCAATCTAAATTCGACGAGAAAACTGGGGTTTCACTTGTTAATGGGGCTCATGACACTGCCAAACTTGCTGGTCTCCTCGAGAACTTCATAAAGAAATATGTTCAATGTTATGGTTGTGGAAACCCTGAAACTGAGGTCTTAATTACAAAAAGTCAGATGATCCAACTTAAATGTGCTGCTTGTGGTTTTGTATCGGATGTGGACATGAGAGACAAACTGACAACTTTCATCTTGAAGAACCCACCTGAAACGAAGAAGGGGGCCAAGGACAAGAAGGCAATGAGGAGGGCTGAGAAAGAGCGATTGAAGGAAGGTGAGGCTGTTGATGAGGAGCAGAAGAAGCTAAAGAAAGAGAAAGAGGTGAAGAAGAAGACTTCTACCAAGGATGGTCCTAAAAAAGTCATCTCTGCCAAGAAGAAAGCCAGTGGCTCTGATGAGGAAGGCACTCCACCAGCTATAAGCCACCAGGTTGATGAGAAGGAAGAGGCTGATGAGGATGAAGAGGATGATGTTGAGTGGCAAGCTGACACATCAATGGAGGCTGCTCGCCTGCGGATCCAAGAGCAACTGACATCTGTTACAGCGGACATGGTTATGCTTTCCACAAAGGAGGCAGAGAAGAAGTCCAAGGCGAGCATTAAAGCGAGTGACAGTCTAGAAAATGCTCCGCCGCTTGAGGAGAATTCCAAGATTGAGAATGGGGGCTCAACCCATGAAAGGCTTGTGGAAGAGGTGAAAGCAAATATGAAGAAAGGTGTTACTGCAAGTCAATTCCAGTCCATTTTGGGATCGCTTTCTGGATCTCCTCAGGAAATAATGACTTCTTTTTTTGAGGCACTCTTTGATTGTGTTGAGAAAGGGTTTACAAAAGAGGTGTCCAAGAAGAAAAGCTATCTTGCTGCCGCTGTTGCTCAGGATGAGAAATCACAGTTGCTTCTGCTTAGAGCAATGGAGGCTTTCTGTGTGAAGTCAAGCTCGGCTGCATTGAAGGAAGTGGCTTTGATTTTGAAAGCACTTTATGATGCTGATGTGTTGGAGGAAGAGTACATAGTACAGTGGTACAAGGAGGGACTGACAGGAGGCAACAAGGACTCTCTGATCTGGAAGAATTCAAAGCCTTTCATTGAGTGGCTCCAGAGCGCGGAGTCGGAAACTGAAGAGGAGTGATTGATACGTTAGTGTCTTCAGTTACTTGTTTTGCATTCAGTTTTCTGCGACCTTACTATCTGTTTGTGTTTTGTCTGGTGTAGTAAAAGAGTCTATTGGTATATTATGCTTTCAGTTAAACATAGATTGCTTGAAATAAGTAGCTCTTTGTGCAAAGGGCTAGTTTCTTGCAATATGTGGAACTAAATCTGCTTAGATTTTCTTCTTGTGGTCATTGTTGATGTGTCTGTCTGTCTGTCTCTCTCTCTGGGTTAATCAAGTTTTTATATAATGAATGGCCTTTTTACTCCTCTCCACCTCTATAAGCAGCAGCTATTGTGAAAAGTCTGAACTATTACAACACTACCATATAACGGTAGGACCTATTTTTGTGTGCTCGATTATAATGAAACAAGGTACGTCCTAATACGGAAGCTTGGGCAAATGTAGAATTCAAAGGAAATTCTCTTGCGGTGGTTGTTTCAGGTGTTTTTGATCCCACTTACCACTTTCCATTTGTGGCTTAAATTAACAGGATAGATGTTGGAAGGATTTGTTGGTGATCCTAATCGTAACTCTCCCCTTCAGCTGCTTCATCTAGTAGTGGAGTACTAATTTCATGGGCTAATGGCACCTATTATTTATGTTTCTTCTGATTTTTTTGCCGTTTCTTTTTCCATTTTTTACTTTAGTTTCTAATTATTCATGCAATCCGTTTAAAGTGGGGTGGGATGGAAAAAGGGCAATAAAAGAAAATTAGTCAATTTACCATTTTCTCATGATCTAATGAAAGAAAAAACTCTTCCAATTTATTATAATTAAATTCCCTCACATGCCCTCCTAGCTGGTTAGTCCATAATTGTATGATGCATATAATAGTTTTGTAGGAGTTTGTGGAGAACATTTGGTTGAGTCCTAGAATAATGTGCGTAAATATCATATATATTTTGACTGGGTATTCTAAAAAACTAATTTAGACCCCATAAAAGGAATGGATGTGTCGTTAACCCACCAAACACGGCGGGAGTGAAAAAGATCCGGTGCATCATCAAGTAATTCAATGAATTAATTCAAAATGCGTAAGCAATGAAAAGAAGGTGGTCACTAAGAATTGATGTCAACCATGAGACTCAAAGTGGACTTCAACAAAGTCACAGAACTCAAGATCAAATACTTCTTGAACCAATCCACCCAAATTCTGTCTTTAGACAGCAAAAAACTACCTATTTTGTGAAATAGTTGATTGCCACGACAGCATGCTTGGTTTGTCCTTTTCCGGCCAATCAAGTCTATTCCCCATTGGACAAAAAGACATGGGCTAGACATCGGTACCAGCTCCTCTCAAAACTCTCATTTTATTTCAAAAATTCAATCTTTATACATTTTAAAAGGTTTAGTGACATAATAGGTACCTTGATTGAGGTATTTTCTTTTTCCAAAAAGTTCCGTTTTAGTTTTGAAAATCACGCGTTTTCGAAAAATAATAGCTCGCAGCCAATCGTTTGTAGCCCAGTTGGATCAATCATAAATGGTTTGGATCGATCGTACCGTCAAATAGAACTAGAATAAGTTCCAAATACAATAGAGTTGACAGCAGAATAAAACACTAAAAAAACACTAGGGTAAAGTACATTGACACCCCTTAAAGTTTGGGGAAAGGACAAGCAGAGAAAAGTTAGCCTATTTTTGGACAATGACACTCCTTCAAGTTTGAAAAATGGACAAAGAGACCTTGAAGATGGTGAATTGATCTTATTACCCTTTCAAATAAAATTAACATTTTAATTGACTTAAATACCCTTTGATTAAACCCGAACCCGAACCCGAACCCAAACCCGCCTGTGTATATTATATAGTTCACCAGAGGAGAGAGAAGGGAGATCAGATGGATGGTGGTTGTGGCCGCGGTGGTGGGTGTAGAGAGAGGGGGAAGAGAGGGGCGGCTATAGTTGAAGAGATGAGGTGAAAAGGAGAGAGAGGAAGAAGATATGAGAGAGATTGTGGTGATGGCTGCGACAGTGGGGGTGGCGGCGATGAATGCGACAGTGGCGGCGACGAATGCGACAGTGGCGGCGACGGCGATGACTGCGACAGTGGCAGCGAAACCCAGAAGCATTGGCGAAACCCTGAAATTGCTGGCGAGGACCAAGCTCCGATGACGATGCGGCCATGGACTGAACAGTGTGGCGAAGTTTAGAAACCGAGCAACAAGAGACCGACGAGCAAAAACAATCCGGCGAGGACCAAGCTCCGATGACGACAAGGTTCAGATGAGCACAGTCCGACGGCCGTCACCTACAAGGCCGAGGAGGCTGAAGTGGCCATTGCTTCTGCCGTCCGTTTTGAGTCAAGTTAGAGCCCTTTCCGTGCGAAGATGAGAATTGGGGATGGTGATGTGCACAGATGAGGGGGTGATATATATGTGTGTGTGTATGCATGTGTATAGAGAGAGAGGGGAAGAGGGTGGTGGTGGCGGCGGCACCGATCTCATCCTCAAATCTTCCTTGCAGGCTTAAACATCAACTCTCTACCGCTGTCAAGAATTAAAGACGCTGGCGTGGGGAACGTCTCTGTTAATCCTGGTCAAACCCGGCTTGTCCGAGGCAGAGTTCGCCGCCCGAACCGAGGCTGAGCTTTGGCGAGGTCGAGGAGGTGGCAGTGGCAGAGCTCCTTTTCGGCATCTTCTTTAGTGGGTGGTGATTATGGAGGTTGGGGGTTGGTGGAGATTGGGGGCGGTGGTGACTGATTGTTGGTGTGTGTGTGTGTGTATATATATATATATAAGTATATATGAAAAGGGTATTTTGGCCATTTAAGTTTTATAAATTTTATAATTAAAATTAATAAAATAGTGAAGGGTAAAGTGGACTTTTCACTTGATTTAAGGCTCTGTTTGGAGGACAAATTTAACAAGGGTGTGTGTGTGTCCAAAAACAATTCAACTTTCCTCTGCCTGTCCTTTCCTCAAACCTCAGGGGTGTCTTTGTACTTTACCCAAAACACTGTGATATGCATTTTCACACATTTATCTTTGTCTATACACTATTCACAAATTTTGGTTCAATCAATTAAATGAAAGCCAATTTTTTTTTACAAATATAAAAGAATTTCACTGAGTGTATCTATTCATTCGGATAGACTTTCATGTCACCTCTCGTTCAAGAACATTATCAACCGAAATGATATGATTTACTGTTGCGATCAATGTTAGAAAGAAATATTTAATATCTGAATTAAAAAAATTCAACCCACAAATAAGTCTATCTGAATCTTTATTTTATCAATACACTCTAATTTATAAAATGATAAAAAAAAGGAAAAAAAGAAGGGGACATTGTAAATCTCCCAAATTTTAAAATCGATAAGCTCAATAAAACATGAAAGCAAGAGCAAGCAAAAAAAAAAAAAATGATAGCCAATTCATGTCATATCAACCTAAGATTATATTATATTATATAGTTCAACTGAAACAGGACCTATTAAATAATTGTATAAAGCACGAGTTATTAAACAAGTAACACAACTTGACCCATTTAACCCGTTCAATAAATAAGCGGTGAGTTGTGACAACACTTCTGATCAGTTTTAGATGGTCTCTCAAGTTGACAACCTCACATTATTATAACAACCTATAGCAGGATTCAAAACTACTTTTATATGATGCTAGAGAGTCTGGCTTCCTATGATTTTCTATTTATAGAGGATATCAGATCTTTGGTGTATAATTAATGATTAACTGTGTGACCTCGGTTGATGTTGGTTCTTATCTTACTCTACGGATTGATGATCTGATTGTGTACATGAATGTATTGAAAAATAAAATAAAATCTAAATGGTAATTGCCAATATTGGTTAAACAATTACCAAAAAGAAAGAATGCACAGTACAATTGTTCATAATAGTCACTGTTCATGGACTTCTGAGACACCAAACACAGAAGAGACTGGCACTTGAAAGATCAACATGAGATGGTTCGTAGTAGCAGGCATTAATCAATCAAAATCCTATCAATTCCAGCATCAAAGTGATTCTGGAGCAAAGATATCTGAAAACGGATGGTCTCAAATCAAGCAATGCGCTCCTACAAAATATATGAAAGAAGTGACCTGCAAACTTTATCTGAATTATGTTTCCACCATAAACAACATGGGAAAGAGAGAGACTTCGATCGTTAAACTAAAGTTTCAATTGAAGAAGAGGAAAAAGGAAAGGAAAATCTATTCTATAATTCTATTTTCAAACATTTTTACATCAATAGTGTTCTCTGCTTTCAGCCAATCTTAATAATGAACACTTTTCTCCACATCTGTTCGTTGCTTCTCTCTCTCTCTTTCATTTTTTTTTTTTTTTTGGTATAATGTATATACAGTGGATTATATTCCTAATTAAAAAAACAGTTTTCCGAATTCTTCTAGAGACGCAGAAGATTCAAGGATGATACAGCAATATAAGTGCTTAGTCGCATTGCATTACCCGGTCATAAGTGAGCATCTAAATGGAGTCACAAGACTTCCTTCTGCACCCAATATAAATTGCAGGAAGCAATTTCTGTTTTGCTCCTCTCATGCTGATACTTCGTGCGATTAGCTTCCTAAAAGTGAGTGAAGGTAGCAGCATTTACTGAAAATGAATGAGATGTGGTTGAAGCTGCAGTTGTGGCAGCTCAGTTTCTTCGTCTGATGTGGCAAGAGCAAAGTTACGAGAATCCTAATGCAGAGAAAAATAAAAAGCAATGAAATCCAGTGCGTTAAAATTTTTTGTGGCAGTAACCTGACAATTTATGATTTATCACCTGCATCCAGAATATATATATATATAAATATATATATATCAAAGAAAATTTATTTTTACATGGCCAACAGAGTTGGATAGAAATAACTTGAGAATCATAGGAGTACTGTTACCCATGGCATGGGGATAACTTAATTGTGGGTATCCGAAGGGAGTAGTCACACCCCAAAAGGTAGTGGGGACACCTTCTGTTATGAACAATGCTTGCATCTTGCGCAGGGAGGATGAAGCTGACGTGGCCCAATGACGCACTGACAAGTGTCCAACACTAAATATTAAAGATGATATGGGCAATGCCCGTTTTTACGGGTTCAACCTGGTTTGAGCGAGAAAATTTGTTGGTTTGAGCGAGAAAATTTGTTGATTCGGTTGATGTGCCAACCTTGATGAGATGGGCACACGCGGCGTTCTCTCTCGCCGTTGATATGCCGACCTTGATCGCTCTGACCGGTGGTTTGATCGCTCCCGATGAAGCTATCAGCTCCTTGTTCTCGTCGTAGAGAGATAGGTTTAGAATTGTGATGATGCCGTACTCTTGAAGCAGAGGATCGGACAACAAGATCAGCGAAATCAACGGCTTGATCGCGCCGGTGCAAGCGATCTTGATTCAGTTCTCGAACTTGTTCTTGGCGAGGAGCTTGATCTCCATCGTTACTTGCTTTTGATCCTCGATTGAGCTCGCCTTGAGGCTGGAGACGAGTTACCGGATCAGCTCGTTGGAATTATCCGTATCGCAGGCGACTAGGAGTTGCCGGCTCTGAGACGACGCCGTTGAGAACTCGCTGGATCGGTCGCTGTTGCAGTCACTGAAGGCAGCCAAATCGTCATTGATCCTCAGATCGTTCAAGCTCCATCCCATGTATGTGTAATTCGACTGAACCTCTTTTTCCATTTCCAAAAATGATCAAAACTATCACTCACTCACTCACTGCATCAACAATCAACAATTGGTCGGCGTTTAATCGGAATTGTTGGGTTATCTCCGGGAAGGGGTAATGGGGAAGTGAAAACGACCTCGTTTGGATGCTTTGCTTCGAAGATGGGCTTTATGGCGGACTTAAAGTGAAGACATAAGAGAGGGAGAGAACACCTGAGTTAGGGAGAGAACACCTGGTTTGAGCGAGAGAGAAGAGACTGACAAGGACAAAAGGAAAAAGGGGTGTTGCCCATCTCATCTTTAATATTTAGTGTTAGCGGGTCATTGGGCTACGTCAGCAGGGAGGATGAACTTCATCCTCCCTGCGCAGGATGCAAGCATTGTTCTTCCGTTATCAAAAAGGAAATTACAGACCAGTTTACTATCTGCATTGTAATGAATGAACAGCATGCCTACTACGGAAAACTTTATGAAAGAGAAATGAACAAATTAACGGGGAAATATCTACCAGAAGTTGGGAACTTGAGAAAACAAACTCAGCATTTTGAAAGCAAAAGAGGCTGAAGTACAATACTTGATGCTGGCAACAAGAGTGAGGGGCACCAACTTAAACCACTTTATCTGAAATATCATTTAACAGAAGTTGAGATATCACAGACCTGTTGGTGACGTCGACGTTGGATAGCTGTAAATGCTTTAACCATGATATAGATTGGCAGAAGGATCCCAACAGTTCTCAACACCAGTAGCTGTAGATTAAACAATGATATATTTTTTAAACATCATTGTGTTCAAAGAGCATCATCATTCTAAACAAAAGTGACATAGCCATCTCACCATTAACAATGTAATTGAGTATTCTCCAGCTCCACTAATAATGATAGGTAGAGTATGGCGTAACACCAAAAGAACCATAAACTGCAAATACACAAATATACTTGCTTCATAAAATCAGAATAACTTTATCTAGAAAGAAACATTGACACTGTCCTGATAGAAAGTATAGGGAGGATGATGAAGTAGGTAAAGGATCGCTGGGTAAGAAAAAGAAGTGATCTATATATATTGTTCACATAAAACTTTTATTATAAATTATTAACACAAAAGATTCTAATTAAGTAAAATTCAAGTACATTTTTATGGATACCAAAGTACTGTAATTCAAGTATCACTTTTATGGATACCAGAGTACCGCAACACAGAATTATTGTTAGGAGTTGTGCTTCGTGATCAACAGTTACGAGCATAAAGATGGGTTTGAAAATTTTCATACTTGTATAGAAAGTATAAATAATATTCTAAAACATACCCACCGAAAGGGAAAAAAAAATCTATCAGATATGTAGAAAGAGGTTTATTAGCACATAACTGTGATATAAGAAAAAAAGAATCTCCAGGAATGCTTCACTTCTATTTATGCAAATCATAAATCATTTAATACACAAAAGATTCCACTTGATTATTATTTTTATTATAGTCATCTTTATAATCAAAGTAACTATACGAAACACCATGATTCAGTAAAGTAATGCCATCTGCCGAAAACTGTATATTATATGATGGAACAAGACCTCAGAGCACATTTAACACTGCAAGTGATGCAAAAATCGGTCATAACACACCGAAATCCCAAGTGTAACGCCACATACAACATGGAAATAGAGATTTCTATGCTACATGCATAACATCATGCAACTTCATTTTCAATTGTACTCCGCCAAAGGTCCCCAACAAACTAAAATTGTTTACATCTCAATTAGATTGGTTACATCTCAACAGCATTGTGGCTGGAGCCGTTTTTTATGCCCCAGCATAATTTGAAGACCTGATTGGGCATTGTAACCTGAAAGAGTAGGAAAGCAATGAAAACTTCCTGGCAGTCACCCTAGCCTATCTAGGAAAATTACCTGCATAGGTAACTTAGCCAGAAATATAACATACACACTCACACACACACATATCTATATTTATGTAGCAGCTGAGGAGAATGACCCTACAGGGTCAATGTGGTTAGCCACCTCATTCTCAACCTATTTACCATATACAATATCATAAATTTTTGCATCTTCTGAAAAATCTCATAAAAGACACAGAGAGAGAGAGAGAGAGAGAGAGAGAGAGAGTACAATTGTAGCAACTAAACGGCAGCATATCAGGCTTCTTGAAGTGGGAGATGAATAGTCATCAAAGTTCTGATCCAGAAAATTGCGATCAGCAGCAACCATGGCTATAAGTTGAGGATTATGCTGGTCCCTCCTGGAAACTTCCCAATGTCCCCTAAGATAATCCTCATATGGGAATCCCATTATTTGTTGTCAGTAAAATATGAGGGAAAAAAAATAAAACATTTATGAAGGAATAAGTTTTAATATCTCAAAAAAATAATAAAGGTGTAAAAAAATGTACCTGAAGTTCATTGGAATACCACCATAATGGAACAGAGGGGGTGGTGCTGTGTAATCTGGCTTGAATTGCTGCAACCACATTCAAACCAAATTAAAGTAACCAACCATCGAAATATAGGATTAATTATATTTTATTTACTTTTCTGTAAGGTCTTCCCCCCTCCTCAACTCCTTCAATCTGATGCCCATCTGATAGGAATTGGACACTTCACCTTCCACATAGGGAGGGATAGGAGATGCCAGCTAAGCTAGACAGATGGTGGTAACTATCCAACTAAATAGGACAATATAACTTGGCAAAAATAATTGGTTAGAATAAGTAAGAGCCCTGCGGAATCAGAAGTGTGCATAAGAATATCATGGCATACCTGGTGGCAGATCTCACAGATAGTGTTCCCCTTCTCATTGCACCACCTTTGGACGCATCTGCGATGGGCATACTGCATAATGAAAAAGATGGTAAGAACTATGACTATCACATTGAACCATCTACAACCACTTAAGAACATTTTAACATGAAGAATATTAGGGAGAAAAATAAGACTGAGTAGCTAATGCCTCCCACAAATGATATACTCAAGAGTTCAATGTGATCCATGGAATTAGTGGAGTTACAGTAGCACTAGATATAACTTCAAGTGACACTCCGAACATCATTGGATATTTTTCATTAGAAAATTGTCTAAATACAACAGCTTGGACTAAGACTTCCCTCATTCCACTCATAGCTCTTGGTTCTCGCTACACCTTTTTATTGAAACTTGACAACCCAGTTTTCTCTGTTGGGCTACCTGCTTGATAGTCAATTCATAATATAAAAAAGGGTAAATTGCTCTGACCTCCCCTGAGGTTTGCTGTTTATTACACACGGATTAAAGTTTTTAAAAAACCAAGGTCAACCTCCCTTGAGGTTTGGCTGACTTAACCCTAACCAAATCTTCCGTGAATTGACCGTCAACTTCATCAAAGTCAAGTCAAAAAAAAAAAAAAATGTAAATGCCCAAACTACCCTCATACGCAGAACATTTACAAAATTAACCTCATCAATCAAATGAAATCACCATTTGTACCATTAGTAATTGGACCAAATTACCCCTTAAAAAGGGGTAAATTTAATATACTTATCGGCTTGTAAATGCGATATTTCGTTAGTGACCCTTTCAAGACATTGGCTTGTCACACCTTATTCATTAGATTCTTTAGTCACAACATCCCTGCGTACAAAGAAAAGATATCCGCAATTCACGGAGTAATTAGTTGAATCCCCGGGTCCGTTAATCCCGTAAAAAGAAAGAAGAAAGAATGAATACCTCCTGCGCTTCTTCAAACCCTGGCATTTTCTTTTTTAAAATTTAGAATTTGCAGAATTTTCAAATTATATTTTTTAAAGAAAATGGGAATTTCATATATATATATATCAAAATAATGTATTTTATTTATTCTACTAAAAGTATATTTAATATACAAATTATATCATGTATATACATTACAGAATATATATACACATACATCATACATGTCATTCTCAATCAACGCCACCATCTCCATCGCATTGCCGCCTCCCCCCCTTCTCTCTCTCTTCCAAGGCGACTACACCACCATCCTCCACTGTCTCCATCACCCCCCTCCACTCTGTCCCTCCACAACACCATCACAACCTTTGTTTCTCTCTCTCACCATCACCAACACATTCCAACAACCTTACAGTAATTATTCATCAATTTGTACACACACACACACACACACACACATGCAGATCACTACTGTTGTTGCTGCCACCAATTCATCCCATCGTCAAAACCTAGCCCCAAATCAAACGCAACCTAAATTATCTCACACGTTTCTCTCTAAATTGCACAACTATAGTTTGTTCTTCATTTTTGCGCTGATTATTTCATTCCAATATGTGTTTTTGAGGTTTAACATTTTGGTGATTTAAGATCCATCTGTGCGTGTGTATGTGTGCTGGTGGAGGGAAATGAGCATTCTTTTATTTATGTGTGCTCGTGTGCACGTGTGTTTCGGTGGAGAGAACGGGACAAGAGAGAGTGTAGAGAGAAAGAGAGAGAGAGAAAGAGATGTCTACAATTGGGGTGGTTTCTAAAGTGAATAACAGGGAGAGAGTGTGAAGGGGGGTAATGGTGGAGGCAGAGTGTGACGGAGCAGCGATGATGGTAGAGGGAGAGTGGGAGTGGCAGCTGTGGAGAGAGAGAAAAAGAGAGAGGGTACATTGGTCATTTTAATATTTTCTTACCAAATGTAATTAAATTGAGGGTATTTTGATAATACCAAGGATGTAAACGGAGTTAACGGTTCCTTACCTTGACAGGGGTGTCAGAGTTATTTTCGCAAGACTTTAATCCGCATGTAATAAAGGCAAACCTTAGGGGAGGTCGAGGTAATTTACCCCATAAAAAATATATAAAAGCTAAAAAAAATAATAGTAATAAAAGAAAGTTAGGAAGTGTTAAAGCTTGTTAGTTGTTAAGAGTAACCATCTCCATTCCTACAAATTCTACATTCGAAAATAGGAACCAAATCGAGGAAAGGATGGCTATAGTTCACCATGCAATAATGATGTTGATAACTATTAAACCACTTAAACCAGCTTCTGAAATGGATATCATGGTCAAAGACATTAAGATTAAATGCATGCACCACTGCTTCCTGGAGAAATTAAGATGGATAAGAAAATTAATTGCAGTTCTAAACACTGCTTAACTTCGCAAAATTATCTTTCTTAGCAGATGGTTATGAAATGGAGCATCTATCCTATGAAAAAACTTTATCACTTCATTCATCAAGGATTTATAAATTATATCGCAGAGGAGGAAAAAAAAACATCTAGCTCTAATTGTGTATCTTCATTTTCCTATTGGACAAAAGTTCCCTATGAATTTCATTATAAAGACAGAGCAGACAAAAAGTACTATGACATGTAGTACATGACATTATTGAATGGAAAAAATTACAACAAAAAAGATAATGTTAATAATAAATGGATTTACATTGCATAGAAAACAAACCCATCAAGCTCTAATTGTGTATCTTCATTTTCTTATTGGACAAAAGTTCCCTTTGAATTTCATTATAAAGACAGAGCAGACCAAAAGTACAACGACATGTAGTACATGACATTATTGAATGGCAGAATTACAACAAAAAAGATAATGATAAATGGATTATTGAATTGCCTCAATTCAGCCACTAGAAATAATTATATTAAATAATATTAATCATTCTTTAAGATTACATAATTTAATGAGAGGTCTTTAATCTATTTCCTATCAAAATATTGCAATCCTACATTCAAAGGTTGTCACATAGTGCACCACAAGCATATATGTCAGAGGGTGTGAAGAGCAGCTTTCAAGTCTAACTACATAATTCTTTGAAAATAATATTCTCATCACCCCATAATATATTATGGTCTACAATGCCCCCTGGGAAGGGGGTGGGTGGAAGTATGAGCTCCTTTAGGACTTTCTGCTCATATGGAGAAGTGACCAAGGTCCTTCTAAGAAGAGACTATTAAAATATAGAATGGATTCCATAAGTTATTCCCGACGAAGTTGCTTTCACTTTCAGCACTGGAAAGATCATACACAGAATAAACGAGTAACCAAGAAAAATAAAATTCAGGTTTAAATATAGATAAATAAAGCATGCAATATGCTAGTATGCCAGCTTCCAATCTTTAGTCTCTCAAGACTTGTAGTTGGAAAGATAGACAACTCTTCTGCCAACACCCACCCTCCTTGCACTCCCCATATTGCCAACACACGTGCAAATAACAGGCTACATAAGTACCATGGGGATTTAAGAACGGGAAAACAGCCCAAGTAGATGACTAACATAAAGTGTTTAATCCTGACAAATGGTAAAAATGCATTAACTAAATCTTATACTATAATCTAATACTTCACTAAAATGGGGAAATTATTCACAAATACTTGAGGATAGTTCATATGCAATTAGTTAATATTATTTAAAATAATTACAAAGGCTAGTAAGATTTGGGCACTCAACAAACAATATAGGAAATTTTTGAATCAGACAATAAACCACAACTGACCTTCAAGCTACCACAGCAAGAACACGGGATCTCCATGTTTGAGTCCTCATCTTCATCCTGGCAAATCCTACACTCTACCATTTTCCCAGGTCCGAATCCAACATCCACATCCATCCTATGGGAAGAAAAATTAGTCACCATATCTTCACTCGCTGACGGCATGGCTTTCTGCAAACGATTTTTGCTCTCAATAGCAGCTTCAAGGGTGGATTCAGTGAGCAACCGATCGACCAACAACACAAAATGATCCCCCATGATTCAAATTAGACAAGAAGAAGTTGTAAAATAAAATATATAATAAACATAAAATCCTCAGAAACCCTTGTGAAATCTCTTTCTCTTCACTGTAAGTCCGGATAATCAAATCCCGAGAAAGTCAGCCTGCATTTGTTAGGAAAAAATAGTTCAGATAATAAAGAAATCTACAGTGTGTGTATAATATATATATATATATATATATATATATATATATATAGAGAGAGAGAGAGAGAGAGAGAGAGAGAGAGAGAGAGAGAGAACCTCTTTCTGGAAGAATTGAAAATTTGACCATCAAATGAGAAGGCCAAAAAGAAATAACAAATGAACTCTAATGGCACAAATGAAATCCCAAAAGAGAATGAAAAGACCTACAATATTATTTGGGAAAAGCAATGAAATGGCATTATAGAAAGAGAAGCATGTGCAATGAAGAAGTCCAATAACGGATGTTGGTAGCAGTGAAAAAGCAGCATTAAAACCAAATGGGCCACCAATGGAGATATAAAGCTGAACAATGAAAAAACGAAGAAGAAAAGAATGTCAAAAGTAAAGGTACCTTTATCTGAAATCAAAAGGCATCACAGAAATGCCTTCAAAACAGAAAAGTCAGGAAACAAAAAACAAAAACAAAATGAGAGATTAGGAACAAAATAGACCATAACCCAGATCAGATAAAGTACCATACAACTCCATGAGCATAAAATTATTTAGAGAGACATGAAAGGGGAAAAAAAAAAAACCTATTAAAAAGGAAAAATATCCAACCTGATTGAATGAAAACCTATTTGAACAGAGAGAAGGAGGGATAGAACCCAGATTGTAAAAAGCAGAGATGAACATGACAAATCAATGAAAACCCATTAAAGAGCTACTCCATAATTAGTATGAGAACAAGTAAAAGCAAGCTTACAAGAATGGGATGGGATGTCTGCAACAAAAGGAAGCTACAATTCTTTGTTTTTTTGGGGGTTTCCTTCATTCATGGTCTGAGTTTTGTAACGAAGCAAAAGATTGAGTGTCGTCATTATCGGTGCTACTCCATCACAAGCCAATCACAATCATTGTGTATTCTTTAGTGCGCGCGCACACACAAATAATACTCTCTCTCTCTAGTTTTTCTCTCTCCTGTTTGTGAGGGGAAAGTGGGAAGGAGGAAAGGGGAGACCTGAGAGAAATCCTAACGGCAAACCCCACGACCGCCACGCCAGGAGCTTCGTCAACCGGCTTAGCCGTTAGCTCGACTCTCGCTTTCTCGTCAAACTATAAATAGAATGTATCGCTAAATTTATCGTGAAATGACGTCCAACTTGTTTGTGTAATGGACCCTAATGTTGCCGAATCGTTATTATTCGTCTGTAGCGTGGGCCTTAGGGCCCATAACTTGGTTTGGTGTGTGTATATTTTTTAACCTAGGCAAGATAGGCGGGCACATACCTTGGGAAGAAAAATTTGGTTGCGCCTGTCATACCGTTTATTGCAATGCATGTAATATACGCGTACGAATGATCCAAATGCGCTTATTGCATGGTGTAACAGGTGTATCAAAGTTTTTTTCCTACTTTGCCCATCTCCTAAGAGCATCTCCAATGTTATCTTTATATATATATATATATATATATATATATATATATATTTATTTATTTATATTTTATGTAAATGTGATGTATCATAGTAAATTTACATAAAAATTTTGAACTAATTATTTTTAGTTTCAACAACTCCATATTATTTTATAGCTTTTGCGTAAAAATATATTTATCAATAACAATTAATCATGTGTTATACCCAAGCCACACATAATTTTTACAAACTTAGTTAATATAAGGTTGATTCGTTAATGTAATGAAAAATAGGGAGGAAGGAGGAAAGAGAAAATATGTTGATGTGGCCATGAAAAAGGGTGGTACAAAATATATAATAATTTTACACATTAGTAAGGTGACAATGTATCTTAACATACTAAAAAAAAAAATAATAATAAAAAATAAAAACTTTTAACACAGTGCTGCAGATGTTCTAAACTTAAATTTTTAAACTTTTTATTTTGGAAGGTGAATAAGTATGATTAAGTTATATAATATTTGGTAACTTTTTTTTTTTTAATGAATTAATTAATTGTTTATCTTACATTGGCAAGATATGCACACTCACACAGCGTTTTGTCTCCACCAGTGCTCAAATCCTTTCCCTCCTCTTCTTGAATAAAAATGTTATAGTCATTAGACTATGTCCTTTAGTACTTGATTTAGTATTTCTATAAGCAGTGACAATAGCGTGCCTACGTCTCAAAATAGATGGGCACTTTGTGAGTCACAATTTTCAAAGTATCCATCTATTTTAAGATGGAGTATATAATTTCCCACCATTACAAATGCTCAATTGATTATCCGGCATCATTTTCTACCAATAGCTTCTTAAATTTCAATTCATTTCGTAATTAGAAAAAATATATATACGGAGTAATTCAAAAAAAAAATAATAATTCAAAGCAATAAAAGATTTATATCTATTGACTTCCTTTGCTGATGTCATGACACCACAATTATGAAGAGCTTTTCCAACCGTATGGCGCTTGGTTGACTCCAATCGAACTAGAAGAACTTCAAAAGCAATTCCTCTTTGGAAACATTCTCTTTGTTGTCTTAAAAAAATGTTTTATGTTTTCATTATTCTTATAATATTTATATAGTGAGTTATGACGCAAATATTTTGTTATTTTCATTATAAACAGTGATTCTTAAACTTAATTGTTTAACCCAGAAGTATAGTCCAACGTTAAAACTTTAAACTTATTTAATCCATCTCATAAAGACACTATGGACTACACTTTCGTCTCTTCATATGAATCTCATAACAATTATTTATTCTGAATTGATTACTTTTAGCTTTTGGTCTTCAAACTAGAAGCGGTTTTGTATAAAAAAAAATTTACCGGCTGCATGTCACCAAATAATATGGATGTTAAATTAATAATATAAAGCATTTTCTATATTCCATTGCCTATTTTTGTAATTATTAATTGATGTCATCAGTGAACTAACTCTATCAAAGTTGTTTGAAAGATAACTGACTCAATCTAATGTCATTGTGGCTTCACATTCCTAAGTTACTTGTAGGATTTGAATTCTTGTCTTTAAGACTATGTTTAACCTAGTGATAGATGTCATTTTCCCCATTATAGTTGTTAGATTTAGGTATAAGTTAAGATATGAAAATATCAAATGTATATAACCCCAGTTTTAAGAACAAGGATAAAGAAAGAAAATAGAGTTCATTTAATGCACTAAAAACATCTAAAATTTTAAACCATCAAGTTAATTAAGTACTGAACTCAAGAGCTTGAATTTCCTTAAGACCACTCTCAAATTTTTTTTTCTTCCAGTAATTGCTTGGTGCATGTGGAATAGAGGGATTGCATGTGCTCGGTGATGGATTATTGAATGCTCTAAAAAATCCAACACCATCATCCTCAACAAAGAAGTGCTCTAAAAAACCCGATACCACCATCATCAACAAAATTAAGTACTCTAAAAGACCCGACACCACCATTGTCAACAAAATTAAGTGCTCCAAAAACCCGACTCGACCATCGTTAACAGAAAAATAAAATAAAATTTAAGCAATGGTTTTGGCTTAGAGAAGCTTGCAAGGAATTTGGAGCATGACTTGGAGTGCTTTGTCATTTTGTGGGGCCCAAATAGTGGAGAATGGCTTAAGAACCATTTTGGTTGTATTCAAAATTAATAAATGATTCCTGATTTTTAATCATTTTGTATACCTGTCATATACCTTTATTTGGAATTGTTAGCAATTATCATAGAGTAATCTTACTATCCCCACTACATTAATACAATACATTATGGTTGCTTTCCAAAACCACATCTTTACATAGATCACCAATTGGTCACCATTTTTGGCATATGAAGAGAAGGTATGTAAGTTGAACAAACTATTACAAGTAGTAATAGAGTTGAGTGGGTGGAATGATGATGCAAAGACTCAACAACATTTGGAGTTGTGGTTGGCCTAAACATTAGGTCATTACAAATGACCTCTTCAAAGCTATCAATGAATAAGCAACCTACTTAGTAATCAGTTCACAACAACGTCTACACACAATCACATCATCATCATATGTTACACAAAAAGAATGATCAACAAGAATCACATCATCATCATCATCATTATGGCATGCAGTTGACAGTTGAGCTGATTCCTAACTGACATCAGAGAATGAGAAGAATTGCATTCATCAAGACCAGAAGATACCATTTGAATGAGATTTGTTTGCTGCCTAAAATATGCATTCCTCTATGTATGCTGCTTAGTTATTGTACTTCTATTTTTTGAAGAAATCACTGTCAGTATGTGGTATCTCTAGCTCCTTGCATAGGACTTACAAGCTTGAACATCACACATTCACAGCTTTGTGACATTCACATGAAATATTTTCTCTAACTTACAGGTTGAAAAATCAACTTTCAGTTCTATTATAATTCACATCAGAACGATTCAAGTAAAACGGGAAAAAAATAAATATATAAAAAAAAATTAAGTCTCATCATGAAACATTACTGTAAACAAGGAACAAACATAAGTCGATATTTATCCACTCAGCTACTCTACATACCCAAAAAAAAAAAAAAACTGTTGTTCTTCTCTAGGCCTTGATATAATAAAATTAAGTCGAGCGTAAGTTCATGAAGGTTAAAAATTTATTGGAGATTCATAGGATGGAAATTTCATTAAACGACTTAAAGATGTGTTACAAGCAATAAAAGGTAAGAAGAAAACCAAATATCACTAACAAATTCAGGATGCAATAAGCAGAGGTATGGGCCGTATGGCATGAGTATTTGCATATAAACCACAAATCAATATCGAATATGATGCTATTAGAAATCACATATTTGCAATTTAACAAGGAAAGACCTCTCCATACTTGATTGATGGCCCTCAACTTGACTTGTTTCCCAATTAGCATAATACATATTTTGTATATCCTTTTACATGCTACATTTATTATCCTTAAACTTCCTAACGGATAGATGCTCATGTAGTGAAGAAGTATCTGACTCTGAGTGGTTGATCACAATATACATGGAACACAACAACACATCTTAGTGCTTATTCGGCTTCCAAATGCAAAAAATGCAGACACTGAGTGCCTCAGAACTCAGAACTCTTGTAGAAGAACCTTATATATCCACTAAGACACAATATGGGGTAGCAGATTTGTTAATTCTATTACAAGAGTGCCTCAGAACTCTTGCCTGTAACTTGAGATAGGGCAAACATTGAGCAACAATGAAGCAAGGGAATTTTGTAAGCAGAATTAACTAAATGAAGAATCTCCAGTCTGCCAGATTTGCAAAATCAGTGAGAAAGAGATTCCTGACAGATGCTACAGTAAAAGACATTTTGCTGTAAACTAAACCCTTGTCTGGCATCAACATGTATAGTTCCAAATTCTTTCAGATTTTGCAACGTTGACAACATTGAGCTGGGGGAAAAAAGAGAGGCATTTGGAGATAAATGTACCCGTAGTTAATGGAGTTGGTATCACATATCTGATGTGATGCAACTAAAAATTACTAAATCAATAAATATCAACAAAGTATGGGATGCATCAAAACTTAAATTCTGTGCAGCGAGTTAGCGTATGTATATGTTTCTACTGTGTACCTTTGCATCCTCTATTGGAGCATAACATGAAAATATGGGGAAACAATTAAATAAATGGATTCAGTAACTGTTCAAATTTTGAATTGAGATGAGAATCATGACGACAAAGTATCAAGATACTACAAAAAGATGGAGAAGCGGGAAAAAACCAACAAATCAATTATAAAATCTGTAACAGGTAGTACCCCATACTTAAACATCTAGCCTTAAAGAAGTTCAATCTCTATCTCCAATTCTCCATCTACCAAGAACTAGTAGCTAAACTAGCCATTTCCAACAACAACAAAAACTAACAAAGCCAAATTCCAATAAGATCACTTAATAAAGTGACTATAGTGGACTTTATTAAGTGATCTTATTTGAATTTGGCTTTATTAGGTTTTTTATTTTTTTTAAAAAATAAGATCAGGATACATGGTAATTGCTACCACCAAATGTTCTCCCCCGCTACCTGCCCCTCCATCCCCAACCAAAGACAAAGAAGTAAAACTCTCACTCCCCCTTACGTAGTAGTATGAAAGTCATAAACATTTCAGAAGCAAGATGTTGAATGTTGGCCATTGAATCGTCTAACAACAGCTCAATGAATTGTTAATCAGCATGCAGATGGACGGCATCAATTTTTTTAAATATGACTTGTAACTATCTTCTTATCAATGAAGGGGGACATGAACACCCCCTCTAATTTCCATAAACAAAATCCAATCAAAAGCACAAGTAGTTTAGTCTGTTGGTTAAGATAATTCAACCATATCTCAACCATAATGTATTATAGCTAGAAGGGGCACAAACAAATTGTAAGTTGAAATGACTACAACAAATTTATAAGCAAAAAATCCATATTGGCAACATTTGGCATAGAAGAAAAAACAATCAAGCACATATTACAAGAGTTGCATCTTTCTCCTATAATCTTGTAGTAGGAGAGCTCCAATGTCATTCTATGGGGCAAGCTTAGGTTTTCTTTGCTAAAAGAAAATAAATTTCCAACACTTAAAATAATGTTTAACTCTCTTCTTTTCTAATTCTGGCAAGGAAAGAATGTAAAAGCGGAGGTTCCATTCTTCAACTTGTATCTTTACAGCTTCTTTTTTTCTTTATTTTATCCCTCCCTTTTTTGAGGTGAATGGGGAGAGTAATTTTTTATACAACAGGAATTGTCTGTTTGATCACTGGCAACATAATGCAAAGGATCATTTAGCCAATCCTTAAAGACATTTGAAGCAAGTGAATTACAACGGGTTGATCTCATTATTCTTTCATAAACAAAGTAAATCAATTTCTATATTTATCAACTTAACACACTCACAGAGCCAATAGGACAGGCTCTCAACTCACACCCCCGTAGCATCACCTCTAAAACTATAGCGAGAGTAAAAAATTACCAGTTTAGTTTAACAAACTTGAGCTTGGCAGGGCATTGTTGAGATGGATAAATGTTCAATATATAAATCTAGCACACCATTATGTGAAAGATGAAGAAATTATCATATCTTATGTAACATGCTTCAATCAAGTGGAAGCGACATCAAAATGTCTGCACATGCAGGAACTACAGAATTCAGGAATAATTATGTTTTGAACTCATAGAAGGTATAGTTTCATTTCATCCTTCTATTACACCTTTTTGTGAGAACATGAACCAATTTAAACAAGAATGTGCTAGAGACACCTCATAATACTGCAAAGACATAGTTGTGCATACATTTTGTATATAGTTGTACAAACATTCTTTTTTATAAGTATCTAGTTGTAGAAACAGTAGACGAAGAAATATACAAATGGATTTAGTGAGCCCCTGGACACCTCTTTAACTTGTCCAATATTATCATATATGTTGAGTAAACTTAAGACCAAAATAACCATAAAGGAAAGCCAAAACTATCTCTAGGTTGGAGGGGAAGAAAAAGATCACCTTCAAGATCAACAATAGCCAAACAGCACAGCACATCTATCAAACTTAATTATATATTGCACTGTAAGAATTAGACAATACCATCTGAAATAATTGGTCATAAGCCCCTTACATGCTAATCATATAATCGCAAAACATGAAGCCAAAAGGTTTGGAACAAACCTCAGATGTAAGAAATCAGCAGATTGAAGTAGAGAATACTATACATTGAAAGAGAGAACAGAGCGAACACATGCTGCCAGAAGAGGAGTGCCGATGCTTCACTCACTGCATAACCCCTCAAGCTAGCAATTGCTCCAAGCAAAATAGCGCTTGGTGTCATGTACTGCAATAATAGCACAAACCGGTACATTTCATCCCCAGGGATCAAAAATTTCATTCTACCAGCCAAACAAACGACACCAATTCCAATCAAAGGAAGTACCAAAAGCCTAGCAACAATGATGCCCACTGTAGTTCGAATCCCGAGTTTAGATTCATTGGGACCTTCAGCAAGCATTCCTCCAAGAATTAGCATTACTGAGGGGACCATAGCTCCAGCCAAGATTTCGAGACTATCTGTGATAAATGAAAGTGGAGCATCATCACCATATACAAAGTCTTTGATAGGAGGAACCATCCCAACAATAAAGGCCAACAGAGTAGCAATTGTTGGAGGCTGAAGGATGCGAATAACTGGGGTTTTCTCGGCCACAATTCTAATTCTTCTAACCATCCGGGGCTCTGCCAAACACCGAACAGATTTGGGACTCCTTCGACCTCCCTCCTCCGGCAAATCAGGATCCGGAATAGAAGTTTGTGAAATGTTATCCGAAATAGAAGTTTGTGAAAGGTTATCTGGAATAGAACTTTGTGAAATGCTGTAGATGCTGTTGAAGGCCTTTGCTATAATGGGTGTCTTGCAATGTTCAGTTGCTTTATCTTCCATTCCAGGCCATTCTGCTTCAACAAGAAGTGGCCTACTGAGGTCACTGATTGGTAATTGTTCATCAATCTCAGCCCCTTCTTCCTCCACGACCTCATAATACTCTAATGGGGGCTCCATCATATGGTAAACAAGGGTATAAACAAGAAGTACAGCAACCCATTGGGCAAAAGATACATATGCCACACCAGTTCTATGACAATGAGGACCGAACGGGTTATCTGTGCTATGGCACACTGACCCAACAATAGCAAGGGGCAGATTTCCCGTGTTTCCAAATGCTGTAGCAATAACAGTGAATCTAACAAATTCCGGAGGCGGCCTGCATATTAATGCCACCAGGTACCCTAACACACAACCGATGGTGGTACTGATGACCACATTTACAGGTATGAACCACCAAAGTGCGAAATTTTTTAGAGTAATAGATTCCCCAAGGTGAATGAAGATCATACAAGGTAAGAACAGAGCAAAAACAAGTTTGCTAAGAAGCTTAAAAGTAGATCTTGGGACGATTTGGGTTTTTGGATGGGCAAGAATCAGACCAATGATGGATAGGGTTAGGAGCTTCAACAATGGCAGAACAGAACTTTTTAAAGAATCCACCTCCCCAGTCTTCACGCTTTCTTCAGTTTGTGCGAAAAGGAATTCCATTATCTATCCTTTCTAAGATTGGAAACTTTCAAGAAACTTCGCAAACCTTCCCCAATTCAAGAAATTCAAATCCCAATCAGGCTTCAAACCCTTTGCATTTCACATAATTTTGTATATCAAACAAGAAAACATCACAATCGATCACCTTTAAAAAAAAAAAAAAAACAAAGAAAAAAAAATCACAATCGGACCCAATTTGAGTGAAAAATAAAAGGGTGTCAATCAATTATCAAAACACTACAAGACATACAGCATGTAAATTTGTTTTCTTTCATAATTTCATTAAACCCAAACTGCATAAAAAAACCCCAACATAAACAAAAGTCAAATTCCTTCAAGAAACTTCATAAATATGACAGAGAGAGAAGAACTTACAGAATAGATAACCAAGAAAGAGAAGAACATTACAGGGTAACGTGGGATTTGGAAGAGGAAACAGATATGCGATAAAGATGCTGTGTAGATGTCATCAATTTTAATTTTAAATTTTTCCAAATTTATCATTTAATTATTATTTTTTTGCTAATAATCATTGGGTTTGCATGGTCGGTGGTGATTCCATGACCAGGGAATTTCAGTTGAACGGTAAATGACCACCACCAGAAGTTATCAAGAACGTTGTGCTGTGATTTCCAACAATAAAAGGCCATGGTTGCACTGTCATTTACTAAAATGACACACTAGTGAAAATCTAGAATTTCCTAAGATTTACAATTCTTTTATCAATTAACTATTATTTATTTATTTTTTTCCCTATCTATTAAATAAAGATGTGTAACACACCAAATGATTTTTGCTTTTTCTTGGTCAGTATTTATTTGTTTTTTTTTAGCTAACGCTTTCAACCAAGAATTTCGCGCTTCCACAAAAAAATATCTATAGTGTTATACATATGTTTTCTAAATTCTATTTTTTTATTTACAAAATTGTCCATAAATTTTACAAAAATCTTCAAAAACATCTTTATTTTTTGTAAAAATCTTTAAATTGTCTCCTTGATACTCCCACTATATATTATTATTGTTTAAGGCCGTTCTCTATCATGTATACTATTCTCTTTGTCCATCCCTACTCTCACGTCTTTTATTGTATTTACTTATTTACTCCTAAGTCATTTCTTTTCTCTCTTTAATTATTTTTCGTGCACTCACACTTGTGTGTTCCAAATGTTCACACACAACACATTGACAAGATTTAGTGATCCTACAACTGTTTTTCCAGTATAATTTTTTTTTTTGTAGGGGTGTTTATTATATTTACAATTTTTTATTTATTTATCAACGTGTCCACTAAAAATTGTGAATCAAAATGTGGAAAACTTAAAAAAGAGAGAAATATAAATATTAAAAATATCTTAATACAAACTTTTAATTAGTGATTTTGTATCTCAAATTATATTAAGTCAGCCTATTTTGGCTTATCCTCTGCAGGGCGGAGCCAATGTAGTACTTGTCCCTTTGGCCTGCCCACCTACTATAAATATAGATTTTTTTTTTTAATTTTATATGTGTATATATGAAATTTTTTTATATAATGTCCCTCCTAAAATTACTAATTTTTAAAATTATCTCTTATTCTTCTAATTTTTTCCTAATTTACTCTTCAAATTCCTTATAAAAAAATTAAATTTTCCTTGTTAAATTAAATTTTAATTGTTTCTTTTTTTAAGTTGTCATTTTTCTGACATTTTTTTTTTTTCCTTCTACTCCTTTAAATAAATTTTTTTTTTCTTAACATTTTGCCCCCCTAAACTAAAATTCTAGCTGTGCCCCTGCTCTCTTGTTGATTAGAGGGTTTGATTAACACATTATTGGTTATTCTTTTAAGTCAAGATGTTCTTCGAAATGATGATAAAATGACAAAGACTTTTTTTCATTCAAAAATCATTCAAGCCCAGTAATTTTGACTTTCTTTAAGAAATTTATCATCTTGAATATAAAATGAAGCAATCATCCTTTGTCTAGATGATTTTTTTTCTTTCCAACAATAAAATTCAACATTTTCAACATTGCTTTTAAGATGAATAGTATTTTCATCTTGAAACTAATTACAAACTTATACTAAAACACTATTTATATTTTTTTATGGTCCAAAATACCTTTCATTTTGTTTTTCTCACTTTAGCCTTTACACCGATATTGTCATTTTAGGGCATAATTTTCTCCCTCCTCTCTTGATACTCTTTCTGCCGATTCAAGGGCGATCGATTTCACCATATCAAAGATCGAAGGTGTTATTGATTTCTCGGAATATTATGCTATTGAGTTTTTTTTCTGGCGATTGTATAAGTGAATGCATGATTTTAAGAAAAAAAAAAATTGTCTGTCTGTCGCGTCCAGTATCCTAGGTAATGACCATATGCTTCTTCTTAACAGAAATAACTCTGGTGATGGTCTAAATGGAAAAACTTTTTTATTTGTACGACTACTTTCCAGATCCACATATCCAATAGCTGAAGATTGGGAAGAAAACTTGCCTTAATAAATGATAGGAGGCCTACTTTAACGTACTGTTATTATATGTACAGTTCAGTTTAATGCTTTCTCCATTAATACATTTTATTCATTTTCAGAACTGATACAACTGAAATTATTAATTTTTTTTTTCCCGGCAAATAAAAAAATTGTCACACCTATTTCGAATTATGAAATTCTTCACCAAATGAAATTTAACACTGTTATTTCTACATGATGTTGGCTTACCTAGTGCTCTTGTGAATGATGGTAGTTTGGCAACTAATTAACATTTTTACTCTGTATGTAAAACTGATGGTGAGCAAGAGATAGACTTGGAATGCTAAGATCCTTGAACTTACTCTTCTCTTTCAATGTAGTAGAGGTATCAGACATCCTAGATCTCAATGAAAACCTCTTTGAGCTAAATGCAGAAGAAGCAGTTGCTATTTTTTTTTTTTTCCTAAATAGAAGCAGTTGCTGTTTACTCATCATATTTGTTAAGAACCATGATTGCAGGGTCAGATCGATCGGGTAGAACATTTGATGAGAGTGTGATAAGAAACATTAATCCACGTATTATGTTGGTTTCTGAAGTTGAGGCGAACCACAATTCACCATTTTTTGTGAATCGTTTCCTTAAAGCTCTTTTTAACTATGGTGGATATTTTGATTCCCTGGAAGACTGTATGGATCGGAATGACAGACATAGATTTTTTTTTTTTGAATCTGTATGTCGATCTTTTTAATATAGTAAGGAATATTATTGCAGCTGAGGGAGAGGAAACCCGACATGTAAATATTAATGTTTGGAGAGCTTTTTTTGCACAGTTTGGGATATATGAAGGAAATAGAACTGAGCTCGTCATCTTTGTATCAAGCAAGCCTGGCGGTTAAGAACTTTGCTTGTAAAAGTTCTTGCACACTTGGTATGGATGGGAAATGTCTGATTATTGGGCCTCTTCACTTAGGCTAGTTGTTCATCTGTAACATTGTGTTTTGCCTTTGGGCTATGTCTTGGTTGTTCTCTTGTTAGCAATGGGCTAACTGTTGAACCTCTTTGTATTATCCTTCTTTCTTTTATAAATTAACTTTATCTTTCAAAAAAAAAGAGGGTATTTTAGACCATAAAAAAACATAAATAGTGTTTTAGTATAATTTTGTAATTAGTTTTTAGTAGTCAAACCTATTAATTTGAAAAAGTTAGCATTTTTTAAATTATACAAAATTAAGTAAAGTATTTTTTAAATGATTCTTATATATATGGCAAAAGTAACTAAACATCAGTTCAAATTTTATTTCATTTCATGAAAACTAACAAGCCCTTAATTAATAGCAATACAGTACTAAAAATACAAAAGAAAAACATGCATGAAAAATAGAGACCTCCTATGAAATAATAAAAAACATAAATATGGAACTAGCTAGCTTCTCGATCCATGTCCCTTGAACATAAACATGGAGCTACTGGCCAGCAGCAAAAGCCTCGACCGGAAAGGTCCTAGTGATACCGGCAAGGCTCTTGAAATGAATTTTTCCGGTAGGTGAGTCATCGACAACTATCTCACTCACCGGAGGCCATAGCATGAGTTCCTTAGCCTTAACTCCTTTGAGCTTCTTAATCCTCTTCTTCTCCACATAACCAGTTATTTGTGTGTCATAACTCACAAGCTTGCTAATGATCTTGAAGCTGTGTTCGACCTTCTTCTTTTGCGACAAACCCTACTTCGATCACGTCTTCGAGAGGGAGGAGTCCTAGAGGGAGTCCAAATTCTTCAAGTAGGGCAACTGCCATTTTCAAACCTTCTTCGTGGCCTTTCTTGACAATTCCTCCTTCCTTTAGTTCTGCCATGTTTAATCGAAATTTAATTTGAGATTAATTAATATTGGTTACTTAATTTGAGGTGAAGTGAACATTTTCATAGTGAAGGAACACATGACTGTGAGAAATATAATGAAGAAACCAAAACGAGCAACATTGTATTAATCACCAAAATCTAATTATTTACTTTCAACCGGCCCCCTATCTTTTAGTATCAAAAGTTCTATACATGCATATAAATATATAAATACAAGTATATACAAATCTATGTATGTATTATATATTTAAGCCCTATAGTTCTTTTTCGATTCTGAAAATTGTGGCAGCACTCCAAGGACAAATTGACAGTTCTATTAATATATGGTGCAATTATGGATGGTCATGGATTAATTAATTTGTATATCACAGTTATCATATACAAATTCTCTGCTGTTCATATGTCATAATATATTAAAATAACACACACCCACACATAGGGAGAGTTACAATAAATAAATATAACTGCCACAGTTTGCCAACTATATCATTTATTTATTTATTTATTTTTTCTTTTTTTTCTTTTTTGAATAGTAAAGAAACACATATACCTTTTCGTCCATGTCCGGGTTTAAACGTCTCCCTTCTTCTACAGAGAAATTATGCCGTTAGATAAAAATTCCTTTGGTTATATCATTTTTCTACATATGTTTTCTATCGACTGCTTTTTTATATTTTATTTTTTTTGGAAATTAAATATATGATAAATATATTTGTTGGCACCCACAACATGTCCTTGCAGGAACGTACTCAAACTCTCAAAAGAGAAGAAATCATACCTTTCGAACTAGTGACAAAAGATTGGCCACAAGATTAATTAGCTCGGAATACTAGAATAACAGAAAACTTCTCAACTGAAAATTAATACACAAGACTTATAATAGTGACCGAGCCAAACAAAAAAATAAAAAAATGGAGAATTAATTACTATTTTAATGAATTTTTACAATTTGCTTGATGGCACTACTGAACAAGTAAATCATTTTCTCTCATTGCATAAAATTACAACCATAATCATTTTTATATAGTCACTAACTCACTATTAAAGGCAGCGAACATTCTACTATAATTATATATTACTTCAGTAAATAATCACCAACCTATTTCAATTTAAATAACACCAAACCCAAATAGGCTGGTAAGGGACTGATGGGTTGGCTATAGGCCTTGTAATTGAAGTTAGCCTGGGCTAACTACCATTATATTGCCGGTAAGTTGTCTTTTATATATATATAATTGAAATTTACTTTTCAAAAAAAAAAAAAAAAAAAAAAAAACCCATTTCAGTTTAGATCAGCTCAAGAAATCAATTTTGAAAAATTTAAGTAGAAGAAACGGACCTTCTAATTGGATTTGATAGGATCCCTTTTCTATTTGAGAAATCACACTATTAGATCACGATATACTATTGTTTGCCTCTCACACAATAAGTTCAATAACCAACACCACGGAAAACAAAGATTATTCATATAGCAATTACTGAACGAAAACAAATTAAATATGTGATTAAATTTTTTTAAATCAAATACTTCTTTTCTACAAAATCAGATCAAATCCAAAGTTCAAACAGCAGTAAATGAATGAAATTAAAGTACAATAAAGAAAAACTTAACTGAAATATTAAAATCATATCTTTTTTTTCCTAGTTAAAATCATACTATCTTTTTACAAAAACATAACTGAAATAAACCTGAAATTAGGTCAAAATTTTATTTAAACCATACCAACATGACAAGTTAATCAACGAAGAAAGAGATCATCAGAGAGAGGGAGAGGTGGAGAAGAGTTTGATATTTTTGAAGTTGGACAGATCGAGTAAAAAGGCATCAAGTGGCATTTATTCAGGCGGCAGGAATATGCTCCTTCCTTCAGTGGACTTATTAATTGATGATGAACTAATATATATATATATATATATCCGCGCGCATAGATAATAAAATTCCATTTTTTTGACACTTAAAAACAAAAGGGATATTGCAAGGTAAATTTCACGCAGAATATATTTCATAAAAGAGTGTACAACACTACAAGCCAAAGATGCTGATTTTGAAGAGGCGTCCTTGATTCACCTAAACCCAAAACATCAAAATCTGTAACAATATTAATTAATAATAACATCATTTTTTTTTTTGAAAGTTAAATTTTCATGTATAAGACTGTATTGGGTCACGAAATAAAAGCCAAGGTATATGACAAAACAAAAACTACATATCGTAATCAGCTTACAGATAAGAGTTGTTTGGCTATGTGTATAGCATAGAACAAGAGTCCTGAAGTTGAAAGGATCACGCTCAATAAAATAAGTGCGGCCATCCCAAAAGCCAAACACGGCCTTGTATCCATCAAAAAAGAGTGTAACAACCCTACTGCTTCACACACATCCTCATTGTAGTGTGCATAGTAGCGTTTCTCCCACTCCATCCAATTCTCAGGCGGCGAATGGATGCCCTCCAACATCTTGGCCTCCCGAATGCGCATCCGGAGGATGATCATGTTCTCATCCACCGGCCTACCACCATAATCATGCCCTGATCTTCTCACACTTGCAATTACTGTCTTCCTTGTTGCGGGTACAAGTCTTCTCCGGCTACGCGACTTGGCCGGAGAGCACCGGAGGGGCAGCGTGGGACGTGGAGTGAAGGAGGTTGCTTCCATTGGTTGAAGATGGTGAGCTTAATTTTTTTTTATGTGGAGTAAGTGATTGGCAATGGCACAAGAGAATTATTATATATAGTGAGAGAGAGAGAGAGAGAGAGTGAGAATTAAGTAGCTATAGTTACGTGTTGTAAACATCTATCTTGGGCATGAAGCATGAAAGGCTTGCTTATGGCATCTGCAAACCGTGTACAACGTGGCAAGTTGGACTTTTGCGAGTATAAATGAATCTACACGTGGCAATGCGTGAGTGTGCCATTTCATTTGATGATTCATCTAACTTTTATACATGTATAGTACTTAGTATATCATATCCCATCTTTCTAAAAAGTGGAAAAAAATAAAGTGTTAATTCTACTTCTCAAGGAATGTATTTATACTGTGGGCGTGTTGAAAAAGTAAAATTCTCCTAAGTAAGCCAAATTACCTTGCCGACAAAATTTTTTTTTTTTTTAAATCTAATTTATTTACAATGAAATAGTATTATACAAAATAAAAGAAATGCTAGTATATGACAAATAATTAATTAAAGTATTTTTATGAAAAAACCAGATGATGTTTGGAAAATGATTCTTGCAGATGATGTTAGGAAAATGATTGGAAAATGATTCTTGCAGATGATGTTAGGAAAATGATTCTTGTACCGAATAGTTGCAGTGAATTGGTGTAACTAATAAGGAAGCGTAACTTTTCACTTAGTTTTATTTTGTATAAATAAAAAAATTAAAAATTATTGAATTAGTCAATTTAGTACAAGTGTTTGGTGTGGATATCAGTGCTAGATGATGTTTTATTTTCAATGGTTAGTTGATTTCTTCTACTTCTTTTTTTTAATTATGATTTTTTTATTATTTTTATTAATTTACTTTCTCATATATCCTCTCTTCCATTTTTTTCTTGTCTCTTTTTTACTATACGAGGAAATCATGCTAGTTCCTTTATATATTTTCTCCACCCTTTTTTCCTTTCTTCCTATCAAACAAAACTGAAGAGCACGGCTGGTTAATTTTGGTAGTTCAACATCTTGCTTCTTTGAACATGTTTTAAAATTTAAAGAAAATAACATTTCTTATTGCTAAAAACTTTATTTTCTTCAAGTTTTTGCCTTATTTTATGTGGAACTCTCTTAAAATTGCCCTAACTGAAAGTACTCTCTCAAAATAAATTGTAAGTTTCTTTGGAGTAACAAACAAAAGAACTAGTATATTTGTGTTAAATACGTGCCAGATGTCCATGGCTTGGTTGTAAATGCTGTTGTTATTTTCATTCATTTATTAATGAAAAGGTAAAATCAAAATAATCAAATTAAATTTGAATTTTTTATCTTCAGGAATAATTCACATAACACCCATCCGACAAATCAACATGAAAGTCTCAAATGTTATTTCACTTCAATGGATGATTAAACATACACTCATGATAATTGCTTGCTTGAATATTATTGCAGAGAAAAACGAAGCAAAATCGTTGAAATAGTGGAGGCCAAAACCAAGTGACGGCTATAAAAGTACAAAATCAAATAGGCCGGTATAATGGCGGTTGGTCATCCTTAGAATGTAGAGCTTGAAGAGGAATTGAAATTAACGGCTATAAAAGTACTCCTGCCTCTGGCTAGGTCTAGCTAGGCGGCGAGGTAATACCTATCGACAAATAAGTACCTAGTGCTAGAAAAGAATGGGATCCACCTTGTCGTTTTTTTGGGTCAAAATTTTATGGAAACAGAGATTTATAACTAACCCACCATGGGTTGCAATAATTCAACAATATTTATATTAACATTCCCTTTATTTTCTTTGTTTTGCCTTAAAAATAAATGTATATTTCCTCTGTTTTTAAAGTCGACGGTGAAAGTTTGTATATTTCTTCTGTTTTAAAGTCAACTCTGAAAGTTTGAATTCCTAAAGCAACATAGTGGATGCATGTTTTTTTTGTCATTAAAAAAAAAAAGAAAAAAATAAACCATTCAGATTGTTCTACTGAAACTCGGGTCTTTTTATATGAATTCCATTCACAAATTATATATAAACTTTCTTTGACTGATGACCAATGAAAAGGTCCTAAATTGAGGTTTTTACATTTACATTAATGTGAAATCACCTGATTCTTTTGCATCTAATGGACAATAGCTTCATGCATGTTGTGGTTGGTTATCTTAATTTAATCAAGGCCATCCATTTCAACAACATTTTTTTTTTTCATGACCCAATAATTTTTTTTTTCCTTTTTCCTTCATAATTGATGAAATCTTCTCTTTCTCATTCTACTTAAACCAAAGCAAGCTTGATATATGAAAATTTCTAAACACAATCACGACTTTGTAATTTCAACCATTAATTTACGTTAATGTTATGATGACATTCGCACAAATTTGTGACAGATTTCACAGTTACGCGATCGCTTTGCAGTTCTTTTAAAAATTTTCTCCATCTTTACTATGAATTCGAACCATTAACTATTAGATCAAGGCAGATTATTCTTGTTAAAAAATCACGTTGATGCAAATGATGGACAAGATAAAATCAACACTATAATTTTTTTTTTCCCTTCATAATTGATGAAATCACCTCACCATTCTGCTTAATTAACCAAACAAAGCCTGAGATTTTAAAAATGTTAAATACTTTGTAATTCCAATAATTAATTTAAGTGAATCCCATGATGACATCTATCTGAAACTATGACTGAAATTTCACAATTACTAGTAGTTTCACCTTTTAAAGGCAACCAACATTTTACTTATATATTATTAGAGCAATGCTAAAGGCAATTGCTCTTGTTGTGTTACTTGAGTAAATCACCAACAAATTTTTAAAAAAAATTCTTTTTTTTTTTTTTTTGGGGGGGGGGGGGTGCGGCGGGGTTGGGTAAGTAAGGAACCAATCTCAATTTAATCAGCGCAAGACATAATTAATTATTAAAGTTCTAAAATATAAGAAACAAATCTTCTAATTGAATTTGATAGGATCCCTTTTCATTTGAGAAATTACACACTCGATCAGATAAAGATATGTTATTGTTAATATCCAACTCTTAAAAAAAAAAAAAAAAAAACCATGTAGCAATTACTGAATGAAAATAATTTAAATATGTGATAACAAATTTAAATCAAAGCAAAATCAGAGCAAACCCAAAGTTCAGACTGCAGAAAATGAAGAAATATCAGAATGGTATGTTTTCGTCAAAAAAATCTATTTTTAAAGGATACCGGCCCACAAAACAAGAATGAATATAGAAAGAGATCATCACAATTAAGACACACAGAGAGTTGATATTTTTGAAGTTTTTTTTTTTTCAAGCACAAACTATATTTTGTAGTGACGAGAACACTTAACCTTCCATTAACCATCTAGGTTAGAGCCCACTGGTGATATTTTTGAAGTTAATTGGGCAAAGTGAAAAAGGCAAAGGTTAGATAAATAATTTTGTCAATCTGGGGCATTTGGCAATATTTGTACACTCAGACATACATATACAAAAATATATAAACATATAGCGTCATCGTTATATGAGCTTCATTTCTGAAGTGGTGCAAGACAAGAATCAAATCTAGACATATAAATATTGTCCACGGATATTAAGAAAGGGAAAACTTCAATATTGGGTCACAAACTTAAACCCTAGGTATATGACAAAAACTACACATCGTAATCAGCTTAGATGAAACCCACACAAGAGTCGTTTGGCTATGCGTATAACATAGAACAAAACTCCTGAAGTTGAAAGGGTCACACTAAGTGCGGCCATCCCAAAAGCCAAACACGGCCTTGTATCCATAAAAAAAGACTGTAACAACCCTACTGCTTCACACACATCCTCATTGTAGTGTGCATAGTAGGTAGCGTTTCTCCCACTCCATCCAATTCTCAGGCGGCGAATGGATGACCCCTGTTCCAACATCTTGGCCTCTCGAATGCGCATCCGGAGAATGATCATGTTCTCATCCACCGGCCTACCACCGTAATCATGCCCCGATTTTCTCACACTTGCAATTATTGTCTTCTTTGTTACTGGTACAAGTCTTCTCCGGCAAGGTGATTTGGGGGGAAACAACCTGCCGGAAAGCATGGGACGTGGAATAAAGGATGTTGCTTCCATTGTTGAAAATGGTGAGCTTGCTTAATTTTTTTTGTGTGGAGTTTGATTGATTAAGTGATTGGGAATGGCATAAGAGAAGGTAAAAGAGTAGTGTGTGTATATATATACACATTTAGACATGAAGGCTCTGTCCACTGTCCAATGTGACAAGATGGACTTTGGCGCGTATAAATGAATGTACACGTGGCAATGGATGAGTATGTAATTTCCTTTGGTTATAGAATCAACTTTTTTATATCCTATCTTTCTGAAAACATTAAGGAATATTTAAAATTGTGATACAGTGTTTGGAGGAGTTTCATTGACCAGGGCTAATCACACATCCGATCTATTCAATTTGGGAGTACAGTTTAAATCAATTTGGTTCTCACAGATTATGAAATTTGAAACGGAATAGATTCGTGAAATCGGATCGATTCGTTTTTCACAAATTGAACTTTTCAAACAGACCAATATGATTACACTTTATAATCCGTAAATTCTCAAATTAGTAATTAAAAATCGGTAACTAACTTTTTAACATATATCTATTAAGAACGCCTACTTCTAACCCAAAAGCAAACTTTTATGATTGGGCCATGTAGTGGTAGAACCTGTTGTTGGCCGGGGTTGGTTGCATATGTCCCTTAAAGGGGCGGGTCTTTATTATTTAAGTCAAATAGTAGCTCAAAAACTTAAATTACCTAATAACAAAATAGAGTTATAAATCATTCAAAAGTGAAAATAATATTACACTATCAAATATAAATTATTCAAATAGAACAAAACAAAACACTTGAATAGTAGTATATATAATTAAGGTACGATTTTTTCAGGACCCAATCCGTTAACCGAACCGCGAATAATGGATTACTATTTTTCTAAACCATCACCAAATTATGAGATCTGAAAATCAAACCGAATCACACGGATCGAATTGGTTTGGATCGAATTGACGAATTATTTGCTTAATTAGCCCTATCATTGACAGGTTTTAATGAGCTCAATCGAATCCTCTACAGTGTACGGTACAGTGTTATACTGCATTGCATTAGATGATTTGTCAACTTTAATTGGTAGAAGAACTGTCAACTTTAATTGGTAGAAGAACTGCCACCTTAAGAAACTGTCAACTTTAATTGGTAGAAGAACTGCCACCTTAAGAAACTGTCAACTTTAATTGGTAGAAGAACTGCCAACTTTAAATAACATGTTAATTAATGAAAAGCCTAAGATCATATTTCTAAAATGAAATCTTTTAACTTCAGTCCATTTAGTGTATCTGTAAACAATTATAAAAAATTAAATCGAATTATTCATGAATATTTTGGGCTCAACTCGGCAAAGGTGGGTTGTTATTTCATTAAGTAACATTCAGGGAAGTAAATTCATGGTGGCTTCTCAATTATCTATGTGCCTCATGAAATTAATAGTGTTGCGCATCAATTAGTAGGGTGGGCTTTGAGAAGTAAATTAGAGAAATTTCATATTTTTGAGATCCTTTGTGTATCCATAAGAGTGTATTTGTCCTAGTTTCTTGAAATAAAGTTTATTGACTTTTGAAATTAAAAAAAAAAAAAAAAAATAGCACTGCTATATATGTGAAAAATAGCACTGCTATCCCTTCGTCTCTCCAATATTCACCCATCAATTATTGGCCATGGTGTAGAAATTGAAGCCTGACATAATTGAAAAATGCAAATTATTCATCTTTGCTCATATCTGAATTGGTCAAAATATAATTTTATTTTAAAAAATTATAATGTACTAATGTACGAAAATTGAGTGTTTCACGTACAGATGAGAGTACCGAAGATCACTACAAGATTAAATTGATATATAAGACAATGTGCAGTGGTCGTTGGTTAAAATCCCCTAGTCAAAAGTAGCACTACTCATTGGTCAAAACTAATATATGAGACCACTACATTGTCTCATATATCAGTTTAATCACGTAGTAGTCTCCGGTATTCTCACGTGAGAACTCTACCCATATGTGAAACACTCAATTTTCGTGGATCAACAATTTATAATTTTTTAAAATAAAACTATATTTTGACATGATAGACGAATAAATTACATTTTTCAATAATATTAGGCTTCAATTTCTACACCATGGAATGATATGGGTTAATAATTGATGGGTTGAATATTGGAGAGATCAACCAAGCAAAATCGTTGAAATGGTGGAGGAAATTAATTCCATTATTAGACATAAAAAGCATACGTACAAGTACTAGTAAATTTTATGTTATACAATTTTCCAAAAAAAAACTTTATGTTATACATTATCTTTTTTCTTTTTTTCTTTTTTCTTTTTTTTTTCTTTTTTTGTAAGGTAAGAAAAAACAGTTTGTTCTGTTATAAATTATAAATTTGGGTGGTTTCATTTAAATTTTGTCTAAAATAGCTAATTTTAACTTTACCGTCCACAGAAACAATTAGCGGGAGTCAAAATTTGTCAAGAAGATTATGAGGGGATGAATCTAATCATATCATTTCTAATAATTCGAGTTTGACCAGGTAGAATTTGAAATTAATGGTTATATTATCTAGGCAGCAATAGATGCATAATTACTAGTTAGATATTGGATGCGTCAGGCGTACAAATACATAATTACTAGTTAAGATATTGAAATTAACGGCTATTAATCTCGTGCCAATAGATATATAACCTTGTCTTGTTTTGGAATAGATATTAAATGCATCTTGGGCACTATGTTATTAGCTAGTGTACCCATCCAAAGACAATGCACTACTTAAAAACAAATTGACCAACCTACTTATAAAATTCATAACAAGATAATATATTATACTAGTATTTCATTGGATGGTTACACTAATGACATGACTTGCTTGACATACTCAATATCTATTTCTTATTTTGGATCAAATTTTTATGGAGAGAGAAATATTTATAGCTAACCGACCATGGGATCCAATAATTCAAGAATGAAAAAAAAAAAATAATAAGTCAAGAATATTTAACAATATTGGCTTTATGTCACATTGAGCTACTCTATTGATCTATATATATATATAAGTCCCATTGTTCTCTTTCAAGAACGGGATGGCAACATTTGAATCCAATTCAATATATGTTTTTCACATGGCATGCATGTATTTAAATATTGACTTTTTACTTAATAAATTATTTATTTATGATTGAACTTGGCAAAATATTCTAAATTAAGGTTGTTCTAATAACTTCAATTTTACATTAATTAAATTAAATGATCCATCTTTTGCATCTTAATAATTAGAAAATGGAGGGCACCCCATTGTTCTACACTTGCATTCCACTTATCATTTCTTCTAAATAAAATGACAAAAAGGTCACTAAACTCATTAATGCACAATCTCTTATTTTAAAATACCAAAACTATCATTTATATTATAAATTATAATTTCCTTTTTTCTTATTCATTTTCTTTACTGTCTTATTTTTTTTTTTTTTTTTTTTTTTTTTTTTTTTTTTTTTCTGGATCATGTCAAAATAGATAATTTATTTTACAGAGGTAACTTAATTTTTGGTTTTTTTTTTTTTTGGTAGTGGGGGAGGAGCCTTGTCAAAAGAGATAATTTATTCCACAAAAATAATAATTTTTTTTTTTTTTTTGTCCCAACAGATAATTTTTTCACAATGATAACTCTTTTTTGGGTTTTTTTTTTTTTTTTTTGGTATTTTTATACTCTTTTTTTGTTCATTTTTATAATTATTATAGTCAATCAGATAATTTATTTATAACGTTTTTTATTTTATTTTTGGGTTATGGGTTGTCAAAAAGACCAAAAATATTAAAGATGGGAAGAGAGGGGAAGACTAAGAATATCTAGAAGCTTAATTGTGTGATTTGAAAATAAATAATTCTTTAATTTGCATCTAAATACAATTAAGGGACAGAAAAAATGGCTCACCTGCAACCCCCCATTCAAAATTGACAATGGCTTCATGCATGATGTTCTACAAAACATATATTTGAAGAAATCTACTCTTTTTCATTCTGCTTAACAAAACGAAGCTTGAGATTTGAAAATTGCTGAACACAATCACGACTTTGGAATATTAATCATTATTTTACATCAATTTCATGATCACATGTAAACCTATGACTGTTGACATTTTACAGTTACGCAACGGCATAGCATTCTTTTTTTTAAAAAAAAAAAAATTCCATCCACAATGAATTTGAACCACCATTAGATCAAGACTGATTATTCTTGTTAAAACATCTCATCGATCCAAAATGACAGAGAAGGTAAAATCAGCAGTCTCTCTCGTTTTTTTTTTTTCTTTTCCTTCGTAGTTAATGAAGTTTGAAAAATGCTAAATATATTAGCAATTTCAACCATGTGAATTTCACGACGGCGCCTATGTAAACCTATGACTGAGATTTTACAGCAAAGTTTGATTTGCACCATTGATTATTAATTTAGAATTGAGTATGCTTATTAAATCATCACATCAATTCAAATGACGGAACAGATAAAATCCACTTAACACTGCGTACCCATATATATATACACAAGGGTGAATTCAGGAATTGTCAAGAGAGGACTAAGCAAAAAAAAATTTTTAACAGGATGATTAAATCTTAGCGGGATCGAAAGATGAAAGATGAAAGAGTTGAAAATTTTAGAGGAAATACAGTTAGACTTTAGAGGGAGAGAGGCTAGGTCACATAGAAATATTAGGAGGAGCTCTCTGATTTGTGCTCTAGCTCTGTAACCAGGCTTTAGCGATTGTTTAGGGCTTGTTTGTCTTGGGCCTATTTGATTGGGCTTTATTTTAAAATCGTGACTTAAATCTTGGACTTGTTTGGATGGGTTAATATTTAGGGGGCTAATACTACTACTAAATTTTAATTTTTTTTAGAATTGGCTAAATTTAGCATTATTAAAAAAAAAAAATTTGGGGGGGCGGGGGGGGGGGTAAGCCCACCCAAGTCCCCCCCCTGTGTCCGCCTGTGTGTGTGTGTGTATATATATATTTTATAACCTGACAAGAAAACAGCCATACA